TCGAACGAATGATTAAAGGAGACAAAAAAACACGCGGAGGGATGCATGCTCGAACTACACCGAGAGACGCAAAATGGAAAGCGTGGCTCAGAGAACAAAATAAAAACGAGAAGCAAAATATTTGCTCTGAATGAAAGTGCGCCTGTGCAGGACACATTGTTACATGGGATGATGACTTGAGATTGGTTATTGAATCCCAGCCAAAGGAGAGATAAATTGCAAAACCATAAGTGGTCCTTCCCTGACTGGAAGAAGCACGTGCAAGAAACAGCCACAGTGGATAAACCTCATGTTGCTCAAAGGGAAAACTTTTGAGAAAACGTGGAATCTAAGGGGCATATGGATTCATCGAACCATCAGTTAAAATGCATTTTCACGTGTACCAAACATGCATATGTAAGGGACGTTATTAATTATATATTTTGGTCATTACCCACCAGCTAATGGCTGTTCTGGGACGATCTTGATTGATCGGGTGGAACAGCCACTAAAGGTCGATGGACTGTTGGAGCAACGGACATTGGATAGGCTAGGGGATTTCGAGGGGGGTTTTGGCAGGAGTTTAGTTCAAGTTGCAACGGCTGAGAGAAGGTTCTAAAAGGAGGGGCCGTTAGAGAATATAAATCGCTTGAGAGGAGAGCTCGCGGTCCGTTGAAGAGCTCCTTATGGGTAGGTAGCCTGCTGATGGTGTAAGCTGTGAAGAAGTGTGAACAAAGCCGACCTCCAGCAAACCCCTTCTCACGTGTCCTGGACTCTTCTACACAGGGAAGAATCGCTGTGCCTAGTATTTCCCTTACCTGTTCCGTGTTGCCACCAGTGGTGAATGCATTCGTCGTGAAATGCGTGGTGCTCGCACAACACCCATTCGCTATAACGCGGTTCTTCCATTCGGAGCCACTTTTCGCACATCGTGGAACATGCTCCGTTATAACGCATAACGTGTACCTCTATAATGTGGAACGGTGCACCGTCATAACGCGAAATGGCGCACCGCTATAATGTGTAATGTGCACCGCTATAATGTGTAATGTGCACCGCTATAATGTGTAATGTGCACCTCTATAATGTGTAATGCGCACCGCTATAATGTGTAATGCACACCTCTATAATGTGTAATGTGCACCGCTATAATGTGTAATGCGCACCGCTATAATGTGTAATATGCACCGCTATAATGTGTAATGTGCACCGCTATAATGTGTAATGTGCACCGCTATAATGTGTAATGTGCACCGCTATAATGTGTAATGCGCACCGCTATAATGTGTAATGTGCACCGCTATAATGTGTAATGCGCTATAATGTGTAATGCACACCGCTATAATGTGTAATGCACACCACTATAATGTGTAATGTGCACCGCTATAATGTGTAATGTGCACCACTATAATGTGTAATGCGCACCACTATAATGTATAATGTGCACCGCTATAATGTGTAATGTGCACCACTATAATGTGTAATGTGCACCGCTATAATGTGTAATGCACACCGCTATAATGTGTAATGTGCACCGCTATAATGTGTAATGTGCACCGCTATAATGTGTAATGCACACCGCTATAATGTGTAATGTGCACCGCTATAATGTGTAATGTGTACCACTATAATGTGTAATGTGCACCACTATAATGTGTAATGTGCACCACTATAATGTGTAATGTGCACCGCTATAATGTGTAATGTGCACCACTATAATGTGTAATGTGCACCACTATAATGTGTAATGTGTACCACTATAATGTGTAATGTGCACCACTATAATGTGTAATGTGCACCACTATAATGTGTAATGCACACCGCTATAATGTGTAATGTGCACCACTATAATGTGTAATGTGCACCGCTATAATGTGTAATGTGCACCGCTATAATGTGTAATGTGCACCACTATAATGTGTAATGTGCACCGCTATAATGTGTAATGTGCACCGCTATAATGTGTAATGCGCACCACTATAATGTGTAATGTGCACCGCTATAATGTGTAATGTGCACCGCTATAATGTGTAATGTGTACCACTATAATGTGTAATGTGCACCGCTATAATGTGTAATGTGCACCGCTATAATGTGTAATGTGCACCGCTATAATGTGTAATGTGCACCGCTATAATGTGAAATGCGCACCGCTATAATGTGTAATGCGCACCGCTATAACACGAAATGCGCACCGCTATAATGTGTAATGCGCACCGCTATAATGTGTAAAGTGCACCGCTATAATGTGTAATGCGCACCGCTATAACACGAAATGCACACCGCTATAATGTGTAATGCGCACCGCTATAATGTGTAAAGTGCACCGCTATAATGTGTAATGCGCACCGCTATAACACGAAATGTGCACCGCTATAATGTGTAATGCGCACCGCTATAATGTGTAACGTGCACCGCTATAATGTGTAATGCGCACCGCTATAACACGAAATGCACACCGCTATAATGCGCACCGTTATAACACAGTGCGGCCGATGACTTATTTTCTTGGGCTGAGCAGAGTGATAAAGTACGTGGAATGATACAGTAACGCTTCGGCGTACCCTCAGATACCTGTCATCTTACTGTGTGTTGTGTGTACATCGTATCTCGAAAATTTTTATCGCTCCTTACTGTTGAGGAAACTATTCGCTTAACGCGTTTTTCGCTTTTTCAGGTAGGCATCTACGACCGTGTTAATACGAGGACGACCTTCTACCGACTTTTTGTCATTTAATTGCACCCTCCAATGTTGACAACTCACTAAATCGCCAAAAACAACAACAACAACCGACTGGCGCAGGGAAACAAAACTAATCTAAGTCGGCGAACTACCCTTCATTGACCGTATGGGGAGCATGCGGAGTGGAATGCAGGTGAACTGCTGCACTCAAGGGCCTTCCACTCCCCGTGAACACGACCGCATGCACCTCTCGCTGCCTCCACGCAAGGCAGTCCAAACTCACGCCGAGCCCCATCCATCCAAGCACGAGTACATTACACTGTGTAACACAATCTTATTGTTTTTGTTTGTTCCTGGGTAGTAAGTGTTATTTCCTAATTGGTTATGCCTCAAAAGTACAGAAAATGGTTACTATTCCCCACAAACTTTGCTTTTGTGACCAGGACATTGACATTTTGAAATTTACCTATTTTTAATAAGAAAACGGGCGAAGTTGTCTTTTCGTTCACATAAAGTCAGAAAAACACAACATATGAATAAAAATAAACATGTATTTATACTAAAGAAATACAAAAATGACTACAAAAGATTTAGACACCAAGGCGCACTACCACAGGCGGGACTGGCCACAGTAGACCGAGTTCTCTGTGGGGAGGAACAACGTCAAGTGGGAGCCACTGGTGGACCCCCGGAAGGTGCTGATGCCACCACTGCACATCAAATTGGGCCTCGTGAAACAATTTGTCAGAGCTGTAGATAAGGAGTCGGCAGCCTTCAAGTACCTTCAAGACTTCTTCCCTGAGTTGTCTGAGGCAAAGGTCAAAGCCGGTGTCTTCGTCGGACCACAGATAAAGAAGATCGTGGAGTGCAATGAATTCCCAAGAAGCTCACTAGTAAGAAGAAAGCGGATTGGAACAGCTTTGTCGCAGTGGTTCGTGGCTTCCTCAGCAATCACAAGGTCGAAAACTATGTGGCGCTGGTTGAGACTCTGATGTAGAACGACGACACAATGGGCTGTAGGATGTTTCTCAAAGTGCTTATCATTTGAGGCTCATCTTGATCACTTCAAGGAGAACATGGGAGCATACTCAGAGGAGCAAGGCGAGCGCTTCCACCAGGATATACTGGACTTTGAACGCCACTACCAAGGACAGTGTAACGAGAGCATGATGGGAGACTACATTTGGGGGCTGATTCGTGAAAGTGATTTACCGTATAATCGTAAATCTCGAAAAACTACTCACTTATAAATCTTTTGTCGTAAATTTTGTATTACTTTAGTATAAACACGTGTTAATTTTGATTCATATTTTTTTTCTTTCTGACTTTATGTGAAGGAAAATACAAATTCGCCAGTTTTCTCATTGAAAATATGTAAATTTATAAATATCACTGTCCTGGTCACAAAAGCAAAGTTTGTGGGGAATAATAGCCATTTTCTATACTTTTTAGGCATAAGCAATTACGAAATAACAATTACTACCCAGGAACAAAAATTGTGTTATATCGTGTTATCAATAATTATTATCGATGTCCGAAGTAACCAGCTCACTTCTCCCCTCCCGACTCCCGCAATGGCAGTGGCCAATATAAGCACAAGAGGCTCTGTTTTGCACTAATTACTTCTGTAACGTAATAACCGACTAAATGTAATCCATGTCCAACGCTAAAGCACGGCTTGTATTTGTACGATTTGTGCGGCTTTCGAGTTAATTGGACGTTCTTATTGACTTTGTAGTTCATAAAAAAAAAACTAAGAACTGCTCTCGCCAAGGGGAATGTGCTCATCTCTGCTGCTGCTGAGTCAGTGGTGAAAATTCCACTTTGCCAGGACGAGTCTCTCCATAGGACAGCCACGGTTGAGTTTCCCATAAAGTGGTCCTGATTTTAACAATCCTGGGTTGGCTATGATATATGTTGACTCCCACCAGGGATTTGAATTCGCACCCTTCCTAGTAAGAGTCGAACACTTTTTCACCGTGCCACCCTGCCGATTAGTTTAACACTTAGGGCATTGCAAAATTTACGTTTCGTATTGTTTTTTGTTTTAAAGCCACTGACCAAATCACGTGGAATGCCCGAAAGAATATCTGGCCAGGTCTCAGAAGCTAAGCAGGTATTTGATAGTACAGGGTGCTTAGAAATTTTTTTTAACACTTATATAAGACTATCGTTTTTTTATTGAAAAACGGATAATAATACACTGTAACATAATGACAAATGTATGTTAATATCTTCAAAAAGTCAAAGAGTCTCCACTTGTACGCCATCATTGTCACCACATACCTGGAATCTTCTCCAGGTGGTCTCCAGAGCCCGGGGGCGCATTTCTTGTGGTATTGTTGCAAATTCTCAGAAGTGTACAAATAAAATTTAAGCACCCTGTATTTTGATGGTGGTCGTACTTGGATGGGAGACCCCCGTACAAGATTGGGTCATTATAGGCCCCAGGATTATGTGGTGGCAGCAGAGGGCAGTTCAGAAAAAAGAAAAAAACTATTTGTACTGTAAACTATTTTAATATTTTTATTTTACCAGGCAAGGCCCACTGAGCTATGTAGTTATTTTTCAGAAATGACCTGGCCACAAATTATAGCACAGCCAAGTGGTTTATTGTGTGGAAATATATTGTAGCCAAATGCTCTAAACACATGTTTCTAAATGTGGAACAGAAAACCAGAGGAGCCGGAGTAAAATGTACGCGACTCCAGGGAGAACATGCAAATTCCAAATATACAGGCATCAGGGTCGGGGTGGAATCCCACAAAATCCTGCATACCAGGTGAGGTATTTTACATCTCGCCACAATGTACCTGCTTCTCTACTCACACATATATGTTCCCCACCTTCACAAACCCAGACTGACTGGCATGATGAAGTATGATATAATATACTCCCACGACCCGTTTGATTGCGGATTTACAAATAGCAGTGCAGAGCATGTAAACATTATTTTTAGTGCATACATTCGCTGTTATTATCACCATCATCAATCGTGGTTATTATCAAGAATGGTGGTGCTATGAAGAATCTGATTCCGACCGTAGGAATGTTGAATTTCCACCACTGGCTTTGGCTCAAGCTCACAGAGATGAGAACTGCCCATTCATTTAGTATGAAGATATGTTGACTTTGTGATTAATACTTGGTAGAGGTTTGTTTTTGTTATTCAACACACTTATATAGAAGGCAAGTACTGACCCGTTTCCAAATTCCAGTCTGTTTCAAGGCAGCCCAATGCAAAAATTACGCCTACAACTTATACATCACAAATGTTTTTGCCATGAGTGGCAATCGTCCAAAACATTATTTTGTACATATTTCATTTCGAAGGTCGACCCATCATCGCGATGCAATAAGGGTGGAGGGTATTAGTACCACTCTATGGCACGTCAACCGTGGTCGTGATGTGAAAAGAGTGGGCTCTTACCGTGGGAATGTGGAACTTCAACCGCTGGCTCTGAGCCGTAAAAAGTACAAGGGCGCATTTAGAAATTCACGACATTGCAAGGCATTGTCACTGACCATGGCGGTCGGGTATTTTCCGTGCGTAGTTTTGGCAGCGTTTTCCTGTCGAGTTTGCGTAACTTCGAGATGAAATTGGATGTAGGGTGAGCAACGTCTGGACAGGTCAGAATCTCATGTGTCCTCATCAGAGGGCTCGTAGTAGCAGCAGCAGTAAATCACCAGCGTTGTTCCACCGTATTGGCAGTGTTTTTTACAGCGTAATCGACTGGCTGCAAAGCACCTCGTCCTGTGAGAGCCAGTTATTTTATTTCTTCCTTCTCATTTAACTCCATTTGATGACAGAATATATACGTTAAAGGGTCGACACTCCATTGCTTTTTAGTTTAAATCACTGTTTTATTTATCCAGACGAGAGGCCTTGTGACCAGAGTTTAGAGTATTTGGCTGCTATAAATTTCCACACAAGCCACTTCCTTGAGCTATAATTTGTGGCCAGGTCGCTTCTGAAAAAGAGCTATGTAGCTCAGTGGGCCTTACCTGGTAAAATATAGTTTAGTAGTTTGACTTGAAATAAATAAATGATGCTGATGATGAGACCCAGAAGGTCAAAACCTGTCTTCTTGAATCAAAATACATCTACTTTTTTCCCCCTATAATGTACACGTCTTGCTGTTCTTCGGACTTTGGCGATGCCGTGCCATTAGGATTCTTCAAAAAATAAAAGTTGCATCCCCTGGCATTAATGAGTCAGTGGTGTCGTGGGTGGTGGCTGTCGTGAGACTGTGGAGCAGCTACTTAACCTCCAGTATTGATGGACTCGTTCACACCACTGGGAGCTCAAATGTGGACATTTTACTCATGTGGAATTCTGGGTTATGACACTAGCAATCAAAAGGCCACTTTACCGGTATATGTCCACACCTGAGTGTAATGTACAACACGGCATCAGGCACAGGTTCTCCGGTGGTCTACTAGTAATGAAGAAATAAAACGTCTTGTACCAGGGTTGATAATAAAAAATAAAATCCAAAAGCTATGAATGTGTAAAGAGCACTTTAACAATCCATATAAAACACCATTACACGACCCTAAATGTGTTTTGCAACGACACTCAAACAATAATTAATTTATGAGCAAAGGCACAAATACTAAATCATCAAAGCATGTGTTGAAATTGCCCATCGTGTTCTTTCACTCGCATGTACCACACGTGCAGCAAGAAGCGCATTGTGCGCAATCGCCGATGGCATATGGATCATCGCAGTGTGCGGTCACTCCGCCTGCAATTCAACACCGAATCACGAACCGTACTGCATTACGCCACGGCCATAAGGCACAGCCAGAAAGCATTGCCCTGCCGAGTGGAAACATTAGGCCCAATTCATGGCACTTGCACTTAAAACTTGTTAAAATGTCTTCTTTATTGATATTTTAAAATCAACCTTGACGTGAAATTAATGAGAGACCCAGGGGAGTGAAATACCGTCCTGGAAGATGACTCCACTGCACAAAAGATCGGGATAATTTCCACCCATTGAATCTGCGAGCTCTTGCAATTACAACGCCGTTCGTCAAAATAAAAGATGCAGAGTTCCCCTTTCTGGCAATGGGAGCTTTCGGAAAGAAATTGCACCGCGCTGCAGCAGTCGGTATTGGAGCATCGTTGCGATCACGTTGCCAAGGGCAAGAGCCAGTAATCCAAGTGTTTATTACTCTCTTTGAGTGTTACTAAGCATGAACCGGGTTGATTGTGTTTTACAACATTTACAAATTTATCTAAATTTATTCAATATGACCAGGAGGATAATTGTATCGGCAGCTTTGGTCTACACAAGGACAGCATCGACCAAATCATTTAAATCGTTCATGCAAAGTCTAAAACCATAATACTGTATAAGAATGGTAAAGCTAAGGCTTGAATCAATTTAATATGTGAATCTGAAAAAGATAAAATCAAATTAGCCAGATTGTTTTACGATCAAAATGCCAAATACTACAGTATATGCAATTGTCCCAGCGCTTCTAACCCCTCCTGTAATCAACGAACAAACGTATTTTTTTAACTGTAACTTTGACATCAATGTCTAAATTGCACCAAGTATTGGAAAAGAAAATAGTGAACATGAGGTTTGCATTTTATTTTCAGAAAGCGTCTCTTATTAACATAGGCGCGCCCTTAACCGGATACACACAGCCAGTAAAGGGAAATGATTAAGACATGCTGATTAACTTCGTGTTACAGTACTGGAGTGGGGTATTACCAGAAGTGTATTGCCAAAGGCCCTCTCTATGCATGGCAAGGTTAGGCTGGAGTAAATGGTCCTTGTCTGCTTTCCTAAAACTTCACGGTTCAATCTTGCTCTCAAATCCACCCTCTCTCCCCCTATCCTACTTTTTATTTATTGCACAATGACCCAACCCCCCCCCCGCTTCCACCCCCTCAGTCATAACCTTCGTATCAAATATTCAAGAGGCCAATGCAGTCACTGCCTGACCCTCCTGTTACTTGAATGCATATTCATCCAGATGCACGCGTCGCGAATCGATACTCATGCCCGTGCGTGCGGCGAGTCTGCGTGTCGCTGTGCGAGCTTCACTTGCATTGCCAAATGCATTCGGCCGGACCACGTGCAGCCGAGCATGCAGAGCGCACATTCCAGCCTCGCAAAGACAAAGATACCCCGTGTAGTCGACATAGGCCGTGGGAATAAGTGCTGCAAGCGAGCACCTATGAATGCCAGCCGCCTTTGTCTCACCATGCTGATGTTTACACACTGCCCCAAGTACTCATTTAAGGCTGAGTCGGCCTAGGAGAGGTCCAGAACTGGTTCAGATATTGACCACTAATGTTGGTCGTGGCCAGGCATCGAACACAGGCCGCCGGGTTTGTTGCCCGGCGCGCTAGCCGCGACACCACCGCCGCGCCCTCTTCATCGTCCAGATTCAGAATCGGGAATCAGAATCTTGATTTAGACTGGAGAAATCCGATGCGCCATGAAGCTCTTTTTCACAACCGGGGTGGGGCAGCGATCTTGGCCACGTGATGGAGGGCGGTGAGAGGCACGGGTTCAGTAGCAAGCAGCAGCAGCAGCAGCAGCAGCCTCCACGCTGAGAGCGAGCAGCATCAGGGAGCCGTCGGCCGCGTGACGGCCCCGTGCTGCTGCCTCGGCGGCGGCGCCGCCGCCGACGTGGCGGCGGCGGCGGCGGCGGCGCCGCAGTCGTCCTTGGCGACGCTGCCGTTGCAGCCGCCCACGGGAGTGTCCGCGGGGAGCAGCCGCACGAGCGAGCGGACCTTCGCGGCGTAGAAGTCGCGCAGGTTGCGCGAGTGCAGCTCCTCGGCGTCCACGTCGCCGTCGTCCTCCGAGCCGTCGCAGGCGCCGACGCCCATCTCCATGGCCTTCTGGATGCGGTAGTACTTGGTGAACTTGTTGAAGATGATGGTGATGGGCAGCGCCACCACGATGATGCCGCACATGATGCACGCGGTGGCCATGAGCTTGCCCGGCACGGTGACGGGCACCGTGTCGCCGTAGCCCACCGTGGTCATGCTGATGGTGGCCCACCACCAGCACGTGGGGATGTCGCGAAGCTCCGAGCCTTCGTCGTCCTTCTCCACGGCGTACGTGAGCACCGAGAAGATGGAGATGCCCACGGAGAGGAAGAGTAGCAGGAGGCCCACCTCCTCGTAGCTGTGCTTGAGCGTGGTGCCCAGCGAACGCAAGCCGGTGGAGTGGCGCGCCAGCTTGAGGATCCTGAAGATTCGCGCCAGCCTCAGCACCTGCACCACCTGGCCGAGGTTGTGCAGCTCGCCGCCGCTCTCCAGCACCGAGTCCACCACCAGGGTGATGTAAAAGGGCAGGATGGACACGAGGTCGATAATGTTGAGCGGGTTCTGGGAGAAGCTCCTCACATTGGGCGTGACGAGGAAGCGCACCAGGAACTCGGAGGTGAACCACGCAATGCAGAAACACTCCACGGCCATGAGAGACGGGTCTTCGAGCTCCTTGCCGTTGGCGTCGAAGAGCTGGAACTCGGGTGTGCTGTTTATGCACATGGTGATGATGGAGATGACGACCGTGGCCAGTGAGGTGGCCGCGAAGACCTTCGAGGACAGTGAGAACCCGGGGTTCTCCAGCAGAAGCCACAGGCGCTTGCGATGCTGCCCGCACCGCTGGTGCTCGAATCGCTTGGCGTCTGCCTGCAGGAGGCACATGTCCTCGAAGCTGGATGCCTCCGAGCTCTCCTCGCTCTTCTCCTCCGAGTCCCTGCCCGCGTAGTCCTCCATGCGCTCGTGGTACCTGTAGCTGCAGCAGGAGTCGATGAAGAACTCGTGGATGCCCCAGTAGGCGATCTCCTGGCTGAAGGAGTGCGCGCACACCTCGGCCATCACGTGCAGCTTGCCCGTGCGGTAGAAGTTGAGGACGTAGCTGAACACGCCCGGGCTGCGGTCGAAGTAGAACTCGTCGCGGGCCGCGTCGTAGTCGTCGCACATCTCCAGGACGGCCTCCCACGAGTGGCGGCGGCGGCTCGCGAGGAGGGCGAGCCGCGTCTGCGGGAAGCGGAGCAGCACCGCGTGCCGCAGCGTCCGCTTCAACCCCCCGACGTTGACGTGGATGACGAGCCCCTCCTGGGGGCCGCCCTCCGTGGCGTGGAGCAGCTCCTCGTCCTCCTGGTCGCCCAGCTCGCCCAGCTCCCCCAGCTCAGGGGGGCTCGCGGAACTTTGTCCCGGTGGCATCACAGCCGCCCCGACGTTGCGCGTCTGTGGAAGGGGGCGCGGGACAGTCGTGCCGGTCAAGCAAAGCCCCGGGCTGCCGAACCAAACAAATGTCAGTGTGCAAGGGTCGTTAGTCGAGGATAATGCGTCCGTGGCGTTCTACCTGCGCCGATTTGCATTGCCGTAGAGCAGCTGTCGAAGAGAATGGCACAAGGTACAGCATTAGCTGCGTGGACGCCGCCTGGCATTTCCTCGCACGCAATCGCCACCGTGAGTCCGAGTGTGCCTTGACGGTGCTGTCTCCCTCTCTCTCTCTCTCTCGGCAAAGTTAGGTTTCACACAACTGAAACGTCAATGTTTTTTTAGAGTAACAAAGCGGCACAGAAATTGTAACCCTTACCCTACAGAACAAAACATCGTACGCATGCTCGGTCCCGATTGGATTTCATGTTCATGTTTAGTTAATGCAAACCAACAGGTAAAAGGATACCTAGGGATACGTGACGTGGCGCGGAGATAGCGTGAGCGTGGCACGAATTTCTTCATCAAACATTGGCGAACTTGCAAACCGGCAATGCAAGATTATAACTGAATTTAACAAATAATAACATACTCAGCAACAGCCAGCACACGGCACGCATGCGTGAAAATACAAATATAATCTGGGTGGGAAGTCCAGACCAGGAGAAAATGATCGGAGAGTCATGTAGCAACATACCGTTCGGCGTATCCTGGGCCTCCACCTTCGTGGGTGCACTGAACACGCACAGCAAGTATATCCACGTGAATATGCAGGATGAATGATAACACTCACATAGCTTAACAATAGCCGGGCAAGTGTGAGCTTTTGTGGCGTTTAAGACACTTTTCACACGCGCTTCTTAAAACTTTACGACGCTTTATAATCGACGAAGTCAGTGAACACCTCTTCAGGCTGGCTAACAGAAGTAATGTTTCTCCCCAACGCCAATGCTGAACACAACGCAGCTGGTATTATTCTCTTTCCTACTGCTGAGTCTACCGAGTGGATGGCCATACCAGGTCCAATACTAGCTGCCAGTGGTCTCAAAAGCGTCTCCACGCTCAAACGAGCAATGGTGCCGTGGGCATCCCCGTTGGAAGGACGCCCCGGGCGAACGGTGGGAATTCCACATTACTATGACGGGACGGGTGCGGTCTGTCCAGAAAAAAAATGGGCTGGAGGGTCCAAGCCCGCTCTCCCCCGCTTCTCTTTATTATATCCAAGTCAACTAATGTCAGCGGTACGTTCCTCTTGCATGTCAGAATCTGAATCTTTATGTATTTAAACTGGATGAATCTGATGAGCCATGAAACTCTTTATCACAGATGTCCAGTCGGGACGGGTGAGCGAGTTACGTGAACATACAATACAAGAAAGGGTACGTATGTTGAACTTAGTTCGCACCGTACGTAGCCAACCGTGCTAATCGAATGTGCCGGGAAAATTCAACAAACGAACCACAAAAAAGCAAATTTCGATTTAAAGCTTTCGTGACCGCAGGGATTCATATTCTTGGTTCTTTCGGTAAAGTCACGCAGAAGGGAAATAATAAAATAATAAAACAATAAAATTCTCACGACGTTTCGATTGCAACACAAGCAATCATCATCGGGTGTGAAAACCCACAGCAAAAAATAATTTGAACAAAAACGCCACTTTGTTCAAATTTTCTTGCTGTGGTTTTCACACCTGATGATGATTGTTTGTGTTGCAATCGAAACTTCGTGATAATTCTTTTTTAGTTTTATTTTTATTCTTTTATTTCCCTTCTACGTGACTTTACCGAAAGAACCAAGAACACAAAAAAGCAGTTCTAAAGAAATTAGCTTTCAATCTGGATTTAAAAGGGCATAACTCCAATGGCTTCCTAACATTGGAACGAAGAGTATTGCAGACGGTCGCAGAAGCGCATCTGAAAGCGCGCGATGCGGTGACCGTCTTTGTTCGATGGTTTGCCAAAAGCTGCCGCGAGTATGACCGAAGTTCCTGTGATGGTTTATGCTCTTTGACGAGATCAGCAATGCAGTGTCGTTCATTTGTGACAAGCACTCTGTGTGTAATGAGTGAGACATCATAATGCATTCGGAGTAAGGTAGAGAAGAGTTCAGCAAGTTAATAAAAACATATATATATACAGATATACAGTACAATGGAAGTTCAAATTGGACTCGTATATAAATGTTTGCAGCGAAACAACAAATGCAAGACCATTACCAAGGCCATATAAAGTCTTTCGCGTTACATTGCACTCGAAATTTTAGTTATCGATATTATGGGCAAGGTTCATCGTTCCAAATCGCCGCATCTGGCTTAGGGGGCTGAGCGCCACAGCAAGAATGCACGGCAGAGCAAACTCAATCTGCTAAGTGTTTAACATGTGTGTTCAACACGAAGGGGGTGGGTGGCCAACACCACGCCCGGCCGCCTTTGTCTCCCCAGTGGTGATGTTTACACACCGCACAGTGCAGTCGTCCGAGGCTGAGTCGACCTAGGGGAGGCCCAGAACCGGTTCAGATAATCATCGCTGGTGTTGGCCGTGAACTCGGGTGGCCGGGTTCGTAGCGCAGCGCGCTAACCGCTACACTACCGCTCCCCGCGTGACACACACACACGGACTCACACACCCTTTCAAACAAGGTCACGCTACGACAAAGTCATTCAACGAGCGCCACGCGATTGTAGCGACTCGCAAAGGGACGGCGAGAGAAGGGTTACACGACAGCGCGGCGACAAACTCACCTCGCCGGCGCACTCGCAGCACCGCGCTGAGCCTTGCAAACTCGCCAAAGTGTCCCGAATGGAATGCGCGCCTGGAGCTGACCGAGCCGACTAAATGCGTGCTCGCCCGCGGCTCGCTATTTCCGCACGCCCCTTGCCGTGGGATGATTGGGTGAGGATGGCTGTCATGCACGTGGAAGGATGCTGTAGCTTTGTCGTATATCCCTCGTTGCTTGCTGGAGTCACCGAAGCCAGGGCACGGTGCAGAACTTACTTCATTCTTGCTATCTTCACCGTCGTCATCATCATCATCGTAACTACCATCACGCTCTTCTCGTCTGCGCGGCAGCCTCCTCCTGCCCCGTGACGTCTCGAGCCCCGCTGCTTGGACTCTCCTCCTGCTCTCGATGCGCTGCCCGTGACATCGGACGGGGGGCGTGCGTGTGTGTGTGACTATGTGCGTGTGTATGTAGTGTGCGTGCGTGTGTGTAACTATGTGCGTGTGTGCGCGCGCGTGTGTGTGTGACTATGTGCGTGTGTATGTAGTGTGTGCGTGTGTATGTAGTGTGCGCGTATGTGACTATGTGCGCGTGTATGTAGTGTGCGCGTATGTGACTGTGTACGTGCGTTTCTTGTGTGTCTATGTAGTTATGGTGTGTATGCTATGCGTGTGTATGTATTTGTAGATTTATGCCTGCGCAAGTGTATATACGTATGTGGGTGTATCTGTTTCGCGTGCCTTCATAGGTGTTTGCTAACAGCACCTTCCCCCCCCCCCCCCAATAAATAGTATGTTAAGACTATACGGGTGCTCTTTGTCTTTGTATCTGTTTATATCCAGATCTTTTGTGTATCTATGCTTATGTGTCTACACCTGTGTGTATACGTATCTGTGTCATTGTCTGTCGATGCCTGTGTGTGTGTCTGTGCCTATCCGTGTCTATGCACGTGTCCGTATATGCATGCATTTGTCTTTGCCTCCGTGTGCCCGTGCGAACGCGCGTCTGTCTACACGTTGAGCGTCGGCGTCTGTGCGGCGAGCAAGGTCTGCACCACCGACTCTGGCTCTGCCCGCCAGTGCAGTGTAACGTGCGCCCTGCCGACGAACAGATATTTATGAATGAGGTCCACTTCATTCAAAGGGAAACGCATCTCTCGCTCTGAGACAAGCGCGTGGCCGCGTTTAACAATGAAGCACCGAGGCGGGGTTACGACGCCAGACAGCGTCTGGCGAAGCGCTTGCGATGGTAGCGGCGGCAGTAAAGTCCCCGTGACCGCTCTGTAATATACTTTTTTTTGTGGCGTTGTTATTCCGCTGCGTACTTATTGACGCTTCTACGACGAGCATAACCGACATTTATTCGCCGCCGTGCGTAAACAAAAATGAGACCGGATGCAGCCTGTTTTACCACCCAACATCATAAACTGACGAATACAGCAAAATCGACTGCTCCTGCTCTCTCTGTGTACAAGTCACCCAGAATGCACCATTGTAATTTGTTCCCAAGGAGCAGGCTATACCGGCAGTTGATAAAAACAAAAGTGCAAATACACGCATCATTTGCGCAATAAAATAATCTAGGCTTCTAAATAATAAACAAGCACGCAGTGGCATATGTGCAGCAGACCATTGAATTTGTTCCCAACCGTGGGGAGGTGGGATTGTTATTCTCTCTCTCTCTCTCCCCCGCCGTGGGAAAGTGGAATTTCCACCGCTGACCCAGGGCCACCAACGAGGATGGGCGACGCTCGTTACGAACCAAGAGGTCGCGCTCCAAGTGGGCGCGCGGCGTCTCCCATGACTCTTCGCTTGGCAGTCGGATTGTTCGCATGCGATCAACCCCCGTTCGTGGGAGAACGGCATTTGAAGGGGGCCACCTTGTGGCGATCAGTGTTGAGTCTGAGCAGTGCCTGCTGATGGGTTCTATTCGTTATTGAGTATGGCAATACGTCCAGGAGCTGCGTGCCGACCAAATGTCGAGATCTGCTCGCCACGGCGTGAGGCGGCTTCAGGACAGAGTTTGTGCAGTTGTTGCTGCTCCTCCTCCGTTGAAGCTGCACGGACTACAGTGTCTTTGGTTGCATGGCCATTATCGCACTGCTGTGGCTCGTCTTTAAATTTCCACTCATGGTGCGGTTAATATTTACACCTGGCGTGTTCTAGGAATGTTAAATCCAGGAGGTGAGATATTTGGGTATGTAACGTGTTTTTGTTTTTATTTGATGGATGGACGATCAAACACGCCATGTGAGGTTATCATAACTATGCGGCAAAACCCATTGTTGGACTGCACCTCTATGCACCCGCGTCTATGCCTCCCGTCGTCACCAACCTTCACTGACCAGCGTGGTGAAGTATGGTAAAGTACGCAAGCGTACGCATTTGGGTTAACCCCCTCCATGCGTACGTACTAAATGGACGGCCCCTAATACAGGAGCTCATTCTATAGACGCCGTTAGTAGCATCTTTGCAGTCACGCGTTTTGAGTGCTTGTAACGCCTGACTCTCCGGCTACGAGATATAATTCCCCTGGTAAACCTTCAAATGTATTTCGCTCGGTCAATATCCTTGGAAGTTGCGTAACCATGTGAAATCAGGATAAAGCGATGCTTGCAATCGCGTGCACTCTCCATCATATTTAATAACAGCGCCACGCCAAAGTGTGATACCAGAATCACGTCACGGCGGGCACAAGAGTTCATTTACAACTCAATCAGCTATCGGAAAGAAGCCACCTACCGTTGCCAGGGAATGGCCCAGGAAGAATACACTCCAGAAATGATTTTGGAGTCAAGTCAAGAGACGTCTTATGCAATGAATACCATTCGATAGTGTATAGAATATGAATAAACTCATTCCTCCGGCGAGTCAAGAGGTGGGCTCAGCCAAAATAGAAACGCTGAAGGTTTGCAGTTTTGAGCAATAACTGAGTGCCGTCAGCTTAGCCTTGACGCAATCGTGGGATACTGGCCAGGAGTCCATGCCGTGACTTCAGCAACGCTACTCCACAGTGCTCTCACGGTCATTATGCACCGCCCTGGGCAAATAATAAAGCGCACTTTAAGCCACATCAATATTTCAAAAGATGCTCTCATGATCATCAGCAGCGTGATCATTGCACTGCTGAATAAAGGCCTCGTCGCAGCCGTCTCCACCATACACGGTCCTGCGATGTGAGTTTTCACCCGGGATTTTGCACGCGAGATTATCCCATCGCTTCATCTCCGCGGTGGACGCGTTCCCTCCCCTGGCTGCCGACGTCCCCGTCATTATTCTCGATCACCGGCCGTTATCCCTTGTGTAGCGACATCTCCCGCACGAGGCCGAATTGAACCGAAACTAAACAATGTTTTTATTTTATTTTACCAGATAAGGCCCACTGCAGCGACCTGGCCATGAATGATGGCTCAACGAAGTGGCTAATCATGTGGACATTTATAGTAGCAAAACACTCTAAACACATGTTTCTAAACGTGGAGGGGAAAACCGGAGGACCCGGAAAAAAATCCACACGACCACAGGCATGCATTCTCCAAATATACAGGCATACAGGGTCGAGATCGAACTCACGACCTCTCGCCACCGTGGTGCCCACGATGTCTGTAATCTGCAAAATTTTCGAATCGATTCTGTCTCCTCTCTCTGCCTTTCAATGCAATTCCAAGCAGCCACTCGTTATACTATGTTGAGCACCCTTTGATTTGTTGTTGTTCAACGTCCTTAGTTTACTGCTCTGTGAGAATGTAAATGCCCGAGTCGCAGTGCCGGATTATCCTAGTAGCAAAAGTATGCTACGGGCCCCGCACTTTCAAGGGCCCTGCGCTAAATGCTTTCAAGCTATCAATTCCGGTTCAGTGATTCTGCACTTGCTTTATTACTATAGTACTATACTGCGTTCAACTTTCATGAACGACTGGGTGTTTAAGGTTAGCGATTCGTGGTATTATTTGGCTGTATAGAAATTGAGCAAAAACAATACAATTACTTTACTATGCAAGTTAAAAAAATTGTGTTTTAATATTTACGTTTTTTTTTAATTTAGGGCCTCTTCATAACAACGTATGCTACAGGCCCGCAATAGCTTAATCCGGCACTGCGGGGAGGAATTACGCGACGCGCATATACATGAGCGAAATATCAAATCATATCATGAAAACAAGTTTTGCTGGCTGAAGGGAGGGAGGGAGGGCGGGCGGACAAGAGGGAGAGGGGGTCTCGTGCAAATGACGTGCGGGTTGCAGGTGTTAAACGACGTAAAGAGTAGCACGGCGTATACAATCACAATGCTGTCCGTCGTGTACTTGGTCGTAAAAACGCATTGTCTCTCCTCTGCTCGCATTGCTTCGTGCACCCGCGTCGATAACAATGGGCGAAGCTCGTCGCATCTTCGCAAATGCCCTGGGCTGGCGACTTTCCCTGGAGCGCTTGCGAATGAAGCGAGCTCCCTTCGTGGTGTCCCCACTATTCACGGAGACATTCATGAGACAAATATATACTCGTACTTACAATTAAACAATGACACATATCCCCCGTGCAAGCCTTTAACAGACTGTTTGGACAAGTGCAGTTAAACGAGCAACATTGAAGTCCGGCACGGCGGACGAGGCGCGTGGGTGGCCAGCACCACGCCCGACTGCCTTTGTCTCCCCAGCGCTGATGTTTACACACCGCGCCAGGTACTCGTGTAAGGCTGAGGTCGACCGAGACGAGGCCCAGAACCGTTTCAGAAAATCGTCACTTGGGTGTTGGCCGTGAGCGAGAATCTAACTTGGGTCGGTCCGGATCGCAGCACGGTGCGCTACACGGCGCGTTCACCGCCGCGCCACCGCTACCCACAATCAAGCACGCAAATCGGACGCGCGCACACCTGCGGCAGATCCACCACCAACAACAACAACAAAAACCACGGGCGCGCAATGAGAAGGAGCCACCTGGCGGGTGGCTAATAACTCACCTGCACAAAAGCGCGCGGTGAATTATGCAAGCGGGACACGTGTTGGCTAATTTGCCACCGAGAGCCACGCTCACTCCGGGGGTGTCGTTTCACCAGGCAGTAAATTACGAGCGTGGTTAAGCCAAAGTTTCTCCCGCCACGGCAATTCGATCGGCGCTGGAATCAGTTCATAAACTATTAACAGCAGGGAACGCTTGAAAAAAAAATATGACGGTGGTGTTTTACCACGGCAATGGCGAGGTCAAACGTGGAGCAATTATCGTTATAGTTAAGCATTATCATTTTTTTATAGGAATAGGTTTTACCCTTTTAACTGGCACAAAAACTGACACCTTTATTCAAGGCATCATGTTTGCAATGACCACAACACAAGCAGTCAAAATGCAAACAAAAAAGACAACTCTGATAATAATATGCACTGTCCTTGAATTTGATTGGTCCACACCCGAGACAGCTTTTCTTAGAGCCTAGTCTCCATTGGTGTTGGACCAGAAGACGCCAAAAGGCGAACATGATGCCTTGAATAAAGGTGTCAGTTTTTGTGCCAGTTAAAAGGGTAAAACCTATTCCTATGTCTTGTTTCTGGCAAAGGAGGTCTCATAACATTATCATTTTCTGAGGGTCGGTAAAAAAGTCATGTGTCGTGGATAGATTGACCCATCACACGAATGTGGAATTGCCATTCGTGGCTCAGAGCCACAATAGTTTGCACACGCATGTTTCGATCACAACACTCGTCTTGAGTAAGGGAACACACGCTGGCCTGTTGAATTCATCTTCTGGATGAGAGTTCGGATTAGGGGGTGCCGATGCCGTTGGCGTTCGGGTTATATTGCATTGGGGCGGACACGAACCACCCCCGACGATTCGATTCATTGTTGCGAGTCCGAGCAACATTGCTGCTCGATGCAGTCCCTAACTTTTCGGACAAATTTTAATCGCCTATTTTGTATCGTTTCTCGTTTTCTCCGTCTCGTTTTCATGTGCACACTTTTGTACACTTCGTTAGCATACGTGCAAAAAAAATATACCTCGGCATTTTTGGGAGCAATTGCACACGTTGTAAATACTTGATTAATCGATTGAACAAAACATTATCACACTCATAGCGTGAACATGTAAAGTCATGTTGTCAATCCACTGCTGGCAGAGGGCCTCGCCACGCTTTGCGTGGTCGTGGGATTCGTTTGACTCTACTTCACCATACTCTTTGGTTCTTTCGGTAAAGTCACGTCGTTAGAAATAAAATAAAACAAACCACGACGTTTCGATCGCAACACAAGCGATCGCCATCAGGCAAAGGAGTCAGCCTCTAAAGGGAAACTGTTTATAAGGGTTTGGGGAAGCACGGGCGATGCACGAATGCCAATGCAGCAACAATGCCAATGAAGCAACAATGCCAATGAAGCAACAATGCCAATGCAGCAACAAAGCCAAACGGTGGGGATGCGGGGGGGGGAACTAACTCGGAAAAATAGACTAGTACCCGGCAGATATGATGGAACAACCATAAACAGTTATTTTATTTCTAACTACGTGACTTTACCGAAAGAACGAAAGAGTATGGATTCCTGCAATCACAAAAGCTTCAAATCAAGATTATACTTCACCACTCTGGTCAGGTCGAGTTGCTGAAGACAGTGATGTGTATGTGTATATATCGCCGTCTCCAAATCAACTGATAAGCCACTAAATGCGCCTAATGCTGCCAACCTGCGTGGTATAATCACAGTTAATGCATCAGCGGGCTTGATGATTCTGTCGAGAATTGGTGGATGACTGGGGCGTGAGCATTTAATCATCGTCTCATCAGCGGTACAATCAGTTCATCAGCAGTGCGAACAGCCGTTCCCCATTCCGCTTGAATAAAGTCACATGACCAAGGCAACCTTTTATCTTGGCTGGGTGGAGGCGGTTATCTCACTGTGTTTTAGCCGAGCCCCTTAGGTGGTTTTCCTTTGCTGAGGGTATGCGCAGATTTGTGAACAACTAAGGGGGGGATTTGTCGTGCGAAATACGATGTCTAATGCCAATGCGTTCTTCTGGTAAGTCGGTCCGATACAATCGTGCGCATCCTAATGCTGGAAGACGCGTTATTAACTGAAACGTAACCTTTGTGATCTATTTCTGTTGAATGCCGTGGTAAATAATACATAGGTACCGATGCAAGTCGTCTCCACGTTAATGTGTGCGTTCTAGTTGGTCCATAAGTCGTATGTGCCTTGCCAAGCAACGTTTGAAAGTAACTTTTGTTTTTAGAGTCGGCAACTTTTTTTTTTGTAATAGTTTCGGCTTTGAGTCTCAAGTAGTATTGGTGGGAGTGACGGCCGTGGTGCAATGTCCTTTAGATGCTCCTTGTCTACCACTGCCAACGCAGTCCCTTGTGCAATGCTGTGCGTTATTACGCAACATGTTAAGTTGACGTGCAAAGCGATGGCTTGTGGTGTGCGTTTTTTTATGGTTCCATAAGGCATGTGTTGGACTCCGAAATCTACTTTCGCATCAAATCATCGCTCCATCGCTTACCGGAATATTTTCCGGGTTCACTGGTAGACTGGCGTGGGCATGACTGGGATTAGCCACGGGCATGGTGAGAGGTAATACTGCATCTGGTGGCGTGCCGGGTGCCGACCTTGTTTCCTGGTCTTTGATCAGACTAGAAGCGGTTTAAAAAAAATCCCTTTGTTCAATCCACTGCTGGAGGATGGCCTCCCGACGTTGAGACACTTCGACCTCCGATTATCAGTTTGACTACGTACGGTACGAAGCAAGTGCCAAGTGCATAACGTGAGCGTTATTTGTCCATACTTGACCATGCTGGTCACAGTTGCGGGTGTCTGACGGTGGTGTAAAACGACGAATTGATATTGTCTCTCGCTATTGTCCTGGTAAACTCGCTAGAATCACTTATCGATTGCTTGAAAATGAGCTGCCAAAGCTTGGAAACATCTCTAGGTGAGGCATTGTTTTACCGCACCACTTTTACGTAGTTGCACTGTGGCCTATCACCTGTAATAGTGCAATTGCAATTTGTATTCCAATCTCCCAAGTTTGTTTACAGCCAATGGCGTAATAAATCGGTGTGATGTGATCTTGCATAAGCGAATTGATGACAAATGTCAAACAACTATAATTGCAGGCATCGAATCCTACGTAGGTAATACCAATATAAACATGCGTTATCTATTACACTTTTATTGAATGCAAGGCAACTCTTTAGCCAAATGTTCTACATGTGTGCTACGTAACTTTACATTTCTGGGATTTTGCGACCGGCTGTGACAAAGCACACCCTGACCACTGAGGCTCGTACTTAAGACGTCGATATCTTGCTGGCTCCTCTCAATTGGCACCATTTAGGCTGGTCCCTAAAGTTCCAGATTGAGCTGTATTTTGCTCTGGTACTGTGATTTCGAGGAAAGATTCACAATCTGGGCTTAAGTTGAAATTCTGGTCGGGGTTAAACTCGGCCCATTTTCTACGTGTTTGATAAAATGAGTACCACTTTATTGGGAAGCCAGACGTAAATGTCCCGTATACTGATCTCTTCCATAAAATGTTACTTTTCTGTGAGGCAACAAACATCGATCAACAGAACTGCCCAACGCTTTTTTTAGTGTGGACTTTTTGTAGCATAGAGTGCTACATGAACAATGATGCTGCTTAGACTTTGGTGTCAGAAAATGACACGTAAATGTTACTAGTTTACTTAATTTCGGTAAAATCTAAATGTTCCGAAGACTGATCATGCACATAGATTGAACGTTAAAGGGAAACGTTAATATGTATCGTTTATTACGTTTAAAATAACCCATTTAGCAAATGTATCTGTGGCCAAATATAGTTGAGGTTTAAGTGTAGAAGTATGACTACCTTTGTGTAGAAAACTGCTCAACGCTTGACAATCAACCGACTCTTCCTAGTGTACAACAAATACTGTAGCCTGGGTCTACATGCAAGTATTGCTTTGTCTGAATATGCGGATTTTGATCAATTATTTCCCCGAATGAGTATTAAAATTAGCCTTGCGTAACGGAAAAAAATATACGGGACACTATAACCTAATGTTCAATGTCTTCGTGCTCGATGCAATTTAAACTGTTATACTTTATTATTATTATTTTATTTATTGAAGGAGCAGCACGGTGATTGTGACCATCTTCCTCGCCTGGTATGCAGGAGGTCGGGGTTCGATCCCGAACCTGATGCCTGCTGCTGTATATTTGGAGTTTGCATGATCTTTCTCCCTGTGGTCGCATGCATTTTTTGTTCCTCATGGTCCTCCGGTTTTAGCCTCCATTTAGAAACGTGCGTTTTAGATTATTTAGATTATTTAGCTCTAAGTTTCCACAAGCCATTTCGTTGAGCTATAATTTGTAGCCACGTCGCTTCTGCAAAATAAGCTAATAGCTCGGTGAGCTTTATCTGGTAAAATAAACACGGTTTAGGTTTTTGTGTGTATATATATATTTTACAACTTATTTGCGGAACGTCTCTATACTATGCACTTCTATTGTGATTTAGTATTTTGTAACATTTTGATCTCTTGCTGAACATCTGTGTGGGGGGGGGGGGGGGGGCGCTTAATAGCTCATCGGATTCCTCCAGTATAAATATATAATCTGATTCTTGACTGTAAGGGTCACGTGAGTAAATAATACATGACGAGGGCTGGGGGCACAGCCCTGGGGGGGGGGGGGGGTGAGAGCGTGGGATTGGCCGTGGGATCGGAGAGGGTACGGGCGGGAAAGGAAAACAAGTAGGGGGACGATTCTAGGCAGCGCAAGGGACCTTAATTTAAACTTTTTATTTTACCAGGTTAAGACCCACTGAGCTACGTAGCCATTTTCTTTCAGAAGCGACCTGGCTGTCGCAAATGATGGCATCAACGGTAGTGGAATTATGTCGACATTTATAGCAGCCAAATACGGAGGACCCGGAGAACTCCGTGATTTACGGGGAGAAACACGCAAACTCCAAATATACAGCAGGCGTCAGGGTCGGGATCGAACACAGGACCTCATGTATACCAAGCGAGGTAGTCAATATCTCGCCACCGTGGCACCCCATGATTGGTGGAAAGGAGGGGATTTACAGAAACCTTCCAGAAGGTTCAGGGAAAAGGTTGTATATACAATGGCTCTTCTACTTGTGAACGTGTTAGGTTCTAGAGGTTTTTTCGTAAGTATATTTGTTCGCAAGTTCAACTTTACTCTTGTCCATTGTAAACGTTTGTACGGCGTGGATACTAAATACGGGGAATGACTTCAAAAGTTGTAGTAATCTCCTGTAGATGCCACTGGTTCTTCACGTTCTGCAGATGTAGACGCTACCACCATCTATTGCGCGGTGTTTGAACTTACGACTCGGTCTGAACAGGCAACTGGACATCCGGACAAATTTGTTTGGATCTCTGAAAGTTCGTTAGTCGGATGTTTGTAAGCAGAGGAGTCCCTGTAAAGGCAGTGAGTCAGGTGCGAGCTTGGGGGCTCTGGGTAGGCAGCTTTCTATGAGTGGAGAGGGGATTGGACAGTCCCCTGACCTGAAGTCTGCCTCCGTGTAGACTCCGTCACCTTGTATCAAGGGTGCGCACTGCGTAGGACAACCGCTTGAAATTAACTCTTATAAAATGTGCTCCGAGTGTGCAGTACGCGTTTCACGTGGTGTATTTGAGCATTTCAAGCGTTTAAGTTAATGTGTGTACGATGCGTTCATATGTAACCGCATGTACTGCTGTATTGGACACTTACCCGAAGCTTCTCTCCGTTTCAGGCTGACGCTGCTGACGCCGCTGCTGTTGCTGACAACTCGGTCCGCATTTGCTGAAGGGAACTCTTCTGGTAAAGAAAGAGCTTTTTATCAGATAAAATGATGCCTATTGTCGCCTGGCTTGCAGTTCAATTAATCTCGCCTAATTCTATCCCGTCACTCCAGCAAATGGTGGCCGTGATTCAACTCTCGCCGTGAGCCTCGGTTTTTATTGAAGTTTGCTCTGCTTTTCTTGACCTCTGCATCGCCCCACGAGTCCCTCTGCACGGATGCACTGCCTCCGCCGATTTAATTCCACCCTTAATGAAGACTTTTCTTAACACAACTCGCCTCGTGGTTTAAATTCGTGCTGTTTCCGTTGCTTTGTTATCGTTTCCAGCCGCACACTCGAACAGTTCTACTAGTTTTAAATATCAGCGTGGGAAGTCGAGCAGCGTCGCCCTCATGGGGCAATAAATATTATTCCAATCATCGGGGATGTTCCACTTCAGGCCTTGGGTTCGGGAGATAAACGTCTCTTAATGCTCATTTGAAGATGTTGACATTTGCATGGCGTGGTTTCCACTGCAAGTAGAGTAGGCCACCTTCCTCGTAACCGCACACAGTTGTGACAAATACTTCGTGACATGGAGTAACTCGCCAATGTTTTATTATTATTATCCAATTCAAACCGGGAAATTAAAGAGCATTCTGCACGTGAAATGTGACCCTCGCCATGATTAAGCACGTGCCAATGGTATGAGTGCATGGGGGACAAAGGAACAATTTATCAAACACGTTTAGTAATGACATCTGTCGACTATAATGTTTCTACCAAATTTAGAGATTGCGTACTCGCCTATGATGTAAACCTTGAAACGGTGTCCTGTGCCAAGTTGGACATCTGTGAAAAAGAGCTTTAGAGCACATTGGCTACGCTTGGAAAAAATAAATTTTGATTTCTGAAGGTAACATCCCTCCCATCTATATTTGATTGTTTTGACTAAATGAAAGAAAGTTTGGAGTGAAATTGTTTCCGATCAGCTTCTACCTCCGTTTTGCTGCCCCTGTTAATATATCTTCGTGGGCTGTGCCGCTATGCCTATACAGTGACATGCCCTGCATGCTTTGGCAATTCGTGGGGGTTTTTTATGCTGACGTGGGACTGAATTTATTTCGACCTCCTTTAGCTCTTTACGTTTGTCTGGAAGGCACTCGGCTGTCATACATCGTTGACCAAGATCGGCCCTTGGAAAACAATGCTTGTCCTTCTCAATGACTTTTACCCTGGTGAAAGTCTCGGTGGGAATGAACGCGCATCTGGTGTCACTTGAGGGCCCCGCTGCGCAACACTCACGGGAATGCTTTGTGGGTAATTGTGCGAGCGGTGCCGTGTGCCCGCAGGAATCATTGATTCTGCCTGTGATGGAAGCTTCGTACAAACATTCGTCAATGCCTCCTTCGTCAACGGCCATTACTGGAATGTCTCTGTGGAAGGTAATATTCGGGAGGGTGCCGTTTTACAACAGCGCTGATATTTTGGAGGGGAAGACGTCCCAAGAAACAAAACACAAAGCGCTCTCTCGTATTGTTCTTGGGCTGTGTGCCAGGCTGTCGGCGTTGGTGTCACAGTAGCGCTGTTGACTCCCTCGACTGGTATGCAGGAGGTCTTGGGTTCGATCCCGACCGTGATTCCACCTGTACTTGGCGTTCTACCTGTAGCCGGGTGATTTTCTTCTCCGGTCCTTCTGTTTTCACTCCATTTTTAAGAATCGGCATGCGTTTTAGATTATTTGGCAGCTGTACATTTCCACGTAATAAGCCACTTCGTTGAGCTATCGCTTGTGGCCAGATCAAGCTACATAACTCGGTGATCCTCACCTGGTAAAAATGTTGTTTTAATAATAATTCTAAAGCACGAGCAGTTTATAATCCTACTTCGCTATCTTGTGTAGATATCTCTGCCCAGCAGGTTCGGTTCTCAAGCACATAATATCTGCTTAGTCCTCCAACCCCATTTTAGAATGCTGGGCTACAGGCGTGCTTTGACCTCATGTGGTCATTGGCTCCTTGACGTAACCAAGCTACTACTGCTGTCGGCATTGGTCCCATACGGTTATGATGATGCTACCGATTGTTGCCCCGCCTTTACCCCCCCCCCCTTTCCCACCACCTGCCAGATCGGTCACAAGGCCTGCACCTCCTGACGCCGCGTTTTGCCACGCAGTGCGGCTACACATTCCACATGAGCTACAACGGCATGCTGACTCTGCGGGCCACCTTGATGAGCTGCCACGTGTACCAGCAGGTGCTCTGTTCGCCCACCCCCCGTACTCTCCATTCGTTGTCTGTAAATGCATACACGTGGTGCCAGGGTCCAGAGGGTGGTGGTGGTAAATGGATTCCCCAAGCTGATCACCTGGGGAGGGGGGGTTAAAGATAATCTGGTACCAGATGGTGAGCTCCTGAGAGCAGATGTGAGAGCTCTAAAGAAAGGCAGTGATGCCCATGATGACCTATTGACCTTGAAGCAGTATTACAAGCTTTACCCATCAACCATGTATCGTGATGTCATTGAAAGGATATAGTCTTTGTAAGGTTACATGCTCAGATTGTTTATGGTGTGCTTTCTTCTCATTGTGCCAATCGGTCATGTAGGGAATCTAATAAGCATTCTTAGGTACTGTTGTCATTCAGGGTTAAAGATTTATATTCAGAATTTTGGGGATAATATCGATACATGTATCTGGTGGTAGTGGTGATGTGTTGTCCTTAAAGCCCAGCTACCTGGGTTAAACTCTTAAGCGCAAGCATTACATCACTTTGTTTTTACATGTCTTGGAACTTCCTGGGTTTGTTGTAAAATACTACTAGCATAAGGAAGTTTGAGATATGGATCTGGTCACATGAATTCTATTGGGTGTTTTCGAAAAGCACTTGCCCCAAGTGTGTAATGGGTATATGTGGGTATATACATATACCCGGACATGTATACGATGTAAAACGTTTTCCCACGTTAGAGCGTTGTCGTGTAAGCTAATAGTGGTGTTAGTATTCGCTTGACTATATGCTGACATTTAGCAATGGTGTACCTGTGACTATCATTCTGAGCAATGGTGCAGTATTCCTCTACATTGGCGGTCTGGAAATAAAATACTGACGTTAAATGGTGATTGATGTGAACGGACTTGGCAGTACACCGTTGCAGCATAACATACCGGTCCTCAAAGTCTAAAATCTATATTTGAACCGACATTCATCTTTTGACTGCTTCAAGATCACGAACTGATTTGATGCACTACCCACTGCATTTTCTGACCGAGGCTGTGAATCGGAGGAAAATAAATAATTGAAAGGAATTTTTATTTATTTTATTTTTATTCCGTGCACCAACGGTATAAGACCAATATGTTCATTGAACTATTTGACGAAACTGACGCTTTGACATATCATGGATAGTGTCTGATGTTATCGTCTTGGCAACCCTAATGTGGAGAGTCCAGCAGTGCGATAATAAAGGATTTGTACATTACAAATATGACTTTAGAAAAAAAGTTGACCGTTAATATTTAATAAAAAACACATCTACTATTTTTTTTATGTAACAAGCGACTCGTTACAATGGAAAAAAAAAGCAGACGGTTTCCTGGCCAAATGCGTGCTCATTACCATTCCCGTGCATTGTTTACCGGCAAATCGGCCGGTGGTCGGCTACTCAAGCCGCAGGTTCAATCGAATAATCCAAAATGTTTTTGATCGGTGCACGCGATTTGGCAAGTGCCCCCTCCTGCGGAGCAGCGTTTCAGTGTGCCCCCCCCCCCCCCCACACTTCTCGATTGTCATGCAGGGCTCTGACCAAGTGCTGAAAATGGTGTGGATTTTTTATCCCAAGAATCCGCTTGAAAACATCTCTATTATTCCGTACACGACCAGATGCAGGACCAACTACATCTGGGCTCGGCGTGAAATCTTGTGCGCAGAAAACTTCAGGGAGGTGTGGCCCCACCTTTTGTTTGCTGCATATCCACTCTGACCAACTCCCCCAACACCCATTGTACTGTTGATTTTAGGGTGTAGCTACCTCCTATAGATTTTCATAAGTCTAACGTGTTAAAAAAAACCATAACGAATTTTTAATCTCGCGTTCATTTACATGGCACCATTGGACCAACGTTGACCCAACGTGTCCCACGTTTACTGGGTGTCTGCCTTGACCAGTTAATCCCCCCCCCCACCCATTAATGTGACAATGTCGCGTGCCAGGTCTGCGCTGGCTACACAAAACAAGTAACTGTCGGAGGCAGGCGTAGCGCTACAATCACTCGTCCCATCAACCCTTAATGTGGCTGCACGATATCCGTAACAATCTTTTACATGCTCCTGTCGGTTGACAAGCCATCAATTGCAAATCACTGCCGACTTGGTAATTAACCGTTGGACGTTTTTGTATACCCATTTCAAATTAAACGTGTGGTGCAAACCAGTAATGTACGCTACTTTATTCTTAATTTCTAAGCTTTTTCCCATTATTTAAAGCAGCTTTGGACTTTTTTGTGCAGCGTGAACCAAAGCTACCTAGGCCTCTGTTCCTGGCAAGTTGGATGTGACTTTGTGCTGGTACTGTCTGTAGTACAAGAATGATGTAAGTGACTCTTGATCTTGCTTTAATTCGTAAATGTAATATGTTGCTCTTTTTAGGTGTCGATCAGTAGGAGCTCTCCAAACATCCCAGACGTTGAAATACAGCAAGATGATTTCGATATTAGTATGGTGAGTGAATTTTAATGACTGGTCGTAGCGGATGCGTCTACTGTGCAGTGGGCATCTGTTGGTCCAAAGTTGCGTGTACTGGGTACTTATGGCGTGACGAATAAACTTGTAACGTCTGTCCAGATTACTTTGAATTGTGTATTGTATCATTTCTTATCAAAGTATCATTGCCTGTAATATGGGCAGTTTGCTAGCTTTGATTCAAGCAAACTTTACTGCTGATGCGATGCTGTATGTCGAAACTGGTCCAGAATGTGCATCTCTGCACTCAATGCTCTGAAATATAGCCCTCTAATAGGGCGTGTACAGCTAATGGGATGTGTATGAAATACTTTCATGGCGGAAAGTAATATATGCCATAGGTGTCTACTTTATTCTGTACAGAGTAGTTGGTCAGGAAATCAATTTTGTTGATTAGTGGTAGATTACTGAAATGCATCCATTGACTTTTCGGAGCTTGGTGGTTTTTACTGTGGCTGTGCAATGCCGGTAGCTCCGTATTCGCATGGCTGAGCTCTTTTGAATGTCGCCTCGTTAAGGTAGTGATCGGATATGTAATGCCACGAGATTCGATTTGATGTGGGCCATTGCTTTCACATTAATACCAGCACAACATAATTGTTGATGCCATGGTGGAGAATATAATTACCAAAAAAAATAAGCAGACCATATATCTCTGTTCTTCCATTTAAAATAATACGCGCTTTCAACCATGTCTTAAAGAAAAGGGGTCCTTGCCTATAATCTCCGGCAGTTTCACCAGCATTAGTCCAAGAAGGGCGGACGACTGAGACTGTGAAACGGGTCCAGCGTTTGCTTGTGTTGAACCCATGTTGCACTCCCAGAAGGCTTTGTCGTTGACGGAATGGGTAAAGTATTCGTTTATTTTTTAGACCGATGTACGAAGGAGAGCGCCTTGCCTTATTAACCTCTGAGCATTAACATTAAATTGGAGAATCTTCGTTGTGCCTTTTACAGTTGTGATGTAATTTAATAAATGTACTCAGTCAGGCAATGGAATACTTGCAAACTGCTTCCTAATGTGCGACATTTGCAACTCAAAGTGGTGTTGCTAAGTAATGGAATGTGATTACGTCATTTGGTGTTCTGTAATATAATGTATATACAGACAATTGCACGTTTGTAAAATGAGTATTTCAGTATCTTGGCAAAAAGATTGAATTGCCAACTGGGAGGAAGTTGCATATTTATGCTCTGAGATTGTTCCCGATCATGTAGAGTTGTACTGCTGGTCCTGGGGACTGCCCGTCACTCGTTCGAGCGTGGATATACTTTGTCTAAATTTACATTTTTAAAATAAAATGTATTAACTTGTGTTCCCGTTGACCCTGCTTTCAATGTTTTTTGCAGATGATGAATACTGCTCAGGTTTGGAAGATTTTCTTCAGGTTAAACAATGGAAGCCGATTTGAAGTCAACATCCAGCAAGCTTTTCAAATGGGATACGCGGTCAACAGCTCTGACTCAAGAGTGGTTTTTCGATCGCCATACTTTACGAATGAAAGCTCTTCTATGATGGTAATGCAAACTGACAGCCGAAAAATGTCAGATTCTACCGCTTTTTTAACAAAGTAACCTTTTGCATCTGTAAATGAACAGTGCACCTGATATATTCATTGAATGTAGCAGCTTGTTAACATCTAATTGAGAAAAAAAATGTGAATACGGAAGTGAAGTTGTACTTCAGTAAAGGTTCATCTTGAATGTTTTGTTGACAGATTGAAGGCACGATGGTTGATGTTATAAGACCATTTGTGTACTACGCGGATAGGTGGTCGGCCTTTCTCCTTGATATGACGACTGCCTGCCCTGTACGTAAGTGACCCGTGTTTTTGGTCCCTTTTAGGTGTGGTCGAGTGACTTTAATTTATTGCAACACCAACTGGTATTTGAATTGCGTACAGCGCTTGTTTTAGTTTTGTGTGCTGGATTTGTCGCTTATTGACTCGGAGAACCCTTTTTAAAACACAACTGAAGTCTCCAATGGTTCCTTAACTAGTTAAATATATCCGTTGCACCACGTGGCTACTGTGCAAGTTAATGGGTGCAGAGGAACCAGGATTGCCTATCCACGGTGTGCTCGGTGCTGGACGGTTCCCAGTGCCGTCGTGACAAGAGTGAAGGTCCATCCCTGAAATGTTAGTGTGATTGTGTCAATGCTGGCAAGAAGAGCTCTACTCGGAGGGAGCCACTTTTCAGAAAGTATTTTGCCCTATTCTTCCACCCTGGTCTGATCCCTCATGAAAGGGTGGAAAGTTCCCACCTTACCCCGCTGTACCCATTTGTTTATCGGTATTTATTTTCACTGAAGGAAGCCGATGACCTATGAAGCCGTTTCTTCAGAGGCCCAGTAGGGGCATAACGTTACAACAAGCAATATAAAAACAAGGTAGGAGTGCAAAGTCTAGCAAATGTAAGCAAATCACTAAACTTTGACAAAACGAAACTTTGTTTACTTGACCACAAAGCCCAATTAGCTCTTGGCTGCTCCAGAAGCGACCTGGCCACGAGTGATAGCTTGCTGAAGTGGCTTATTAGGTGTAACTTTATAGCAGCAAAACAATCTAAATGTACGTGACACATTTTTGATTAGTAAAAATAGATGGAGTTTTAACTTCCTTTAGTCATGCCACATTATGAAGTTGCTAATCTTAATAGTTTCTTTGAGTGATGCGAATTGGAGAACCGCATGTCTGAATGTTAGGCCCTGTGGCATGGTCTGTATGCAATGAGGCCGCCATCGCCACAACCAGCTGAAACGATTGCCCTGCCTTCCCCTGTCCTCTGCTGAAATTAAAATTTCAAATTGCTATAATTTACCGATATGTTGTTTAATCTCTAAAATAATCTGAGTCCGCTTTTAAAATGGAACCATGTGTAGGTTTACCGTTATCTCCTTGCTAAATCTGATCGCATTTAGGCAACTTGCAAATGTGGTGCTCCCCCAAACACCACATCTCCCCAGTTGAGTGAACAATTATCTCTGCAGGAGAGCCGGAGTGCACGGAACAAGACGTCGTGTGGACTCTGCCCAGGATCCTGCAACCGCTGGTGCTGCACTTGGCCGAGGTGGAGTACAAGGAGACGAGCGTGTGGGTCGACTTCAAGAAGGTCGACTCGACCACAATGGGCCAGAGGGGCTACGTCCTGACGCAAACGAACGCCACCACCTCGTTGTCGGTGCCGTGGGGGGCGGAAGGGGGCTTCAACAAGGTTCGTGGCAACAAACGGGCGCAGTAGACTGGGGCATAGTCTGCACTTGCTGGATGACCGAGGGGTGGGGTTGAAGTCGACCTTCCTGATCCAAATGAGAGCCGTGTACCATTCTTCCCTAATTAATGGGGAAAGTGTGAAACGAGCTTTGGTCTGCCCATGGATTTAAAAAAGCTTTGAATTCCTAAAAGAAAGCAATTTTAATGATTTGGAACGGTTTGATGGACTGCATCAACAACCCCTGACGAACTGAAATATGCAATAAGTAAAACCCTGAATCTTTAAAGCAGACCGATTTAAAGGGTGAATGCGACCTTTTTAAAAAGACCAAGGTCGTGATTGCAAAGAAGTTGATATTCAAAATTACACTACTTTTTCTAATTTTGTACAGAGGGCAATTTTTGCAGATGGTGGCAAAAAGTTACTTCTGTTCTTCATGCTCATGTGCACTTTAGGGGCTTTGGAACGCTCTTAAGGCACAATATTTAACTATTTTATCTGAAATATGTGCGAGCTGCCATCGGTCCCTTCAACTTGGCAATTTCTTGAACAATGAGACTCCTGAAACATCCTTATAGTCTTGCATGGATTAAACATTTCCCTTTAATTATTACTTTGAGTTGATGGAATGAAACTAGTTGGATATGTGTAACTTTGTTAATGTATTTTTGAGCAATGCCTTTTCTTTGCAGAGCTGTTGGGTTAATTGGCACTTCGGCATGGAATACATAATCAACCTGCAGATCCAGCATCTGTGGACTGATGACGTCTGGGACCTCACGAGAATTATGATTGCAACCAAGGGAAGCTGCCCTTGCCGAGAAATTCGACTGCAAGGTGCAGTATGCATCACACTTCCAGCCGTTCAGTTTCACGGCAGTGCTCTTATCTGTAGCGCCAAGTAACGCGTGAGATGCCAGCCGGTGATGATTAATTTTCAAATATTGTGACGTTAGCATCTTGTGGCAGAAAAACACGAACCTCTTGCCGTCGCCAGGATGTGACAGGAACATGGAACTGGTAGGTGTGACCAGTGTCGCATTTTTAAATCCTCGTGTGTGCAATACGTGCAGGGGTCATGGAATTATTTAACATGTACTGCAAATGATGCGAGTCTGGCTAATTATAAAAAAAAGCATGTACAAATGAGATTTAGTGAAAATTTAGATGCAAAATCAAGGCTTTTGATTCTGAAGTTGAATCGTGATCCTAAATTTCCACATCTCCAATCTTTCCCTTCTCCCTCCACCCTGCCCTACCATCTCAGTTCCCCCCCCCTTCTCCCTCACTACTCCTGTCTCTTCTGCTCGCAACCTCGGTCATCAACGCCTTTGTCTCAAACCGCTGTCACCTATCCAATAAGTGCAAAATCTGCCCCCTCGTCTCACTCTGCTGCTAAAGTCCGGGTTCACTCGCTCATTTACACTCCCCTTGGTAATTGCAACAATACTTCCTAGCCTTCCTGCCTATGCCTCCACTCCTCTGCAACAGATACAAAATGCCTTGGCCTTGATAATTTGTAACTTATCCCGCAATGTCCACTTTTGCTCTACGTTCCCCAACTCCACTGCCTCTGTACAATCGCTGCCTGTTTTTTTTTATGTCCTGTAGACTAAATCCTTCCATGGTCTTGCCCCCCCACCTTCTTGACTCTCATTTTGTTCCATCCTCTACACTCCCAATCTCTCCTGTCACGCTTTCCTATAAACTGCAACTCCTGTAGCACAAAACAATCATCATGTTCACTATAGCAACCAGCTTCCATTCCTCCCTATAAAACAACCCCTAGCCCATCTTGTTGCTACTCCCAGCCACGACCAGGCCTAACCAAACCATTTCACAACCCCTCGATCACTTCCACCCGTTCTCCTAATCGCCACCATAACTCACCACTTTAGATATAGCCCCACTTTATTTCAATCACCTTTGTACAATTTAAAGTTTTTGTAAAGTGCCTTGGAATAAGGCGCTAGATAAATGATTTAATGTCCACATTTCTGCACGATTCCAGTGCATGTGTGACGTTCAACATCCCACAGTAAAGGCCACCAGATATCTATGAGACCTTGTAGCCAGTATAAAAAGAATGAAAATAATACTACTTTACCCTCTGTGGCAATAAAGCAGGTGTTAAGATGTTCAAACACCAAATGGACACCTATTGCAAGGCATCAAGTGTGCATTAACCGCACTTGTTGCTAAACGTGCTCTAATATATGCATTGTCTTTGAAACGGATTGGCCTACACCAGAGAAGGACATTTTACCAGAGAATGCCAAAAAGGTGAACGGTACAAAGGCAATGCAAGTTTCAAAGTATTAATAGCTTTGGTTGAGCAGTTGTGGGACCTTTATAGCTCGGCTGTGCCCCCAGTGTCCCACACTTCACCAACATAAACTGAACCCCAGGTCATCGGCTTGACTTGGATATGTTAATTGTTCCCTGGGTGTGGTGACGTGCATCCAACATGCACAGATGCGAAGCTTGATACGTGAATAATGCATTTGGAAATGTTTAATTTAATGTAAAGTTTAGATGTTCGATGTTTGTTTGAAAATTTCAGCACTTTAACGAGTAGACATTCCACTTCTGGGACATTGACTAACGTCTTAACGCTATTGTACTCCGTCTTGGCACTTATGCGGACAACGTCTTCGAACACCGCTTTATTTACAACATCAACATGTCCTCCACACTCCACAGTATCCTGGTCACCACGGCTCACTCGCCGTGCTCCGCTCGTCTCGCTCACCACCTTTGTCTCCCGACTATCGCGTCACTTGATTCGCACTCAGCGACTCCCTGTTCAGCATCTCCGCACACAGCGTCTTCCCACACAGCGACTTCGCACACTCCGCACATAGCGTCTTCAACTCTGCTATCGCTACGCTCACTCCACTGCTAAATACTTCGTCTTGCTTCAGCTCCGCTATCGCTATGCTCACTCCACTGCTAACTACTTTGTCTTGCTTCACACTGTTCCAACTCCATTTCCCACTCTGTCTCCAAACTCTGTCTCTACTCTGTTTCCAACTCCACGTCTTCCTCTTCCAGCTTCCAACTCCCCCTCTCTCTGTTTCCCCCCAATTTATCCCCATTCTCATTATCGATAATTAATGGGCCCGCGTGCCTCCGCACGCTTCGCGTCCTCAAACACCTGTCCTTCTCCAGACACCTCGACGCCTCCTCGCCCTTGACAACAGCCACAGCCAATCACCGCCGTTGCTGATCCTCTGGCTTAATTGGCCCAACTGTTACCTCATCATCCCAGCCTTTGCACCTGGCTGTCCTAACACGACCCACACTGTTTACGCCTTCTCCACAGGCTGACCCAAGATAACCCACACTGTCCGTGTGATCATGCAATCGCGCAGTTTCCACAACACACCTTCATACTCCACTACACTTATAACGACGTTACAACTCGAGAATAACGGGTGTGAGTGCAAGTCCCAAATTGATGGGTTGACACTGCCCATTCATCCCTCCCCCAAGCTCAATAACATAACTGTTGTAGGAATTTTACAATACTTGTGCTGTGGCCTGACTTTCACCATTGCATGTTGGAAATTACACCACCTGGCTTGGCTATAAACAGGTGACGAGCACCACTGCGCTAATTTCAGCTCAAAGCTGCTTCGACTTTGACCTGAAATGCATGCAAGTAATGTCAGTTTACCATAAATTAGTATTTGCAGAATTCTCTTAAATGAGTAAATCCATTAGTCCGTACCCATTGAAACCTTGGCTGCATTGTGCCTAAGCAGTGGCACCGTGCATGACGGCTATGCTTCTCTGCTACGTAACTAATGTCCGTTTTTTGTCCACAGATGATGTGTGCACAGATTCTGGTTTTGCGATCACGATGGGGCTGTTTTTGAATGGAGTCTCCATCGTTAACTTGACGATTGGTGCAGAGACCTTCACGGTGTGCGACCAGGATGCAGGGGGATTATTGCTGCTCCAATCGGTGCAGGCTCCGTGTCGCAGCGCCGAGGCCTTGGACTATCAGCTTCACCAACAGCTTGTCCCGTGGAGTCCGGATGCATTCTATTTGGTGCTTGAAATCCCGTACAGTGCCAAGGTGGTGGAAAAACAGGTTGGTCCTGTTGAACGGTACGCATTTTCAGGATGGGTCTAGTAATGTCACCACTGCAGTTGGCGTCTCCGTCGGTGCCACCGGAGCTGCCAGTAAAACCCTTCCCATGGGAAGGAGCCAGACATTCCCAAGTCTTGCTTGGGATATTTGGCCAATTCCAAATTATAATGTTTGTAGGAAACTGAACTATGCAGAAATCCCACCGTGCATGAACAGAAAAGCAACATTGCACATTAGCAACACATTTCTGTCGACCTGGGTGCGTCCAATGGCCAAGTGCCCAGTCGTCTTCCATGACTTGCCAATAACAATTTGTGCCAATTTTCTGTCTTGCCAGTGTTCTCTTGTGCCAACGTTTAAACCATTTTTTTGCACGTCACTTTTCAAACGCCAGAGTCTTTTTGTAATTGCTTTGCAAAGTCCACTTTAACCCTTAACAGTAATAAGTTATCGCCTCCACCTGGCATGTTTCTTAAATAGTTTGTTTTACTTGGTCCATCCATCATACCGTTTTTAGCGTCTGGTTGTGTTTGGAACACGTTTGAATTGTCACCGTATGCAATGCAAATGCCAACTGGTGTTAAACTTAACAGTTAAAACATGCCCCGTCTTCCCCAGTACCTGGTGGGCACCACCACGCATGTGTACATGCTTGCCGTGAAACTTGTGTTGTTGGATACGGAGGCGCAGTATTACATCACAACAGTCCAGCAATCGTGCACTAGAAATGATGTCGGTAAGTTTTAATTTCGTTTGGTACACGTTTTAAATTGACACTTCTAGATTAATAGCAGTTTCATATATGTATGGGTTGGACCCACGTGGTGCTCTGGTCAACTTTTTGTCAAGATCCCCCTCCAGCTGATGTGCAAAACAAATTAAGTTGTTACGTGCGTGCAAATGTTTAAGAAGCGCATTTTTGCGTGTGTATTTTCACAACCAATCTTGGCAACTAAGTGTGACGCTTCGTTCGTGGCTACGTCAAGCATCAGGATAAGATGCAGGAAATTGGAATATTAATCCAGGAAGTCTGACTTGTATGATGCCAATGCTAAGGGGACAGTTCTGGAATTGGTGTACAATTATTAAGCAAGTTCACTCGTAACACTTTTATGATAAAGATGTACTGTAGACTAATTTTGTAAATGGCCCCTCCATAGCAAATATTAAGTTTGACAAATGGTTAACGGTTGTCTGAAAAAAGCACCCACTGCCAATGTCCCACTGGTTTCTGTTAAGGCAGTGTTAATGACTTAAAGTGGTGGTGCTAGGCATGAACAAAGAAAGCCATCCTTATATTTGGGCCCGGAGTGGCTAAAGGGGCGAGGGGCTTCCAATTGTTTTTTTATTGCAACTTATTGCCTCATCCGGATTGGCGAACATTACCATGTTATTATGGAGACTGTTGCAGAGTGATTTATGACTTCTCAACTGTGCCGCACTTGCTTTCAACCAGCATCCTCTGGTTTTTACTCCCCACATTTCAGAATCAACATGCTTTTTTAGTTGGGCTGCATTACATTTCCACGTTTTTAAGCCGCCACTTGGCTCTATCATTTGTGGCCAGGCCGCTTTTGAAAGAGCTATATAGCTCAGGTTGGCCTCTACCTGGTCAGAAACAATGGTTGATGGTTATAACCTTTAAATTGTGGCCTCTTCCAAACACCAATATCCCCCCCCCCCCCCCCTGGTCCCCTTGGCAGTTCTTCCGGTTGCATACGGGATGTGCACCACGAGCAGCCTCATCCTGGTGGTGCAGCCGGGGAGCCTGGACTCTTCCACGCTACTCTTTGTGGGAGACATATGGCTCTCGAACGATGCCATGGAGCAAATGGGATACACGTTTTCCCGCAATGCCACACACTTCTCCATCAGCATGCCACCCGATGCAAAGGGCCTGACAATTGAGGCACGCCCAACCCCTATTGCACACCAACGACTCATTCACATGTTTACTATTGGCTTGTGTGTGTGTTTTGTTTTGAAGGTGTCGGTGCTCCGTACATTGTGCTGCAGTCCTAATAACACAGGTTTGATTCCTGGCCATGGCTAACATGTGGCAATTGGCGTCTGAACCAATTCCAAAGCTTCTTAACTCGAAAATGTATGGTTTATCTCAATGAGCATGTGGTGTATAAACAACGGCATTGGATAGACAACGATTGCCTGGCACTGGCTCACACCACCCCTTGTGGCCATGCAGGCCTTAATAGGCCCTTGTTACGAGCACATGCTCCAACGTGCTAGATAAATGTGAGATGTATTTTTATAATAGCATTCTACTCTTGCTGCCTTCAAGTCTAACAGCGTGCAAACAGTGGTTGCATTTTAGATGATGCCAACCAAGTAACACTACATCGTAGAACTTGACTCATTAAAGTTGTAAGCTTGCATCCTGGTCACGGGGGTGACTTGTTCCACCCCCCCCCCCCCAAGTTTATAGAAAATAAGTAACCACTTTGCCGACAGCGGTTTTCCCAAGAGGTTGAACTCTTGATCACTCGCCATTGCAGGTGGTGGTGGTGAGCGCTCGTGCCATGTTGGGGCGTTGTCTCCAGATGGCACAGTTGGTGGAGCATGCCATCAATGTGATAGATTTCAAGTTCAAATCCTGGCCAGGTATCAACTCTGTTCATCCTTCAGGGCTCACAAATTGCGTATCGGCAAAAGACAACTGAATTTTATTATTATTGGTTCTAATATCCTTTAATTTGGGCCTTGAATTCGGTTGTGTGCAATATACAAATGTCCCGTAATGCCATTTCTGAAGATGCAATTGAGATTAGCACTTATCTGAACCTTTTGACTCTTGCCCATTGTGTCATTAGGAGGTGACGGTGTCCTTTGTTAAATACAAGTTTCAATTGAGGCTTGTGGATGCGACTACAAATGAAACAAATTTCCAGCTCTCCGTTTCTTGCCAATTTCCAACCACTGATGTAGTAGGTAAGCTAATGTTGCCTTAAAACGGCCATTCAAAAGTTACATGTGAGGGTCTGTCTTTAATTTGAGAGAATGCGGAGTGGTCACACTTTTATCCCCGACTTTGTAAACTCTCAAGACCCAACAGGGCTATGGGTCCTAACGTGGTGGGTTACGCTCATGGAGTAACCATTATCCTTGCGAGAGACGATAGCAACTACATTGCTTTGTGGGAAGACCCAAAGTGGTACTGGGACGGCGTGCCCTGATTTGCGCCTCAACCAGCCTTGAGCGTTCAACAATACTTGTCCAACAGCACAATTTGGTGCATGTCAATGGTATTTTTTTTGAGGTACATGCCCTCAAAGCAATTTCTCCAATGGGCAACGTTTCCGGTGCTCCCTCCCCAGCCTGCTTTCCGAATGGCACGGTGGCCGTGGCTGCCCCCAAAGGCCATACGAAGCCAGAGGTGGACCTGTGGCGACTTGCCCTGAGGGAACGCTCTTGTGGCCCGGTGTATGTCAACACCACCAAGGCCTACTTTGTGTTCACAGTCTCGAGCTGTGGCACATCAAGAACGGTAACACCCCCCCCCCGCTCTATACACCTGTGAGAATGTGGACCACAGTTACTCATCCTAGCTGAAATGTACAATAACATTTAGAATTTAAACATGGTGACAGCTCTGCAATTGTGCTTGCCCCACACCACTATTGGCGGAAGGGCCTCTCCTAGAGTATTTACAGGCTATTTGACCTACCACACCATACTGGCCAAGTGCCTTGGAAAAGGTGGGAATGGCGATGCCGCTACCCCCACCCATATGCAACCAGCCGATGTACTAACTGGTGCCGTGCTGAATGGAGGTGTGGGAGTGTTGCCATTGAGAAACTAGACCCATTGTTTCGACTGCTGCACCTGCAGATACAAACTGGCGACATCTGCATTAAGTCCAGTATCTAAGATTATGGCAGCATCTTACATACACACCGTAATAACGGAGTTGATAAAATACTTGATTTGAACTTAATTTGAAGTTTTTGACTGCAGGAATTACTCTTTGGTTCTTTCGGTAAAGTCGCGTAGAATTAAATTAAATTAAATGCGTAGATGTATATTAAATAATACGTAGATATTCATGAATCCAAAATGCATTGTAACTAGATTTGAAGCTTTAGTGACTGCAAGGATCCATACTCTTTGGTTCTATTCGGTAAAGTCACGTAGGTAAAAAAATAAAACAACAAAAATCACGACGTTTCGGCCACAACACAAACGGCCTTCATCAGGTGAAGGGACCAGACTGTCTCGAAGACTGTGATGGAGTGAAACAGAGCCAAGCTCAGACCACGGCCTTTAAGCTGTGAGAGGGATTGAGGTGCCTTGACAAAGGAATTGGCGTAAACATTAGCATTTGATTGGCGGACTTATCATGATGAAAGGTGTATCACAGTGATCGGCACCGGCATTGCACCCGCCTGTGCTGCGAAAGTTTGGGGTACCACTACTTGAAAAAATATACTGTACCAATGAAAATTATTTTAATGTAAGGTTCGATTTAGAACATCTTTCCAATGGTTGCTTAATTTGAAACCATATTCTCGGTTGAAATTGTGTCCGTTTGTAGATCTGAATTGCCTCGTGAACAAATCTCTGCCGTGGCTGATCACTGTTACAACGCTGTGGGTGGTAACGATATAATTTTCTCCGATACCAAGGTTCATTGCAAACCCACAGGTTTTTATCAGATTTGTTCACGAGGCAATTCAGATCTACAAACACACACAATTTCAACCGAGAAGATGGGTTCAAATTAAGCAACCATTGGAAAGATGTTCTAAATCGAACAAAACATTAAACTAATTTTCATTGGTACAGTATTTTTTCAAGTAGTGGTACCCCAAACTTTCGCAGCACAGGCTGGTGCAATGCCGGTGCCGATCACTGATACACCTTTCATCATGATAAGTCTGCCTATAAAATGCTATTTTTTTATGCTAATTCCTTTGTCGAGGCACCTTAATCCCTCTCACACAGCTTAAAGGTCGCAGTCTGAGCTTGGCTCTGTTTCACTCCAGCGCAGTCTTCGAGACAGTCTGGCCCCTTTACCTGATGAAGGCCGCTTGTGTTGTGGCCGAAACGTCGTGATTTTTGTTATTTTTTTTGCCTACGTGACTTTACCGAATAGAACCAAAGAGTGTGCATTGTAACGTTCAGTGTTGCAAATATGCCACGACTCTATAAACTGAAAGGTGTGCACACCTTCAACTGTTTGCTTATTTATCGGTAGAATTGAACACATCGTTGGCAATTGGATGCGTCTTGTTCACGCGTTTAGACACAACTCTTTCTTCCTCGTTTCAGATTGAGGGGGCGTTCTTGGTTTACGAGAACGAGATCAGTCTGCAGAAAGAGCTGCTGCCCGAGGAGAGCCCAGTGATCACGAGGGACCCAGAGTACAGGTGGAGAATGCTGCCGCTGCTGCACACGCCTGGCCTGTACTATAGGGGTTGTGCGGTATTAGCTCTGGTTATAGTACACATCTCTTGTTTAGGGTGGTAGTATGAACTTCCTCGTTTGCACCGTGTTAATCAAGGTTAATTCCCAAAAAGTACCGCGTTAAGCGAAAAGTCACTTTGCTGATTCGCATTTGCGCACAAATCGGCCTGCATTTATCACATGGTGGGACAACTGATTTGAGTGCACGTCGCCACATACTGCATTGTCCCGCAATACTGTACGATACTTCTCAGCTACGCAATTCAAGAAATTGGTCGTCGACAGCTCGAACGGGCGTGCTCTGCGTTATAACGCACGTGTTGTGCGAAAATAACTGTATAGCAAAAATGCTTTTTAATCGAGGGCTTCGCTGTATTGGATTGCACTGCGTGCTGTTCAATCAAATGGCACGTGGCCACAAACCGACCACCGTGGTGGTTCTAACCGAGTGAAGCCGTTTGCCCCCCCCTTTTATAAACGTATTTTGCATATTAATTGTGATCTCCAACTGCCCAACCCAGGACCATGCTTGCTTTCATGTTTTTAAGCCAGCCGATGGCGAGTGTAGGGGGAAGTCCTAAGCTGAGCCGACTTGAAGGCGCACAAGTTTCCATTACATTAGCAAACTAATCGCAATATGGGTTCCAGAGTACTGAACGTGTATCTAGGAAGATGGCTGCTGCTTTTTCGGTGCAAGGGAATAAGAAGTTTATATCAGTATATGGGGTAAACAACTTTGAAGTGATGTAAATCAATTAATCGACCTGTGTTCCATGAACTTATCAACATTAAAAAATGTCAGGGCACTGCAGAAGCATCATTCACAACTGTCAATCCAGTGTCTGTGCTCAGGTGGGGGGGGGGGGGAGTTATTGGTCAACATTCCTTGATATCTTTCTCCAAAGACACTTCAGCAGTTTAAATGTATAGTCTTTATCCACTTTCTGGACACTGCTGCCCTAATGCAGTTGTGCTAACATTTACCCAGATAAATTTGGGGTGCAATGGTGGTAAGATGTTGCATCCAGGAGATTGTGGGTCCATCCCGATCTTGCTGTATGCATGAACTTTGCATGGTCTATCAGGTCCCCTGGTTTTTACCTCTTAGACTCGACATGCATTGAGTATTTGCCTGCTCGTAATTTACAGGTGATGAGCCACTTTGAGCTATCATTTGTGACCAGGTCGCTTCTGAAGCTCAGTAGGCCCAACCTAATAAAAAAAAGATTGCCAACATCCAATGGTTTGCGCTGAACGTGTCCAAATTTTGCACTGTCCCCCTGCAAAGGCTGAAGGTTATTTGCCGCTATCGCATCAACGACACGGTGGTGATCTCCAGCGTTGTGCAAGCCCGTAGGGGACCCACTGCTGACGAGCAACTGGTCCCCGTGCCCATCGTGATGAAAATAAGCAGAGGTAAATGAGCACGTTGTGCGGCACCTTGCAGTAGGAGCTGACACCTGTACCCCATCCAACCTTGTGCCTACATTGTAGTCTTGTTGCTACGGGGGTCACCTTTTATAATTATTAGTGCATTGAAACGCCTAATAGATGCATTTGAATTGCTTTACTCGAGTTTCCTGTTTTCAAATCAAAGGTTGTGAAAAGACACGTGACATTAAATTCGATCAAATGGCCCCAAAGACTTAACACATGGAATACATTGCCAATTTACAATATTAACATTATCAGAATTTTAATACGAGTAATCTTAGATGTGACTCGGAACGGAGTGTTCACGGTGACCCTATGGTTGTGCAGTGCTCTGGGATTTATTGTGCAACCTCCAAATTGATTTAGTCAGATGACGTGGTAAAAGGCTTTCAGGTACTCAAACTGGACCCAAAGGCTTTCTGGTACTCAAAGTGGACCCATGTGGAATTAAACCTAAAACAAATTGAGCCTTTATGGCAATCCACTGCTAGGTGAGGCCTTCCCACGCAGTCTAAATATTAATACGGCTGTTTGCAGTGGACATCGTCTGAGTAACATAAACACAGATTTTAAAAACTTACCTTTGGGTCCATTCTGACTACCATGAACTGTCACCATTATGTAATGCATAATTTTTGGTGTGCGTACGAATTTAATTATACTCTGATACAAAAGCCGTGTCTGGTTTGAGGTACCTATTTGCCTTTTTAACCTCTTGCTGTCTTTACTAGCTGGTGGGCCCTTAATGCTGCAACTTGACATCAGGTTATACAAAGGTATGGTTAAAGTAACCCAAACATTATCAATGTCTGTCGCCAACATTAATAGCTTAATTGCCATTGTACCATCCATCTTTTATATTGCTGTTACTGCAAATCTGTAATTCTATCATTTGCACAGTGTACATAATGCTTTTGGGGGAATCCTGGCATGGTGGCTTAAAATGGTGGTTTGGGTTAAGTTAATTTGAAGCTTTCGTGACTACCGAAAGAACCAAAGAGTATGGATTCCTGCAAAGTCACGTAGGTATAGAATAAATCACGACGTTTCGGGCGCTACACAAGCGTCCGTCATCAGGTGGGAAAGAAACAAAAAAGTGAGTTAAGTTGTTGGCCGAGGAGCAATACAGGAAATGCCGTTGTTCAATACCGCTCCCTCATCTATGCCCCCCAATTTCACAGACCTGCACTGACCACTAGTGAAGTGTGGTCCCAATAAACCCTCATGGCATAGCATGGAAAGGCCCCTTTCAGCAGTAGATCGACGATGGGCCTGTATCTGTACACACGCCGAGACATTGAGATTTCTGGCCATTGGTATCTAAAATACGTTGGTGTATGCAGTGTATTTAAGATGGGCACGGGGAAGGTGTAGCCCAGCCGTTCATAGTTTGAGCAGCTCCCCACCCCATTTGTTTACTGTACAGGCCTTAAGACCCTGATAATGGCACCTGCCTCAGGATTGTAAGAGAAGGGTTCTGATCATGTAAGGGGAAGGATCGCTCACTTAATCATATGGATGTGACAATCCTGGCGAACCCTGCGCCCCATTCTTTCTTGGCTGTGCATGACAAAAATGGTAAAGGCATCTGTAACCATACAATGTCAACATCGGGATTGGGAGGCCAAAGGTTGTCAGGTGTGGTGCTGACCATACCATTGACATATTGGCTATAACAGACCTGCTCCAACGTCACTAGGTGGTTGCTAAAATGAAAACCCACTGGAAAGTGATCTTCTGCAGAGAATGGGGGGCCCTCTCCATAGGAATATGGAATTTCCACCACTAGCTCGGGGACCACCAGTGGAGATGAGTCCTACCCCCATCCCGTTTTTGAGCAAGGCGATGATGTGGTGACTGACCACCACTTGCATTAACATAGCTAAAAGGACATTTGTATATGTGAGGTCACTGCTGTAAACATACTTTGTGGTGCCATGGAGATAACTAATTGAGCATAAATAATTTAAATTCACCCCGTGGCTTTCAGATGCTGACTACACGTCCTACTACCTGGATGAGGAGTACCCAGTGGTGTCGTATCTGCAAGAGCCTCTTTATTTTGAGGTGCGCCTCCTCGGCCTAGAGGACCAGAGCATCGAGATGTTTCTGGAGAACTGCTGGGCAACTAACCTGCCTACTGCAGACAGCCAACCTCGGTGGGACATCATCGTCAACAGGTACTGGGCCGCCTGAGAACTGCGGGCAACTGAGCTCTTGTAGATACTGTAGTGTTGTAAGGTGGCACGACTATTTCAATGTCACATTCTGCCGTTATTTAGAAGCTGGGCATTTTATTGCAATTAATTATCAATTGTGTATTTCCACCATTACTATGTAAAATGTTCTATTTCAATCGCCAACAGTTGGGCCAGTCGCCACCAGGGTTGTTTTGGTCGTTCAGTCCAGATGTGAACTTGGATCGTGTACGTGCATGGACATGTGGGTCAGGTCATGGTGTTAGCCGGCTTGAGTGTTTTGGCAGGTGCATCTCCTTGGTGTAAACTCATCTATGGCAGGAGGGGATTAATCCAAAAGACCCAGCGACTGTTGACTTTGTGGCAAAGTTGTTATGCACTTTATAAACTGCATGGGGATGAAGGATTGCACACTTGACTAAATGCCACCTTGCCAGTGTTACTGTGAAATTTCCAAAATATGCACAAGCGGGTACCATAAATTGTACACATCACTAAACGCTCCTGCCCATTACAGAATTCAGTGTTAACTGGCATTCAAAGGGCACTCATAAAGTTAATGGCATTCAGCTTGGTGCTCATTGGTTTTGCAGGATGATAAAACCATTGGTGGAGAGGCAATGGTATTTCCCCCAGAAATTACCCCTTGCCATAGGGAATGTGTAATACCCACAACTTTTGAAAATAATGAACACCACCCAACGCTTAAGATAAAACGCGTGACTTTTGTATATCAACTTGGCCGTTCTGAATTTGATTTATTTTTTCTCACGTCCACCCACGGTCCCGCCACAAGCTGCGAGAACGCGAACGACAACTACCTGACCGTTTTCCATCCTGTACCCCACAACTCGAGTGTGCCCTTCCCCCAAAACGTGAAGCGGTTTGAGGTGAAGACCTTCGTTTTCGAAATGGATATTGGGAATGACTTCCAGGGCCAGGTATGAAATCATCATCATCCTTATGTGAATTTCATTTTGGAGGTAATATCCATCCCTCCCAGACCTTGATGCATATGACATTATTAGGCTTCGTACGTTTGTTCCTTAGCAACTTGGGAGTAACTGTGGATAATGTAGGTTTGTTGGCAGTATCGTAGCCTGGGATATTACATAGTTTGGCAGTTTCAGTACCGAGGCCAGAAAATGGGGGACTTGCACAATAAAGAGCTTGATTCACAACTAACAGAGCATTAATATATTAACAGAAGTTATTGTCTAACACGTTGCTGCTGTTATTCGCAACTGACTGCAACCAATGCTCCGTCCCCTCAGCTCTTTTTCCACTGCAGTGTGGTGGTTTGTGACGCTGTGAACTTTGACGACGTCTGTCAGATGGATTGCATACCCAACAGGAGAAGAGTGGGTAAGTTTACATTAGTTCTGCACCTAAAACGCAGCCTCCTAAGTGGAAATAGTTGGGTTGATCGCCGAGCTGTTCCAACACTCATAGTGTAAAAAAAAACAAGTAGGTTTTACCCTTTTTGGCAATGAGGTGTTAAGACGTTCAAACGGGAAACCTTTTTGAAAGGAAACTTGAGACTAGGCCATAAATAAGTCTCTGTAGACCAATCTGTGTCAAAGACAATGCATATATTATCAGAACATGTTTTATTTGCATGTTCACCACAAGTACGTGTGGTTAATGTCGACTTGATTCCATGCAAAAAGTTTATTTGGTATTTGAACATCTTGACACCTGTTATTGCCAGAGTAAAACCTATTCATACATACTGACAAAGGTCCCATATTATCATTAGTTATGAAATATATAATAAGCACTGTAGCCACCTTGTGAATGTAACATTTCCATTGCTGGCTCTGTTGCCAATGAGTGGAGTTCCAATGTTCATTTAATGTTTGACTCGGCTTAGATTGCGATGTAAATGGGTAATAACAGTACCATAGGGTAACGATGGATGTTATTACTCATTGCATGAGAACACATTTTTCTTCCTGCCATGCCAGCTTCATACTACACTGCACTTTTGAAGTTAATCTGGATAATGCTTGACTAATTGTAATTGGTAAAATTAACGTATGCAATAAAATGTCATGTTATACCTTTTTGCCAAACCTTGGTTTGGAATTTAATACGAGTTGTATTATGTATCCAATAATATTCTGGCTCATCCTTGCCTGGTTTAGTCTTTGAGCTGTGACTTTGGTACATTGCTTGTAAAAAGCCGATCTCATTATTGGATGTTGATAATATAAATAAAGAACAGACATTGGTCTGGATTCTCACTCAAATGAGAAATTCGTGGTCATGCGCCACGGTGGATGTAAACTACCTTTCCTAGTATGCAAAGAGTCCGTGGGTTTGATCCCGACCCTGACTCCTATATATTTAGTTTGCATCATCTTCCCGTGGTCACGTGGATTTTTCTGGGTCGTCCGGGTTTTTCTTCCATTTAGAATCCACTCGCTTAGAATATTTGGCTGATGTACATTTCCACTTTAAGCCACTTCGTTGAGCTATCATTTATGGCCAGGTCCCTTTTGAAAAAGCGCTATACCATAGCTCGGGGTCAGCCTTACCTGGTAAAATAAATGTTTTATAGTGAAACCTGTGCACGCACGTTTTTACAAAGGTAGACTAATTTTCAAGGGCCGCTATTCAAATTTACGGGGGGGTGGTGCTTCTCTCCATTGGTAGCCCTGAAGCCAGTGGTGGAAACTGTCTGCTAAAGGACAATCGCTGTTCATTTGCAATTGCAGTTCAGTATCTTCGGGGGTCGACTTGGTCAATCCCCTTTTTTTATATAAGGGGTCAATTGAATGACTACCACGTGGTACTGAATCAATGATACTGAAATTATATTCTCAGAAGGCTGGAGCAAATGGGATTTGTGTAAAATAGGATGAATGGAAACTTGTCTGCTTATATATGTCCTTGGTGAAACGGATGAATTGGCCTGAGCCAACTGGTCCCTGCATTGGTAATGTGGAATCTCCATCACTGTCTTTTGGAGGCTGCTATGGAGATGACCACCGCCACGCATGGACATACAAATTGACTGACTTGTACTGCTGGCCCTTTTGGTGGTGATGAGCAATATATATTTTTTATTGAAAATTAATGTTGCTTGGTTGCATCCATTAGTTGGAAGGTGTAGCGTGGTACTCTAAAAATGCTTGACTGTAACTGCGGCCCTGGACCAGAAATCTTTGTCGTCCACGTGTCCCTTGGCAGCCCGCAGTGGCCCGTCCCGGGGCGTGGCCTACGGCAGGGTATCTTCGGGTGCCGTGAGCATTTTCCCTCCGCTGGGAGAGCCGGACATGCGCAGCGACGAACGCCGTGAGTTTTTTGTACCCTTTACTAAAAATGAACTCTGGCCCCGCCCCGCCCGCCTTCTTCAGACAGCCCTTGTCCCCCGATTTGATTTTTCTTTGGGGGTTGGTGGAGGGGGTTCTGCGGTGGCGATGTTAACTCCCTCGCCTAGTATGCAGTTGATCGTTAATGCTCTCAACACTTCCCCATCCATGGGTGCCACAGTCATAATTTTAACTCCCTCGCCTGATGTGCGGAAGGTTGTGGTTTTGATTTGACCCTGCGACACCTGTTATATTTCGAGTTTCCATGTTCTTCTCGGTGGTCGCGTGAATTTTTTTTCTGGGTCCTTCGGTTTTGTTTCTTTAACATTAAAGGCATGTTGACCCTAAAGAGCATTTGGCTGCTATACATTTCCACACGCTACCACTTCCTGAGCTATCGTTTGTGGCAAGGTAGGTCACCTATGAAAGAAAAATATATAGCTCAGTGGGCCTTACTCCTCGTTCATGTTTGTTGCGGTTGCACCCGATTCAAGAGCCCCAAGGCTCGCAGGGCTATACCTAATGAATGAAACTGAAACCCTTTGCCCACATTACACAATTCACCTTGCTACCCAGACTCGGTGCACGCACGACACCCACACGGTTAGACACGGGAACTCCCTGCCACGATGAAAAGTCTTCTCACACCTTCAACTGCAAGGAAAATGATCGCTGTAACACACTGCTACATGCACCACTGCAATTCACTGTAGATTTATCTAGTTAAACCTACACCCAGCTCGCCTCCAATCTCGTCCAATTTAACAAGTAGGGGTTGAGCCTGGACAGTGCTTGGGATGGGAGGTGGTCACTATGAACATGGGGGTTTTGTTGTAGGCTATTGTGGTTGGAAGCAGAGGGAGAAGCAGCAAATTGCACTGTCGTACTTTTGTGGCCCCCCACATCTCTCTTACACCCTGCCTTCACCTCTATCGGTGCTGACCAGTGTGAAGTGTCGTCGTATAATGCCATGGGGGAGGTTCTCACTCTGCAGTGGACGGTCATCTACATTTTGGTATTAAAAGGGAGACCTTTGCTTTTTAAAATTCCTGGTTGCAATCCAAGTGTATCATCCATACAAGGAAATCGGCTGCTTGGCCAAATTCCCAGTGCTTTAATGCAAGCTTGGCTTTCGTCTTTCATGCTGGGTTCATGCATTTTATACAAATCACCTGTCAAGTCGATGAATGCACTTGGTGCATCTACTTAATTGCTTGTTTGTGGATATTTTCGTATGCCTGTTTTAAATTAAAAAGCAGAGGTTCGATATTTCAGAATTAAATACATATTTATACTAGATTCTTAATTGACTTTGGGTTGCTTTAAACCTCAACCCCGTCATACAGCTATTGTGCAAAGTCTCATTTTCATAATGGATTTGAACAAAGTAGTAAATGGCAATGCAATTAAATTATTCTTCGGATTAAATTTAATCTGAACAGTTCGTTTCAATACCCGATAGTTATTGTATTGGCATGCAACATTTTGTGCCTCAATTGCCTCGAGTATAATTAGTATTCTTTGTTCCTGAATAGCACTGCATGTGTAGATGCTACAAAAGCGTGGGGGACTCCGTGGTGTGGTATGGAGACCGTACAATGCTGCTGTAATCATTGAGTCGAACTCGAGTCTGGCAGCACAAATGAGTAAAGTTTTGACATCCAGAGGCATTTGAAGGAACATTTTTTTTCTCATAGTAGTGGTTTGAACAGATTTGACGGGCCTTTTTGAAGCCAAAGGCATGTGGGATGGAAGCACAACAGATGAAGAATCTTGACTGCGTCGTATAATTGATCCGATATTACTCTGGTTGGCGAGCGTTTCGAGTTGAGGAATCTGATTGGAGTGGTAATGGATATTGTTAGTATAGTACTCACTGGGGGGGGGGGGGGGTGGTTTGCCGGTGTTTAAAAGCATTGGATGCTCCATAAGTGGGGCGGGCATGATTATCAGTCCTTTGAAACGGTTAAAATTATCCCTGCATAGTCCTATTATTGGAAGCCACGCTCTCCAATGCATTTCAAAATTCAATATAGCATGTGCGTGTCCTCCGAAGGGTAGTTCGCGGCAACGCATTTCAATCAACTGACCGTGCCCCCCCCCCCCACCACCTAACAGTCGCCCCATGTTTCTGTGGGTGGCCTTGCAGGGCAGGCGAATGCCATGGAGGCCCGCACGGCAACGGGGCGGTGCCTGCTTCTCCTGTGCTGCTTCCTCGCCATCGCCGCGCTCGCGTCCGCCGCCGTCTGTGTGGCTCGACTGGCTCGCGTTCGGCACCGCTCGGTCTCGTTCTCTTGGTAAAAATTGTCGCTTCAACAGCGGTCGATGCGATCCTGTCTGTACTTCAGCGAAACGGTGAAATAAATTGTTATCACCCTAAATTGCGTTGTCCTTTGCCTTGCATCGCGAACGACGATTTTTTATAAAATTATCTAATGCCATTTTTTTTATTTACCATGCAAGAATGGTAATGCGTGTTTTTAGAACATTCGAATCCACAGCCCAAAGGCATGCAAGTTTACCGTCTTGGCTCCAGATTAAGCTTGCTCGTGTAGTTGTGCTGCCACGCTGGAAATCAACGTTGGAATGTTCATTGCCCTGATAAGGTTCTTTAATATTGTCTCTTTGTGAATGGGATGGCAAATATCAAGAACTTTCTTTGCATGTAAAAATGCTATTTTATAAGCTTGCACGTCTATCCTGGACCTGGATGGCTCAATTCTCCCCAATTAGGGGTCATTACTTATTCATTCTGCTCTCCAGCTGTCTTGATGCATTGATATATATCGTATCTGCTGACCGAGCAATTAGTTACAGTAATTAACATGCTGTCGTAGGTCAAACAAAGTTTAGGCATTAACCATCGATGGCAATTTGTGTTGGGCACCCAGACATCACTGTTCTGGCGTAGGTATATGCTGAAGATACTTAATAACGTGGCAGTCTATTGAATTCAGTATATAATTTTGAAAGATTTTGATTTTCTACTCATTTTGGCAAGGTGTGTGTTTGTCGACCTAATGAACGGCCTGAAATCAACAGCACAGCTCCAATTGACCCATTTTGTGAGGCCGTGATTTGGCCCCTTAATCTGTCCTGGACTCATCCATCCTTATGGCCAGGTCGATAACACATTCCTACGGAGGGAGCTGAAAGGAACGTTGGGTTGCTCGGTCAATGGCAAGGGACAACGGCGGCGTGGTGTTTTCTGCAAATATGCCCGACTGAGGGCGGGCACAAGCCGGCGTGAGTAGGTTAAACGTTGAGTTTTATAAGGGCACCACGGGGTGACCAGCACCTCCCTTGCCACCCAGCCCCTCCCCACCCAGCCCCTCCCTCTCCACCCAGCCACTCCCTCTCCACCCAGCCCCCTCCCATTTATGGATGCACGACGGACGGACACAATAATCCCCTGTGGGCTGGTGTAACCAGGAAGTTCCTACCAGAAATCATTTTAAAGCCTGTTTGGGTTGAGCTTTCCTAAGCTGTTACTAACGGATATGTTTTAAAGTACTTTTACAATACACAGCCGTTCAGGTGAAGCCATTATTGATGGTGTTTCCACAAGGTACCTGATGTAACAAATGAGAGCATGACAATTTATGCATGGCGCTGGTGAGGTGGGGAGACAAACATGGGCCCAGGCCCACTGGTGCAGTTTCCATGAAGTCCCGATGCTGCCTAAACGACTGGAAATGGAGGTAATGGTGAAGGGGGTGGGGCTCGTGCACACTGGCAGAGGACGAGCTGCCAATGGCAGCAGAGGCAGTGTTCAAGGTGAAGACGAAGCCAGAGATGGTGGCTGATGTGCAGGAAGTGTACCGTTCTCAACTATTTATTTATGGCATGAAGTTGACAGGGTGGTGAATTGTTCAGATAGCACTTTACACACGAGTCCCTTTAATGGGGGGGGGGGGAGGAGGGAATGTTTAAAGTAGCAGGCGGCACACCCATTGGGTAGTGTGCACAATTATTTGTAATAAAGGTATAATCCACCATGGTTGCACGAACTGGGCAAGTTTTCAAAATATTCCATAGAAAAATTGCTGCCGCCTTTTGAGGACACATGGCTAGAGAATCTCCCGAGTACACACTTGCAGGGGTAACAATCTCGGCTTAATCGTATAAGTAAATGTTATTGGAAGGTTGTTTTTAAAGCTGCAGTTAAAATTGTGGCAGTAAAAAAATAAGTAAAAGCTCTGAATTGCTGTATCAGCATTTGTATCGATTCAAATGCATATTAATCCATTGAGGTTTTAATAGTGAGCTTTTAAGGAGAGGCTCAACAATGTCATGTTTTAAAAAGTATGAAGACAAATTGCCAAACGCATTCCCTATTCTGCATTTCCATCCAATTAAATATTTGTCCAACTGCCTATTGACCTTTCAGACTTATAAACCAGCACCATGTGTTTAGGCTTAATGTGGAAAGTTCACTTCTAGGGCTAGACCCTTAATAAATGCTGGTTTACAATAGTTGCTGGCAGGTGCCCGTCACCACAAACTCGCTGAGGAAAAGAGGGGTAAAAAGACTGCTAGTCTGGAATACCAATAGGCTGACCAAGATGTATTTATGGGTAAACGGTTATTTATTACCCAGGATTCCCCAGCAGATTCTAAGCTGGCTACAGATCGACTGCAAGCTGGCAACTGTACAATTACATGTTTGCACATCGCAGTGTTTCATGTCGACCTGTAAAAATATTGGAACATTGCTTTCTGGAGTGAGAACGTTGCTTCAAAATGAGCAGTGCATTGCCAACAAACACGAAGTTCCTTTTTGATGTATTAGGAATGGTTTATGGTAATACATAAAGGCCCTACATCTGTATTTGCTGCGATTTGGCCAGACTGATTTACATCTGAAATTGGCACGAATGGTCTGGGAATGTCATCACCCAGCCATTTCTCTGAAACATGGGAGTGTGGGATGACACGGAGACTGAGCTGTATGAGTAGCCTGTGTTGAATGGGTTCCGATTGTCCCAGTTGGCACTTGTTTTCCACTGTGCCGTGCCATGTGATTTATCACCAATCAAAATATTTGGCTGGCTTCAGGGTTAATCTGATGCTTACAGAGGCTGTTAAAATGAGTACCAACCTTGTGGACAGTTAACAGTTGTATAGCATCGCAGATACCTTTTTAAGATGTGTAATTTACACTGAGATTAGCACAGGCCCAAATCTCAAGTATGAAATCTTTAAACGTATAAAATGCATGCAATGTTTGGTTTGTGGAAATATATTAGTGATGTTTCACAAAGGTAAAGACCATAGAGGTATCCTTACTCGTCGAAATAAAACTGCCACTCGCCAAGTGGAAATGGAGTCATGTGGTGGGAATTTCGCATTCTTTCAGGCTCATACAGATGTAGAGGTGTTAACTACGCGCTGTTGCGTAACCTGCGTTGCCACCAGGGGGGTGCAGCATTACCCCTGGGTACAACGGTTGGGGGCAGTCGAGGTGAAACGGATCGTGGCCAGGGTTTGGTGCGAACCAATCAGACGGTTCCACGTGGGAATGTATGATTGGTTCTACCTGGCCACGAAGGGGTATAAGACGGGTGACCCAACGGACCTCGGGGAGTTCTCTCCCTGCACGAAGACAGAAGACTGGGCTGAAGCCTAGCTAGGACCCTGGACCAGCCTTCCAGCCCTTCTAAGGGCTAAGGCTCGGCATACCCAGTGGTCAGGACCCACCGGGCCAGCGGTGGGTCAGATAGCCTCCCCTAGGTCCTAGCCGGAGGACTAGGATAGCGGTAGACGTGTGAGTCCCGCCAAGTCCGGAGGTTGTACCTCCTTAGGGTATCGGGTGAGGGGACCGAATATCCCTGTGTGTGTTAAGCGTTGTATAAGGAAATAATACAATAAACAGAGTGTGCCTCCTAAAGAAGTCTGCTCGTCCTTACAACACTACACAAGTAATACAAGCAACAGGTGATTTCGACAAAAATTGTCACCACAGGATCAGTCCTGCCATTCATTGGATGTCTAGTGACCACCACACTGCAGGTCTCAAACATCTGTTTTATATTACTGGCTCTGAAAAGTAAATGTCTTGTTGACAACCACTGCTTGCTCTTCAGAAGCTGTGCTCATTTTATCGGTACCAATGTTATGGACAGCCAAACCCTCCACTGATATTTAAACTTGTAACTTTAGGATTGTGGTCAGTTTCATTCCACTCGGTGCCTTTCTGGAATGAGTCCTGAACTAACTTACTAGCATGAACTGACCACAATCCATGCAAGGCGAGCCAAATGAGATTAGATGAATACAGGTGTTTCCAGAAGTCATTGGTTTAAGTATCAGACCCATTGCTTGAGAAATTCACCCTGCAATGAACACCTAAGCAGTGAATAAAGAATTAAAGCTTTCGTGACTGCATAAATTACTCATTGTTTTTTTCGGTAAAGTCACGTATGTATAAACGTCGATTTATTTTAATATAATTATGGTATTTCTTCATACGCGACTTTACTGAGTAACCTAAGCAGTGACACAAATTATTTCCACTTACAGGTGGTGACAAGCAGGTCCACAGATGCATTGCTCAAGCATTCAGTAACACATTAAGCATGGCTTGTATGCCGGTTGTCTCCTGCATAAGCTTGCCCATGGGAAACCCCCACCCAAGCCTTGCCCATTCACATGTACTACATTTACAAAATGCTTTTGAGAGAACGCCAGGTACGGGACCCCAAACTGCCAAGCAAAATATCTTATTGATCGTGGGCAAATCATTCTGGCCAGGGACATGTTTGAAAGGAAACAAATACCTGCAGAGGCCTTCATGCATATCCACAGAATGAAATGGTTTCAAACTAATGAATTATTGAATGCCCATATGCGTGCGCTCGTTGCTTTGAGAAGCCAGTTGACATTTAATATATTGCGCTCCAAGTAATGACAAATAGGAAACTTTAATCAAATAAGACGACCACGAAACTTTTAGCTTTGTTCCAGCACTTGCACACATTGTACATTTTCAGTCATGGGAAAAACTGAAATATTACAGAAGCATGCTATTATAGCAATGGCCTCTCAAGCCAGAGGGTTGGCAGTTGTGAAATGTGAAGTCATTGCAGGAAGAGCACAAGCAAATGTTAAAGAAAGTAGGGGGGTGCTGTTGCATTCCTTTTAAATTCCAGCCAATTAAACACCGATTCCAAGTGATATTCATATTAAAGCAGCTTAACATTCACATGTAATTTGCATTTAATACTCCATTGTTGTAAACTCCTTGATTAAAAATTTATATTTTTTTGCACAATTAAAATAACTGCTGCCCTTATTGGGAACACTCGCCCATTGCAAAGGAATTGACCACACTCCTGTGATTAAGTGCAGCTGGTTTACAGTTAAATCTCAGATTATTTGATGAACAAATGTTTACAATTTCGATTTAAAGCTTTCGTGACTGCAGGGATTAACCTTCTTGGCTCTTTCGGTAAAGTCGCGTAGAATGGAAATAAAATAAAAACAATCAAATAAAATTCTCACGACGTTTCGGCCACAACACAAGTAGCCTTCAGGTGAAGGAACAGAACTGTTGGGACGACAGCGCTTCAATTAACACTGCTAAGCTTGGCAGCTGTCGTCCCGACAGTTCTATTCCTTCACCTGAAGAAGGCTACTTGTGTTGTGGCCGAAACGTCGCGAGAAATTTATTTTATTGTTTTATTTTTATTATTTTATTTCCATTCTATGTGACTTTACCGAAAGAACCAATTAAATGTTTACAAATCAAACAGGCACAGTTCCATTCCACTGCTGTATAGAGGCAAAATACTTGACTGGAATAGATGAGGCTCAACCCATGTGCAATAAACGTTTCTAGGAACCAGATTCATTCATTTATTTCATATGCACTAGTTCACCCAGAAAATCCTTAAGGTCTCAAGACTTTCATGAGGGTCCTGCCAAGTTTTTGCAGTAGGGGGCGATGTTCAATGAACCTCAATAGTAAAGATGCTGTAGTGAGCAGACTACCTGCCAAAGAGTGTTGGTGGCCCTAATCAGGTGCAAAACTCATTCATATGCAGTGGACCAGTCGATCCACAGGGTAACCTCAATTCTACAATTTCTCAACTCATTGGTGGTAATGAGTCCAGTTGACCCAAATTGCGATTTGAACTCGCAGCCATAAGAGTTTTAATAGGGTGCTCAAATCTCTGCACCACTGGGCTGCCTGCATCTGTAACGCCATTTGGCCGAATTAATTGGGCCTGGTGGAGGTAAACTCTAAACGTCTATGCTCACCCGCACAAAACGGTACTGCAGGGAGTTCACGTTGCGTGTGAGCAGCAGAACTCCCCGAGGTTGCGAAGTGTGTGGTGGAGATGGTAGTGACGCAGCCTTGTCCTGCTGCAGTAGCTGCTGCTGTAGCAGTGTCCGCAGGAGCCCAGCGAGGCTCACAAACCCGAACCCTCGGCCGTGGCCAACAGCCATGGAGAAGTCACCCTGCGTCAGGAAGCCGAGCGTGGGGCGCGAGCACGCCGACGCCATGGAACCCACGGGCTCCGGGTACAGCCCTAGGATCCAGTCGGCCTTCTTGCTAACATCGGCAACATCGTCATCGACACCACCATCACCGCCACGATCCTCCCCTCCGCCCTCCGTGCCCCCACCAGAGAGGCGCCGCTTCCGCCGGCTCAGCCCCACCGCCCTGCGCTCCGCCCTCGTCAGCCGGAAAGCGTCGCGCCGCCTGGGCTCCAGGGGCCCCGTGAAGGCTGGGTTGCGGCGCAGGAGGTCCAGGTCGGCGGGGTCGGGCACGGCGACGGTGGCGTGAGGCTCCGGGGAGCCGCGCTGGAGCGGGTCGACACGCACCCAGAGCAGCGCACGCGGATGGCCGCGCGACATCGCCAGCGTCAGGGCTGTCGTCAGGGGCTGCTGCGCCAGGGCCGCCCCCGTGGCAGGAGGAAGGGAGCGGCACCAGTGGGCGAGCTGCGTCAGCACACTCGTGCTCCTGCATGACAAAAGTAATGCAAAGTACAACAAGTGATGCAAACGTCAAGGAAAAACCGTGGCATTCACGAAGATTGACAACTATCACTCCCGGCTAATTAAAAACATACCTGATCACATAGAATGGTTCGCTTGTGACTTCCGAAGGCAACTCCATCTTTTGCTCTTGTTCCACGCGATCTCTGCCATCGCCCGTCTCACATCCGGGCTCCACGCGCTCCGAGCTTGGCTCCCCATCCACCGACACGAGTTCTCCCGCCGTGATCTCCTCTCCTGCCGTGCCACCCCCCCTCACCTCTGCCCGCTGCTCTTTCCCAGAGACTTTGGAGGTTTCCCGAGTCTCTTCCGCTTCTCCTTCAGAAGCCTCCTCTGTGAGCTCAGACTTTGTCTGGCCCAGAAACGAGGCTCCATGATTTGGGTCGATAGAGGGAGACTCCATCTCCATGACAGATTCCGCCTCGGGTTTCTCCTCGTCCTCCACACTCGACTCCGTGCCCATGAGCTCCCACTCGTGCACCAGCAGTTCCCACGGGAAGTGGAAGGGCGTAGGCATTGCCAGCTTCACGTAGTTTGGCCTCTTGGCTGGTGGGTACCTGTGTGTGAGTGATGTCAAGTCAATAGGAGCTATGTAACGCAAAGTATTTATCAAATTGCATTTTGCCGAGGAACGCAACCTTTGCGAAGCAAGAGTCTCAATTGCTTCTGTAAACAAGGCGACGGAGATGCTCTTGGCTTTGAATCATAAACTTGAGAAATTAATTCAGGCCGCCGATATAGCTCGCGTATGTATAATGAACTTCTTTCGCACCGTTCGTAACCAACCATGTGAATCGGGAGATGCGGGGGCAAGGACAACAGAGACAAGACTTCGGTGCCACATACATACACAAAGACGCATGTATGAAAGCCGTGACAACGAGCGATAACGAGCCGTGCAGTTGTGCGGCGGAGCGTCAAAATCAACAAGGCAGACACACAGAGGAAACGTAAAGTCGCGAGTCAACGAGGCTCGCGCAGCCGCCGACCGCCGGCGTGTTCCCACCGTTTGAACTTGGCGATCGCCGCCTCCTTGCTCTCGGCGTCGTGGCGCGAGCCGGCGGGGCAGTCCGGGAAATCACGGGGGAAGTGAGGCGCCCCCTGGTACTGCGAGTGCCGCTCCGCCTCACGGAGGCCCCCGACCACAACGCCGCGGTACACCTGCCCCATCCCCCCCCCCGCCGCAGGCAGGGCCGCACCGGAGAAGCAACGCTGGCGTTAAAGCAGTCACGACAACATCAACAGCCGCCATTCGCCACCAAGTGGCGGTGACGTCACCGCGCCGCTTGTGCCAGGCTACGCGCACTTGAAGGCCACGTGAAGTGTCGAACGACCCCGCTGGCAGGTCACGGGACAGACCCAGGTGCCGTGGGTCGACTGGCAGATGCACCACCTGTACCCCCTACTGTGCCAACGCAGACACACATTCATCATAATAGGGGTGAAGAGCCTCTTGCTTAACGAGGGCCAATAAGGGCATTGAAATACTTTTGGTGGGCCACAACTTAACCCGCACACCTCAGTGTTATCTATTAACAAATTGAAAAATAACTTGTGCGTTGACAAAGTATAAAGAGGTCCTTCCAATAGAATTGCTTTGGCCAATAAAATTTGAAACATTTTTTGCCAGGTATATTCCCTTCTTGGAGTTGAGCAGTATGGCTGAAATGCTCACAGTGAAGGAAACGTATCATTTTTGGTCGACCGTTTCAAAAATGGGACTCGGGTTCTTGGTGTTTCACACGTGGTCACGGGCTGTGCGGAATGGCCATGGGTCAAACATCGGCACCATGTGCCACGCTTCCCCAGCGCCGCTTTAAAAAGCGCACAAGTGCAGCAAAGCAGCACGGCCAACCCGCTGGGCGCACTCACCAGCGGGATCCAGAAGGCCATGCCCCACGCCTTGGGCAGCACCAGGTCCCACGCCACCCCCCATCCCGCAAGCCCGGCCCCCGCCTGCCGGCCTGGATGCTGAAGCAGCAGCGCGGGAATGCTCGACTCTCTGGCGCCCAGGTTGAGACGAGAGCCCGGCACCAGGGCCTTGTGGCGCATGCGATTCAGCTCCTGAGCGGAGGTGGCACAACAGGGGCACGGCGACTTTACAACAGCAGCACTTTTGAGTTATTCATTGTTCACGTACTTTTTTTTTTGGTCCTCGAAATTATAAGTAAGGATCCCGGTCACACTGGCTTAAGTGGTTCAACACGGGCATTAGACACTTGGAGCTAACCACCCACATCTCCCCCGCCCCCCCCCCCCCCCCCCCCCCCCCCCCCCCCCCCCCCCCATTGTTAGAGCATTGAATAACCAGGTGGTGGTTCGTAGTGAATTATCTAAAGTAGCGGTTCTCAACCTGTGGTACCCTGTACCCCAGGGGACATTCAAGACAATGCACGCAAAGGCGGCGCTCGCATGATGCATGGTCACGTGTCAGAAACATCTCTGCAGTCTTCCCCCTTCACTTCATGGTGACAGTCAGCGACTTTAAGTCTTAAAAGTGTAAATATTACGTGATAAATAATGAACTATTACGAAGTGCTAACCACACGTCTTAGGTGTTTGCTTTGTGTGCAACTGAAATGTCATTGTTCAACTGTTTACTTCGATATAAAACCTGTGCGTAGGTAGGAGAACACGTGGGCAGGTGAAAGGTGCCGTCGTGGGAGATGTTGGCCGCCACTGCTCTGGCATGCGCTCAGGCTGCGGCATCTGCCTGCTCGAGCCGAGCGTGTGGCCATACCTGCTCTGGGATCTTAGTCTCCGTGACCTCATCGCGGACGGAGCGGTCCCAGATCCAGCTCTGCGCGTGTCCCTCCTGCAGGCTCCTCGCCAGCACGTTCGCTTCGTTGTTGCAAGCTGGCGAGGGGCGGGACATAAAACACCGTCGCGCACGCACACACACGCGCACACACACACGCACAAACACCCCACTCCAGAGTCCTCGTCCCCTGTCTTCAAAGCTATGTATTGGTTGTTTTAAAGATGAGGACAGCCAACCAATCACAAGCCAGCACCACACACTAATTATTAACACTTTTGCATACATATATATTTGTTTTTATCACCAATTACATTCAGGTTATGCCCTAATAAGCCTCATGTAGTGACATGATATATTACCTACTCAGAACTCAAATATGAACACAGAAGTACTTCTGAAATCACTTTCGTAGACATTTTTTTCACACTAGATGCCTTGCCCTATTGTGGGCTGTCACGTGACTATAGAAAAATAAATAATTTATGCCTAAATCAATAATAGACTGAATCAAGCAAAAAAAATACCTGCTATTTTTTTTTTCGTAGCCATTAGTGAGTGGGCAGATACAGCTCACTGCTTGGGAATTATTATGTTTCACTGAGACTGCTCTTCCACCAACGTGAAGACATTTTCAATGGGTTTTAAATGGTTCTGTGCATTATTTATTGGAAGTTTAACTCTCCGTGGCCTCCGCACGGCACAGTGCCCTCATATTTAAGCTCAGCACAACAGAGCCAGACTACAGCCAATAGCATCACAGTTCCACACAATACCCATCTGTCAGTGCAGAGGATAGCCAGCCCTCTACATTATCCGCAGTGGTTATCAGTGGTTCATAAGACTTTGTGAACACTACACAATAATGAGCACCACTGCATTGCTAGATGGCTTACAAATGGTTTCCTCTCCATACCATTCAATCTGGTGGTGTGGTGTACATGCAAGACCTTCTGCCACCATCACACATTGGCCAATATATATCAACTCGTCTCATTAAAAGACGAAGCAAAAAATTAACATTACAAACACAGAAGAATGAACAGGAACAGCATCAGAATAGCACACGTTAAGGGCTGCAGCGAAGGAACAAGCACACGTGTGTGACAAGGGTGTGCGGGTATCGCGAGTGCAGGAGTTATTGGAGTGTGCTGAGCATTAAGAGGAACTTTCGCCATTGCCGTGGACAAAGAGAGTGGCGCGTGCTTTGAGTAAGGAGTGTTGGTGTAGGGGGGTCTCGCCAGGACTTGAACCTGGAACATCCAGCATGGATCAGCTGAGGCTCCCACCGAGCACGAGACCACAGAGGGTGCTTTGTGCAATGTTTGTGAAGTTGTGCATCAGAGCTCCCCCCCCTCCACCAGCCATGCTGACAGCAGACAGAGAGTGCAACCGGAGAGGACGGGGAAAATAGAGCATCGAACAAGCAACGCTTCAAAACACAAAACATAGGCACAGCGAGTCTCGGGATTAACCTGTCGGGGAAAATGTTGGCCGACAGCAATCAATACTAAAAAAAATGTATCTCACAAGTAAGCTTTCCTGACCAATATTATCATTTGTAACTTGTTAATTTTGGGGTAGATCGTGAAGGTATAATGTCAATTAAGAGCACCTGACACCGTCAAACAAATCAAGTTTCCAAATTTACAATCCCTAATCACGAGAATAAATCTAATCACTACATGCCGAGTAACTCCGCTGAATACCTAGAAGCCAGGCATGCACATCCCATGGTTCAGCAAACACTTCAGGATATCCCTACGCTCGGTTAAATTTTCTACAGATGATGACGGCATTGATATTGATGATGACGATCGGATGAGCCCACACTCAACCACCAGCCACAATGCACCACCTGCGGCGCCACCACTCGCAGGAGGGATGCTGGGGTCCACAGGTATCGTCCGCTTGTTGGGGAGATCGAGGCGTGGGTCGCCCACCGTCAGGCCCAGCACGCACCCTGGAGGCACGTCCGAGGCACTGCCCAACCCTGGGCGGGAGGGCGGCAGTGACAGAAGTCACTCGCAGCAGTCATGCACAAAACTAACATCCCAGGTACAGGTTTCCCTCGTTTTATATATGTAGGCTCGGTTCGTGCAATTTCGCGTAAATGCGGCTAAGCTATTTCTACCCAAAATGCACTCTGCGGGTTGAATTCACTCTCATGCGGCTGTGCGGTCAGAGGTGGGCCAACAACGTGCATGTACTGTATGCGCTACTCAGCGGGCTGCTGTCATTCGGTTTCGCTTTGTGCGCTCCTTTTTTAGAACGCATCTACTGCATAAAGCGAGGGAAACCTGAATAGCCTTAAACAGGCTGTTGGAGCGAGTGCTGTTAGCGAGCATCTATTAAGGCCAGTATGGTATACAAGGGAGTGGTGAGGCTTTCACTATAACCAGCTGCCTTGGTCTCACCAGTGCTGATTGTTTACAAATCACACCAGGTACTCGTATGAGGCCGAGTCAATCGAGTGGAGGCCCCGAGACTGGTTAAAACACTCGCCACTTATTAGTCACGAGTGGAAATCAAAGTCGGGTCACGCGGGTTCGTAGCACAGTGCGTTGACCACGACACAGCAGCAGCAGCAGGGCACTATCCGGCGCAGCCAGGCGGAAATCCTGCAGTGGTGAAACCTGACTTCACACGGTGATGACTTGGCACTCCTGCTGTCACCAATGGGTAATGCAATGACTGCGGATTTTTTTTCCCCCAAGACTAGGACCTCAGCGGCGAAACAAAGTCTGCCTTTCCCGTGTTCACCATTCGAATTGCAAGCCGAGCTTTGACACATTACATGCGTCTGTTGGTTTTAAGTAAAAATGTGTGTGGAATGAATCCTTACCTTGGCAACTACGAGTGTAAAAGCTATTGGAGTCTTGAGAGGTGTAAAGTACAGCATAAATATAAAGACCCGATGACCAGATCATGCAGAATGCTGCCAATCTCGTAAAATTTTGAAAGCTAAGCAGGCCAAAGCCTGTATGGTGCTTGGATGGGTGACCACTCAGCACAGCAGGTGTTATAGGCTGCGGGGCTACATCGTGGGCTGCAAAAAGCATTGCAGCAAAATCCATTGTTGGACTGCACGTCTACTCTACCATATCTATGCTGCCGGCCTTCACCACCCAGCAGTGCTCAGTGTGGTGAAGTATAACCAAATAACCCCCACGACATCCACAGCATAGGAAGGTCCCTCATCCAGTATTATATTAGCACATGACTATACGTGTATTAAGTAGTAAAGAGTTTACAACAGTCAAAAACCTCATCATGCCATCCCATTTGTAGTGTTTCATCAGGAATGAATACAGGGTTATTATAAACCGCCGTGTATGGTAACGGTGTAGCATGCTGCTGCAGTGTACCGGCGAGAAGCTGGAAGATTTGTCCCTGATTCTCATGCTGCAAGACGTGCGATGGCTCGCTGCACACTTTCAGCCACCATGAAGTCTTGCCCTGGCCTTCAGACTAAACAACAACACAATGTGTCATGCCATAGCAACAAAGTGTGACATCCGTTTAGAAATGCATCCTTCTGAGTCCCTCTGATGCGGTAAGCACAATTAGTGCTTTCAACCTTGAACTGGCCTTCATCTTCAATCCACACGTTCAAATGTATCCAACTTGGGAAAGTTAGATATCTTCAATCAAATTCAATTAGCATTTAATCCACTGGCCTACGAGCCTTCGAGGTATCTGTAAAAAAATGGCTCCATAGCTCATTGGATTCTAACAGTCTAAATAAAGTCTGGTTCACAAAAAAAAACAGTTAATTGGTTACAACTCCACCAAGTCTCATCAGCTAAGGGTTGGCCTACACATTCAATGACACCAAGTACGCTGATGTGAAAGGTATTAACCATTTATCAACAATGTAGGGTCAATACCACACAGTGGGCAAATTATAGCAAACATTTTAGCGTCATTGGAAAATTCTTCTCGCCCTTAATATTTGGGTGATGCAATCGTAAAGTAGCATTGGTCAAACAAGCCACACCACTAGGCCCAATAATGTTCAAGGCAAGGTTCTGCCCATATCAGTGTACGCAGTAATAATGTCTTATGGGCCATACCTTGCTGACAAGATTTAGGTCACCTTGTTTAAAATAACAATGTGGTAAATATTCATCTGAAAGGCCCATACGTCTGGCAGTGCACATTTTATATGTCATTTATTTGTGCAGGAAACCTCAAAAATGGTCAACAATTTTTCAGGAGAGTCTGCGTTGGGAAGCTTTAACGATTCCGTGACGGCGTGTTTTGCATGTGGAAGGAAACTGGAGCAGCTGCAGAATAACCGACAATGCACGAGAGAACATCTCCCGGCCACCTCGTCTTTCATCGCGTTTGTGAGTTTCACTAACCTGCAGGAAGTATCAATCTTTGCCTCCAATAGCACCGGACACGGGCGTGCGCCACTACAGCCGGCAATTCATTTGACCGAGCGGTGCAGCAGCGAAAGCATGAAACTCAAAATCGAAGAGGTTGAAAAATCTAATCCTGGACTGGGTCAACTCGGCCTCCGTCATCCTTGCAAGTTCAATAAACCAGTCGACAAGCTTGTGCTAGCCGTGGATACGTGAATTTTCACTACCGGATCATCAGGACCACTATCGGGTGTGAGAACCACTCCGCTGCTCGTGAGAGCGAACACTGACTTATTGAGGCCACATTCACATCTTGACAAAGTGTCTGTAACACAATGCCTTGGCAGTTTGCCTGTCGTTGGCAATGTAACCATCAGCACTCTTTAGGCATCGCTCATCACAATGACCGTGCAGTGTCAAGTCATACACGAGTAGTGTGATCCTGGGCAACACCAAACTGCACTGGGCTGCAATGTCGAAGAGCAGTCATTTAAGAGCGGATCTTGAAGTGGCTAGGTGGCTCAGAGATCAGAGCGTTGATCTGGGACCACTAAGATCTTGGGAACTAATCTTAGGAGCTGCCTTTAATGATTTTATGGTGTCAGCCTGCACACCAATGAATGCACAAAAAAAACACCACATTCAATTTGGTTCTGCAGTTAATCTGGTCAAATGCCAGCTCTTAGAATAAAAAAAATATATATTGGTTTTACTGTCCTGCGTTGACCATTACTCCCAGCGGCAGGGTGGATTGGAAGGTTCTGCCCCTACCGTGTGGAACAGAAGTCACCTGAATGGACCTCAAGAGGTAGCTCTTTGGTATCCGCTTCAGTGGACCATTCTCCCACACAAAAAATAAACTGCTGATAGAGATCCGAATGGATACTTCATCTCGTGCAGGACACGTGGATCTTACGTGGTGAACGTCTGCAGGCCGGAGAGCGTGTGTCAGTATAAATCCGGAGCGAGGACCGATCAGCTGAAACCTCACCATCTCCATTGTCAGGTCACTGCAAACCCACACAGGTGAATGCACGTATTAATTAAAATGTACCACAAGTGTTTGATTTCAGAACCGTGAATAAGTCACCCTTTCGAGGAACCAAGACAACAAACCGATCTTAACTGGCAGACATGTACCCTACCCTGGCTGTCTGACAAGTATGCAGCTTCATTAAGGAGAAATAAACTTCACAGCAACAATGTGATGTAACGTTAAATAACACTATGATATTAAAATGAAACGTCCGTCGGGTTTACTACAGGGTCAATACAGCATTACGACTCAAACTCTGTACCTGCGTCAGAATCTAAGTGATTGCTGCCCCCTAAGAGCACCTCATTGCCAAGAATGTGGGGGCACAACTCATACATGGGGTCTCCTTATCCCCTAGTCATTTGCCAAACCTGCTTCCAAGTCACGATGACATGTGTATCGCCACCTGCACCTGGATAAGCGCACAACGGCTTATATACTACACCTTCAGCGGACGTTCTTCCTAAGGCTCTTACAAAACAGATGGCTGTAACCTGTATAACATCACGCCACGTGGGATATTACCTGCGCCTTTTACTCGTCTGCTAATTAAACGCACCACCAACGCCACACGCTTGCCACGTGTAATGGACCCCCCCCCCCCCCCCCCCCCCCCCCCACTGGTGGTAGCTTGTAGCTCCAGCTTGCGATCTAAGGAACTCCAAATTCAGGATTTACAGTTTCAATGTGGTCACGATGTAACCCGAATGTTGAAATGTTAGGCGATTATTATGAGTTCAACTTTACGGAATAAAAAATGCATGCAGTTGACCCACTTCAAGAGCTTACAACAAAGTGCTTTGCAACTCCTAACAGCAGGATTTTGAGTCAATAAATGAATCAATTACTACTTGGTTTTCATCATAGCAGACTTTCACCTCCCAGTGATGGGCTGGAATATGACAGTCGCTTCATTACGATATATCCCCCATGGGAGCACATCAACTTTGTTCAGCTTCATGAAACCATTGGTCTGGCAAAAGCTCGGGGACGGACAACTACACGTTACCTTTTAGGAATTTTTTTTCCACCCGCATATTGTACCTGAGAGTTAGAAATCCAAAGTAGCCCACAGCTGAGAGGGCTATCTGTTATAACACTAAGCGGATGGCTAGAATCAAGGCAGCGTGATTAAATCAGGGTCTCAAGCGTCGTGAATGAACTGTACCAACGCAATAACAATGCCTGCTCAATAAAAATAGGTTTTCATTTCGATTTAAAGCTTTCGTGACTGCAAGGATTCATCTTCTTTGGTTCTTTCGGTAAAGTCACGTAGAATGAGAATAAAATAATAAATTGATAAAATAAAATAACACAATAAAATTATCACGATGTTTCGGCCACAACACAAGCGGCCTTCATCAGGTGAAGGGACGAGACTGTCTGGAGGACAGCGCTGGAGCGAACACAGCCAAGCCCAGACCGCGACCTTTAAGCTTAGAGTCGCGGCATCTCTGAAGAGATCGAGAAGAAGTTCTCTTCAGAGATGCCAGGTCGCGGTCTGGGCTTGGCTGTGTTCGCTCCAGCGCTGTCCTCCAGACAGTCTCGTCCCTTCACCTGATGAAGGCCGCTTGTGTTGTGGCCGAAACGTCGTGAGAATTTTATTGTGTTATTTTATTTTATCAATTTATTATTTCATTCTCATTCTACGTGACTTTACCGAAAGAACCAAAGAAGAATAGGTTTTCACTTAATGCGGAATTTGCATACTATACCTCTTAGGATTAAACAAGGTAATTTAGCGATCTACGACATTCTACGCGACACAGAGCAGGTGCGTCGTCTAGCATTTTATGCGAGGCCTAATGAAGCGACTCGAGAAGAAGTTCCTGTAATGTCATCTTCTGGGGGCCATTCTGTCGTGACGTGACATTTGAGTTGAGAAAGACTTATCTTGATCTCATCATATGACTGAAAATACAAGTGATACAATTGTTGATAAAAAAAAAAATGAAATGGAATGTTTTTAATGTCATGAGCGACGACTGCATGCAAGAGCCCTTGTTTGCCCTTCGTATGCATGTTGAACTTTCTTCATGACGTACAAAGCCAACCGTGCAAATCGAAGTTCGTAGGGGCGCAAAGGAGAAGGGAGGGGGGGACATCTCACGTGAGAACAGTCCCTGTGGAGACCGACGACCAGCTCCTGGGCTCATGTGGACCGCGGGTTCCGTCACCGTAAATGCGCTTCGCCGGAGGAGCTCCGGGCTGCTGCTGCTCACCGTCCTCCGCCCGCCGCTTCCGCGTCCCGCTCGCTTTGCCCCTTCTGGCACCGCGCGCAGCCTCCGGCAGCGCAGCTTTCATTTCGCTTTTACGGGCGGCGGAGGTCTCGCCGAGCTGCGCTCGCTGCGGTGCGGATGCCGCTTGTATGCCGGAGGCTTCAGCGGATGACCGAGTGCCCTCCGCTGGGCCGGTGACACCTGGAGTCTGTGTTGGAGGAGCCACTTTGAGGTCTGGTGGCTCCAACACTGGCTCTAAGCATTTGAAATTCTCCTTCAGCTCGGACAATACCTCCTGCAAAGAAAAAAAAAAATAGCTGTAAAGGTCAATAGGGAAATGTCTCCATGCACAAAGGAGTGTTGGTGGCCTTCAGAATGTGGTGGAAATTTCACATTCATACCTCGTGAGGGCCATTCTCGTCACTAAAAGACACACCTCAAAGTAGTACTAAATTTATTGACCCCCACAAGAATGATGAGTCAAGGTTGTTGCCACAGCCCCACTCAGCTTCAGTACGAGGGCAATTGCACGATTTCAAACATACGTTTCTCATACTTCACATGCATTTTTTAGCATGTCAAACAATCATAACTCTAAATTACATGGGGAAAAAAATTCCATCGTTCTTGACAAGGAACAGGTGGTGAGACAATACCGCAGTGTCAGATGTCCCGAAACAAACCGAGTTGTTCATCCATGCTGGGATAGTGATGGTGCATTCAGTTTGTATGTGCCCAACCAAAGACTTCATTCATTAATAAGTCAAACTTTTTCAATGAAACTTACTTTCAAAGAGACATCCCATATATATTGACAATTTTGTATTTTTGACTGCGACAGTGCCTAATTTGTGGTAAATACCAAAAGTGCGTGTAGCATTGTAAACACGTTTTAACAAAAAGTGCTTACATTTTTCATGGCAGGATGGACCCAGATCCATAGCTGCCGGTGCTCCGTATTCATCTCTCGTTCATCAGGCTTTTGCAATGGCCGCCATAAAAAGGTGACAGGACCCAGCGGTTGGGTGGGAAAGCCATTTGCTCTGTACATCACCAAGGACCCCTGCCTTTGTCCACTGAGGTAATCCACCCCATCAAAATAAGTGCCTGATAAAAAACATTTGAATGAACAAAATAAACCTACATCATTGGGCCAGATGATTGGTAGAACACAAAGCCACCCACAGACACTTCTAATTAATGTGGGTAAGATTGCACGACATAATGAAAGACAACATATACAGTGAGGGGAAAAAAGTATTTTGACGCATTTCAAATTTTTTATAAATTTATTTTCATTTTAATGAGGGAAATTAAGTATTTGACCCCCTATCAATCAGAAAGATTTCTGGCTCCCATGTGTCTTTTATACAGGTAACGAGCTGAGATTAGGAGCACACTCTTAAAGGGAGTGCTCCTAATCTCAGCTTGTTACCTGTATAAAAGACACCTGTCCACAGAAGCAATCAATCAATCAGATTCCAAACTCTCCACCATGGCCAAGACCAAAGAGCTCTCCAAGGATGTCAGGGAGAATATTGTAGACCTACACAAGGCTGGAATGGGCTACAAGACCATTGCCAAGCGGCTTGGTGAGAAGGTGACAACAGTTCGTGCGATTATTCTCAAATGGAACACAAAATAACTGTCAGTCTCCCTCGGCCTGGGGCTCCATGCAAGATCTCACCTCGTGGAGTTGCAATGATCATGAGAACGGTGAGGAATCAGCCCAGAACTACACGGGAGGATCTTGTTAATGATCTCCAGGCAGCTGGGACCATAGTCACCAAGAAAACAATTGGTAACACACTACGCCGTGAAGGACTGAAATCCTGCAGTGCCGCAAGATCCCCCTGCTCAAGAAAGCACATATACATGCCCGTCTGAAGTTTGCCAATGAACATCTGAATGATTCAGAGGACAACTGGGTGAAAGTGTTGTGGTCAGATGAGACCAAAATGAAGCTCTTTGGCATCAACTCAACTCGCCGTGTTTGGAGGAGGAGGAATGCTGCTTATGACCCCAAGAACACCATCCCCACCGTCAAACATGGAGGTGGAAACCGCATCAAAGGGACGATGGGCGGGGCCATGTACCGTCAAATCTTGGATGAGAACCTCCTTCCCTCAGCCAGGGCATTGAAAATGGGTCGTGGATGGGTATTCCAGCATGACAATGACCCAAAACACACGGCCAAGGCAACAAAGGAGTGGCTCAAGAAGAAGCACATTAAGGTCCTGGAGTGGCCTAGCCAGTCTCCAGACCTTAATCCCATAGAAAATCTGTTGAGGGAGCTGAAGGTTCGAGTTGCCAAACGTCAGCCTCGAAACCTTAATGACTTGAAGAGGAGTGGGACAAAATCCCTCCTGAGATGTGTGCAAACCTGGTGGCCAACTACAAGAAACGTCTGACCTTTGTGATTGCCAGCAAGGGTTTTGCCACCAAGTACTAAGTCATGTTTTGCAGAGGGGTCAAATACTTATTTCCCTCATTAAAATGCAAATCAATTAAAAAAAATTGACATGCGTTTTTCTGGATTTTTTTGTTGTTATTCTGTCTCTCACTGTTCAAATAAACCTACCATTAAAATTATAGACTGATCATTTCTTTGTCAGTGGGCAAACGTACAAAATCAGCAGGGGATCAAATACTTTTTTCCCTCACTGTATAACAAGCGATACCTGAAACTATATCAGCTGTTCTATGAACACCAACCTTTACAATTTACTAGCAAATTACACATGCATCTAGTAAGTCAATGGGCATTGACAATGGTCGAGGGATAGCTTCTGCTCTCAGTACCTTGGCAGCATCCAACCACTCATATGATAACTATTCACATTTTTCAGCAACTGGGAAATGTTCACCATTCCAAAAGTTTGGTTTACCTGTCTCTGGGCTGCAAAGCGTGGATAAAACTCCCAGGAGCACCTCCTGCTTGCCCTTGAGCTCCAGACAGCAGTAGTAAGACACATCCTGTATGGGATACATCACAATCACTACAGTGGCTTCACAATGCTCTGCAGATTGAGATTAAAATACAGAGACTCCTGACTTCCCATGAAGCGGTACCTATTTTATCAACCTGCAGAGATGTAACACACTGGAATGGCTCTGGATGAATTGAGCACTCTGGCCTCTGCGTCACCCACCCGGATAAAAACGTAACGGCGGAGGGAACGCGAGAGACGGAGACGGAGACGTCGGACCCCGAGGGCCGGGCGCGCGGCGAACCTGTAGGAGGCAGCGCTGGGCCATGGCGCGGTAGGCGCTGCGGTATGTCTTGGTGGTGGGCTGCAAGCCAAGCCGGTAGCCCCAGCGCTCGGCCACGCGGAAGCGCTTGGCGTGCCAGACGTGCGTCTCGAGCCAGACGTGGCGCCGCTGCCGCCGGTTGTAGTCGAGCAGCAGGCTGCCGTGGCGGCGCCGCGCCTTACGCGAGCGGCACTTGGGCACCACCTTCGCCTTGGCACTGGATTCATCCATCTGCGGCGTGGGGGGAGGCGCCGTAGCACGAGAGAGGTACGACGGTGCTCCCCGTCGATTTACGCAATCCGCGGGCGCCATTTGTGTGAAATGCCGGTTACCAACGTTTGAGAAGAGTACATTTGATAATGAACAGCAACAGTGTCCAAGGGTTAAAGCATTAGATCGTTGCATATTACCTGCCATGACAAACGAATTAGAAACGCCGACTGTGACAAAAAAAAAGAAATAAAAGCTAAAACTCATTTAATTTAATTGACTATAGTATTTTAAGTGACTTCCCAATGCTGTATAAATGGTTATATGGTATGCACAGCCAGTGGTGTAAGCGCCAGTGTGTTGGTCTACAGACGTATGCTATGCGTGCATATAGTAAATGCTTATTATGGTGTACGTGTTTGTGTGTTCGACATACGTGTACATATTTTGTGTGTGCGCGGTGTAGTCGGTTGTGCGAGCGCTCAATTGTTATATGTGTATGCATGGATACGCGTATATGGTAAAGAGCTGGTAGCGAGCGAGTGCTTGCGCGTTCCGTACACACAGGCAGGGCGCCGAGCACGTGTAGCTGTGCGTAGGGCGTACAGGCGGTGTGCGAGTGAACGTGGCGAGGGGGTCTCTCGCTGCGAGTCGTCGCACCTCCCTCTTGGCGGCGTCGCGAAGGCAGCGTGGTAGCCGCTTGACGTTGTGGCTCATGGCGCGGCGCCGCATGTGCGTGGGCAGCGTCTGGAAGACTCGTCGCACCGAGCTCTTCCTCTTCACCGCCTGCAGCATGGCCAGCATCTCCGCGGCGCGTGCCTGGGCCATCGACTCCGCTGCGCAGGTGGCCGCAAGGACAAAACGCTCACCGCTCCGTTGCGCCATCGGCTAATTGTGTGGGGGAGGCTAACGGATGCTGCGGTAATTTAACGGTTAGCACGCTGGACTTGCGATCCAGAGGTCGCCGGGAGATCGAATTGAACTTGTGCGGCAGTTGAAACAATGGAAAAGGGTCTTAAATGCCCCCCGTGTCCACCCACCAGTATAAATGCATAGTGCACAGTCAAGATGTCTGGCCAGGTGGAAGAGTAGGCCAAATACCCTCTTTTGGGGCTCTTTTGAGCTCCCTTCTGCCAGCAGTGGCGTGAGCAAGTAATTGCAGGGCTGCAATTTTAATCTTACCACTGATGGGGCAATTCAAGGCTTCGTATTTTGATATAGAATACAAGTGATGTTGGTGACACCGTGTTACTTTTCAACATTGTCTGTGCAGTGTAATACACTTGGTCCAATGTTATGAGGTTGTCTCAAACCACTCGTTTACCACAAGTGCGTAAGTTCATTCGGATATATTAAAATAAAGTACCTGTGAGAACATCGGGCAGCTGCTGAAGTCCCAGAGCCCAGCTTTTGTCAGTGTCCTGCCTCTGCGCTCCCTCAGGACCAGCATCAACGCTGTGCTCCTGCTCCTGACACCACGGTGTGAAAGGTGCCACTGCTGCTGGGAAGGAAATGCCACCTGCACAGCCCACGCAGACAAGTCACTTGACACACTGCGCAAATGCAGATGCTTCTTTAGCATTCGTAGCTAGTAATGCAAGAAACCACAATTACTATGTTTGGGATGCATGTGTTTAATTGTTACCGGCACTGCCCCTCCCCTGTGCGCTGGGTGGCGCATGGACAGTGAGAATGCGCACTGGGTGGCGATTGGCCAGCCAGCAAAACATGTTTTTCTTGTTTAGTATGATATGATGTAAATATACGTGTGTGTGTGTGTGTATATAAGAGCTCCTCTTATCTGTGGCCCTATTACCCACGACGACAATTATCCGTGCCAGCTCTAGAGTCTGTAAAAACTAATGCCCTATTTTTTTCATATCTGCGATTATATCATCCGTAATTTTACCAATAGCATAGAGCGAATTCGCTTCCTAATACTCGCATTTGTTCAACTAAGAGGATTTGTGCAATAAATTGCTCCTAATACCCGTGAGTTATCCACGATTATTTTTATTAAAGCGTGTGCTGTGATTAAAGCAAGTGCATGAGTGCCAATCGCAGACATTTGGAGTTTGATGATCTGCTTAAAAAGCAACAGTGAAAGGTTTAATTACAGCGACATGAGCAAATTTAACCATTATACCATTTGAACCACATGAAGCCGAATTAAGCAGTGCATTTTAAATCAATACCTGGGGTCAAACTACAGAATACACATATATACAAGTTCTCACTAAGAACAATTGTCCTATCATGACAAGAAAGAACTTAAATCATGTTCATAATATAGGTTTTTGGGCTAGATCACGGAAATACAAATGTGCCGTTAAACCTGCCACCACCCGACAGCGCCAATTAGTAAGGTTTGTCACATAAACAAAACATGCCAATTTGCTACTAGTTCAGCACACCGGCGTGTTGGAGTGTAAACCCACATCTACATTCGAGATAGACGTTTCCCCAGTAATTACAACCAGCATCACCAGACGAAAAGCCAGCGTTATACGTCTTAAAATGTTAAATTATGTTATACATAAATCATGTCATATACACGCACATTAATCCCAGTTGTTGGCATGAATACAACTCACCATTGTCATCTTTACGTTCATCAGCAGCACCCCCCTCCACTGCTGGAAAGACCACGTTCTTCGGCTGATGGCGCATGATGCGTTCCCTCTTCTTTGCTTGTCGCCGCCCACCTCCTCTCCCTTGAGCGCCTGCTCCGCGGGACCTCCCCTCCATGAATTCAAGAGTCCTCCAAGAACCGCAAGGAACACAACTCCTTCCTGTAAATCACACCGGAGGATATTTAATCACACGGGCGAAATGACGGAGGCGGTTTCTCTTCCCTGCTCGCTCGCCAAACCTAAGCCACTTATTTGAGCTGTCATTTGTGCCCAGGTCGCTTCTGAAAAGGGTTTATATATCTCAGTGGGCCTGATCTGGTAAAAATTTAAAAAAAAGTTTCGTTTTTCCGTGCTCGCAAAACGTGTCTTTTGAATTTGACGTGGGCGGCTACATTCGCTATTTAATGACATTTTACCGGATATACTTCGTGTCAAAATTGTGATCCTTTTAATACTTTGGTATGGTTGGGTGGTCTTCTTTGGTTCTTTCGGTAAAGTCACGTAGAATGAGAATAAAATAATAAATTGATAAAATAAAATAACACAATAAAATTATCATGACGTTTCGGCCACAACACAAGCGGCCTTCATCAGGTGAAGGGATGAGACTGTCTGGAGGACAGCGCTGAAGCGAACACAGCTAAGCTCAGACTGCGACCTTTAAGCTGTGTGAGAAGAAACAGAGCGCCTTGACAAAGGAATTAGCATAAAATTTCGCATTGAAATAGCTGAGTGATTAGCTTGTGACTGGTCACAGAAATGGCTATGTTAAAGTAAAAAAAAACACATCCACAGAGGCACCCCTTGACAAAGGAATTAGCATAGAATTTCGCATTGAAATAGCTGAGTGATTAGCTTGTGACTGGTCACAGAAATGGCTATGTTAAAGTCAAAGCATACACATTCACAGAGGCACCTAGGACAAATCAAACAGGAGAATTTAGCATTGAAATAACTGAGGGATTAGCTTGTGACTGGTCATAGAAATAGTTATGTTAAAGTCAAAGCCTACACATCTACAGAGGCACCTAGTACAAATCAAGCAGGAGAATTTAGCATTGAAATAACTGAGTGATTAGCTTGTGACTGGTCACAGAAATGGCTATGTTAAAGTCAAGGCCTACACATCTGAGCTATTAACAGTAACTGGGTATACACTACACTATATAATGAATACTATATAGTAAACCAATAAAAAAACTAAATTATAAATTACCTCAATGTTACCAATAAACTCTATATATTCTCCAATCAGCTAAGCTACCAACAATAAGCCGTTATATATCACAATGCTATATGGCGAAAAAATGGGTAGATTCTTACCCTCAACTTTAGCACCACGGAAAGCTACGAGCCCCATTCAGACGGACGAGTTCATCCATGGTCGGAACAGAGGAGGGAGAGAGAGACAGCTGCGAGGCGCTGTTATACTCCATGTTGTAAACCATACCATTAACCGTGGTGTGAGAGGTATTAAGAGTCAATGCCAGCGAAAGAGCCGCGGTCTGAAGGTCATCGTAAAATACAATTAATTAAGAACGGAAATGGTTTAAAACATCTTTCCAATGGTTACTAAGCCAGAATCCATCTTCTCGGTTGAAATTGTCTCTGTGCTTGTATATGTGAATGGCCTCATGAACGAATCTCTCATGGTAGCCGGTTGGTTTGCAAAGAACCTCCGTCTTGGAGAAGTCAATGTCATGTGAGCCCACTGAATTATAACAGTGATCTACCACGGCAGAGGAGTTCGTTCTACCGTGTTTCAAGTCTGCTTTATGTTCGCGGATGCGGTCCGAGATATGTCATTTGGTTTCTCCAATGTAGCTACTACCACAGAGGCACTTTAGTTTGTAAACGCCCGGGTACTGTATGTCTGGAACAGCATCTTTTACAGATGGAACCAGATCACGGATTTTATGTACTGTGTTGAATCGGACCTGGATATTGTGTTTATTCAGGATTTTGGAGATCTTTTTAGTGACCCCTGCAATGTAGGGTAAGGTGATGGTTTTGAGTGGCTCCACAAGAGGATCCTTCTTCATGACTGGAGTGATGGCTTTGCGGATTGTGTAGTCGGAGTAACCATTAGCCCTGAGAGCCTGGTGTACGTGCTTGAGTTCACTGGTAATGTGTTCCTGGTCGGAAATGCATTGGGCTCTATGGTATAGAGTCTTGATGAGGGAGTTCTTCTGGGATGGATGGTGGTGGGAATCCGGTTTCAAGTAAGCATCTGCATGGGTAGCTTTCCTGTAGACAGAGTGGCTCATTGAACCATCATGTCTCCTTTTAATTAAGACATCCAAAAACGATAGTTTGCCATCTTTTTCGACCTCCATGGTAAATCTGATGGCTGGGTGTATGGAATTGATGTGGTCGCGGAATTGGTCTAGAGCAAGTTGGCCATGTGGCCAGATGACAAAAGTGTCATTCACGTACCTCTTCCATAAGGTCGGGCGTAGAGTAGCAGTCTGGATGGCGTCAGTTTCAAATTTTTCCATGAATACGTTGGCTACAACCGGAGATAGGGGGGAGCCCATTGGGGTGCCCTCAGTTTGTTGTAGAAAGTTCCATTCCAGGTGAAGTATGTGTTGGTTAAGCAATGTCTCACCAGGGGGGGTACATCAGTATGCAGTCCTTGATGAACCAGGTCTTCAATGATAGCGATGGTGTCAGGTACCGGGACTTTGGTGAACAAGGACACCACATCAAAACTGACAAGCAGGTCGTCTGGCGACAAGGAAATGCCTTTGATTGTCGATACCAGGCGAGTAGAATTTAGTACCGCAGAGGTGGTTTTTCCAGTGAAAGGTCGCAGTATATCAGCAAGAAAACGTGCCAGTTTATAGGTGGGGGAGTTGATAGTAGAGTCGATGGGACGAAGGGGTGTATCTTCTTTGTGTATCTTTGGAAGGCCATATAATCTTGGTGGTCTGGCAGCAGAGGGTTTCAACGAGAACTGTTTGGTCTGATCAATTAATGCTGTTGAATCAGTGATGATTTTGTTCGTTTTGGTAACCAGGCTGTTGGTGGGATCTCTTTTTATTCTTGTATAGCTGCCATCGTTGAGTAGTTCTTGAATTTTGTTGTTATATTCTGTTTTGTCCATGATGACAGTGGCATTGCCCTTGTCGGCTGAGAGGACGACAATATCATCTCTCTTTTTTAACTGAGATAATTCAAAGCGTTCATCTTTGCTGATGTTGCTAGGTGGCAACTTAGCGTAAAACCAAAGAAGATGAATCCTTGCAGTCACGAAAGCTTTAAATCGAAATGGTTGGGTGGGTTAATGTTTTATATGTTTATACCTGTAAATTGCATTTGTTGTATTTTAACCATTCTCGTCAATTCCCACTTGCAAAAGCAACTCGTTTTTCAATTGGCTCCAAAGCGTTTTGTTTTAAGTTAAAGTATTTTTAAGTTAAAGTATTTGTCACAATTTGAAAAATATGCGACTGCATTGCTCGTGGTTCTAAAGGGTAAATAAAAACATCGCATTCGTAATTGTTTTACAAAAAGCAAAGCAACCGATACAGACGACCCCGGCCTATGCTGTGGCACGTCAACTTCTGCTCCACTGCCAAATATACAACGGCAACTAATACACTTGAAGATACGATTCCACTGACAATTGGTGTACCACTACATCGGTACTCTATATGCTGCTGAACGAGCAACGACTGCTACTTAACCACTACACGATCGCCACATGACCATTGACTGCAATCACTAAACAAGCAACTACTTGATAATTGTTTTTTTTTACCCTTTTATCTGCCAACAAAACTGACACCTTTTTTTCAAGGTGTCATGTTTACATTGACCACAATACCTGCGGTCGGAACGCAAACAAAAAACAACTCTGATAATGTATGTGGCACTGTCCTTGAAATTGATTGGTCCACACCCGAGACAGCTTTCTTTAGAGCCTCGTCTCACATGGTGTTGGACCAGAAGACGCCAAAAGGCGCACAACTCAAAGACAATGCACCATCAGAGTATGAGAGCTCGGGTTAAGCATTTACACCATTGGAAACCTCATTTGCCAGTAACAAAATATGATAATTGTTTTTTTACCCTTTTAACTGGCAACAAAACTGACACCTTTTTTACAAGGAGTCATGTTTACATTGACCACAATACCTGCGGTCGGAACGCAAACAAAAAACAAGTGCATACATTATCAGAGTTGTTTTTTTGTTTGCGTTACGACCGCAGGTATTGTGGTCAATGTAAACATGACTCCTTGTAAAAAAGGTGTCAGTTTTGTTGCAGGTAAAAAAACAATTATCATATTTTGTTACTGGCAAATGAGGTTTCCAATGAAGCAACCACTTCTACACAAACTACAGCACTGAAATATTACAATGGCAACTGCAGTATTTCTACACCAGTAAAACAATCGCAAATCCTAAAGCATAACCTGGATAGAATGACATTCTCATATAAGCAACACGTGCTTATAAAGTATCATGTGGGGGAGGCTACGATATATAAAGCACGTCTGTGTTTATATTCAGCGTCTGAATATATGCTGAATCACCACCAAAGCAAATTACAGTACAGTACACTAGTAATTGCTCCTAGACACCTACAGTGCGACTATTATTAACTACAGTTATACTGCACCATCTACGACTAGAATGACACTCAGCTACGATTACCAACCATGCTCGCGTTAATAACACGAAAAGAACTCGACCTGACATAGCGCGGCCTGGTCAGAAGCCCTCATTCCAAACGCATGCGCTCGACTAGCAGAGTCGCGAGTTCAGCCACTCTCGCGAGCGGGTTCAAACAAACAGCACGAACCCGTGTTGAACGACGTAGCTTGTCTAACGTTTCAGCCAACCGCAATTTGTGATCGCACCTTAGACGAGGGGCGAGGCGATGGTGGCGCGCGGTGTCAGGATGCAGGGACCTCTCTCTTTCCACGTTCCCCAACGCGCACGGCGCGCCGGGCCGCAGTGCGCGCACGTGTTACAGAGGCCGGCGCGGTCAAACCGCAGCGGCAGACACCAGCAACGCGTTTCGTAAATGACTCGGATTTGAAACTCGAAGGGCGGGGTTATGCTTCCCCCCACCCACCCACCTCTTAACTCGTCTCTCCGGACTGGCTTCTCACCCCCATTGGCTGCACCCCCAGCCTCTGTTGACGCCTTTCAACGCTCATCGGAATACCTGACACGAACTCCCCTGCCACCGTGGCAGATACTCAACACACACCACTCACCACTCATCCTCCTGACCCTCACCAGACACATCTGAACACCTCACCACTTGGTAGACATACTCACCAGACACATCTGACATCACTCACCATTCACCCTCCTGACCCTCACCAGACACATCTGAACACCTCACCACTCAGTAGACATACTCACCACACACCTGACGCCACTCACCATTCACCCTCCTGACCCTCACCAGACACATCTGAACACCTCACCACTTGGTAGACATACTCACCACACACCTGACGCCACTCACCACTCACCCTCCTGACCCTCACCAGACACACCTGAACACCTCACCACTCAGTAGACATACTCACCACACACCTGACGCCACTCACCACTCATCCTCGTGACCCTCACCAGACAGATCTGAACACCTCACCACTCAGTAGACATACTCACCACACACCTGACGCCACTCACCATTCACCCTCCGTACCCTCACCAGCCACATCTGAACACCTCACCACTCAGTAGACATACTCACCACACACCTGACATCACTCACCATTCACCCTCCTGACCCTCACCAGACACACCTGAACACCTCACCACTCAGTAGACATACTCACCAGACACACCTGATGCCACTCACCACTCACCCTCCTGACCCTCACCAGACACATCTAAACACCTCACCACTCAGTAGACATACTCACCACACACCTGACATCACTCACCACTCATCCTCGTGACCCTCACCAGACACATCTAAACACCTCACCACTCAGTAGACATACTCACCACACACCTGACGCCACTCACCACTCATCCTCCTGACCCTCACCAGACACATCTAAACACCTCACCACTCAGTAGACATACTCACCACACACCTGACATCACTCACCACTCATCCTCCTGATCCTCACCAAACACATCTAAACACCTCACCACTCAGTAGACATACTCACCACACACCTGACACCACTCACCACTCATCCTCCTGACCCTCACCAGACACATCTAAACACCTCACCACTCAGTAGACATACTCACCACACACCTGATGCCACTCACCACTCACCCTCCTGACCCTCACCAGACACACCTGAACACCTCACCACTCGGTAGACATACTCACCACACACCTGATGCCACTCACCACTCACCCTCCTGACCCTCACCAGACACACCTGAACACCTCACCACTTGGTAGACATACTCACCACACACCTGACATCACTCACCACTCACCCTCCTGACCCTCACCAGACACATCTGAACACCTCACCACTTGGTAGACATACTCACCAGACACATCTGACGCCACTCACCACTCACCCTCCTGACCCTCACCAGACACATCTGAACACCTCACCACTCAGTAGACATACTCACCACACACCTGACGCCACTCACCACTCACCCTCCTGACCCTCACCAGACACATCTGAACACCTCACCACTCAGTAGACATACTCACCACACACCTGACGCCACTCACCACTCACCCTCCTGACCCTCACCAGACACACCTGAACACCTCACCACTCGGTAGACATACTCACCACACACCTGACATCACTCACCATTCACCCTCCTGACCCTCACCAGACACATCTAAACACCTCACCACTCAGTAGACATACTCACCACACACCTGACATCACTCACCATTCACCCTCCTGACCCTCACCAGACACATCTAAACACCTCACCACTCAGTAGACATACTCACCACACACCTGACATCACTCACCATTCACCCTCCTGACCCTCACCAGACACATCTAAACACCTCACCACTCAGTAGACATACTCACCAGACACATCTGACATCACTCACCATTCACCCTCCTGACCCTCACCAGACACACCTGAACACCTCACCACTCAGTAGACATACTCACCACACACCTGACGCCACTCACCACTCATCCTCCTGACCCTCACCAGACACATCTAAACACCTCACCACTCAGTAGACATACTCACCACACACCTGACGCCACTCACCATTCACCCTCCTGACCCTCACCAGACACATCTAAACACCTCACCCACACCATTACATAATTGCATTTTGCACCACCTCACTGCACGACTATACCACAACATTACACCCTGCACCGCACCATACGACTAATCGACATCCTACAGTACACCACTATAGTACACACTACACCACTTGTGTACATAAGAGGCCGTCAATTAATGACGTCACGCACCTGGGGGGGGGGGGGGGTCAGGCATTTGTGACGATGTGTGACGAAGGGGGGGGGGGGGTGAGAAATGTGACGTCACATCAAAATGCGCAACTTTAAATAAATATGGACAACACGTTCTGCTTAATTAAATTGACTTTTTCATAAATATTTTCTCCTACAACATCAGAGTGCAGCGTCACATTAAATACGCACTACAATTACAATTGTTTAAAGCGATTTGAAGCTTTTTTTCTTTGGGGGGGGGGGGGCAGAGCTTTGTGACGTCATAATTGAGGGGGTTTCTGTCTTTCTGTGACACCGTGTGACGATGGGGGGGGGGGGGGGTAAAAAATCGCGTGACGTCATTTATGGGCGGCCCCTTACCACACCATTTCATTACACCACTTACCACGATACCACAGAACTCCATCACACCAATAAATGTAACTGTCACAATTTCTTCCTCATTCCTTCACTTACTCGTGTATACATTTTAGATTTAAAGCTTCGTAAGAATTTTATTGTTTTATATTTTTATTATTTTATTGTTTCCCTTGTACGTGACTTTACCGAAAGAACCAAGAATATTACTCGTGTATCTCTCATCAAGTCACTCATTCCACTCATTCATTCATCATGACTCTCATTCATACTCCCCCAATCTCTCATTCCTCCCTCACTCAAACCTCTCAATCCTTCATTCAGTCATATATCCCTCATTTGCTCACTAATGTTCTCATGTAAACACGTTTTGTTCAGCAAATTATTGGACTTTACAAAGCACATGAGCGATTTAAGGTCTACTTGTTGAATTTCATAATGCAAATAAGATAAATTGTGAGATAAAAAAAAAGTTTGTGAGGTAAATTACTCTCATTCCTCGCTCATTCAATCACTTAATCCTCTCATTAATCTTGACTTATTGCTTTTCTATCTACGTGGCTTTACCGAAAGACCCATATAATACCTCTCATTAATGATATATCGCTCTTACCTCAATAACTCACACCTCTCATTCTTACCTTATTCACGCAATTCTCTCATTCTCATTATTACCTTATTCAACCATTCACACCTCTCATTCCCATTCCTACCTCATTCAATCACTCATTCCTCTTATTCTTATTCTTGCATCATTCAATCACTCATTCCTCTTATTCATTCTTATTCTTGCGTCATTCAATCACTCATTCCTCTTATTCATTCTTATTCTTGCGTCATTCAATAACTCATTCCTCGTATTCATTCTTATTCTTGCGTCATTCAATCACTCATTCCTCTTATTCATTCTTATTCTTGCGTCATTCAATCACTCATTCCTCTTATTCATTCTTATTCTTGCGTCATTCAATGACTCATTCCTATTATTCATTCTTATTCTTGCGTCATTCAATCACTCATTCCTCTTATTCATTCTTATCCTTGCGTCATTCAATCACTCATTCCTCTTATTCATTCTTATTCTTGCGTCATTCAATCACTCATTCCTCTTATTCATTCTTATTCTTGCATCATTCAATGACTCATTCCTCGTATTCATTCTTATTCTTGCGTCATTCAATGACTCATTCCTATTATTCATTCTTATTCTTGCGTCATTCAATCACTCATTCCCTCCAGTACTATTGCACTAGGTTCCCTGAATGTTCTCCCTTCCTGGACCCCACCCGTTGCTACGGACACCGTCGCTAGGGACCCATGTTCCTATGGATACCGTTGCTCGGGACAGCTGTTGCTAAGGACGCCTGTTGTTGGAGACACCGGTGCTAGGAACACCTGTTGCTAAGGATGCATATTGCTAGGGATACAGTTACTAGGAACAGCGTTGCTAGGGACGCCTGTTGCTGCAGGACGCCGTTTGCCAGGGATACCGTTGCTAGGAACACGTTGCTAAGGACACATGTTGCGAGAGACACCGTTGCTAGGGACATCTGTTGCTAGGGATGCATTTTGCTGGGGATACCGTTTCTAGGGACACCGTTGCTATGGACACCTGTTGCTAGGCTGACGGTTGGTCCACGTGGCCAGAAAACAAACGTTTGATTTCGTAGTGCACATTAATTCCTCAGTGTAGCGGGGGTTTTGTATTTTGTAGTCCACGTAGTGCGTTTTTTTTATTCGCTCATAACTCAGCAACGCAAAGTCGAAAAATAACTTAACACCCTTCGACAACGGGCTTTCGAACGATACTAAATGCGTGCCCGAAATTATGAAAATGCGGATTTCTGGAACTTTTTTTTTAAGTTCGTACACACAAACCAACAAAACAAACAGGGGGTGGGAATTTATATCCAGTCTATAGATGTACCACCAACACACTATGCCTTGGCAATGGTGCTGCGTCGACAGATTCGTCAAAAAAATCACTTTGAAGAAAAATGTATAATAGGCAACGTATTCTTGGTTCTTTCGGTAAAGTCACGTAGAAGGGAAACAATAAAATAATAAAAATATAAAACAATAAAATTCTCACGACGTTTCGACTGCAACAACAAGCAATCATCATCAGGTGTGAAAACCACAACAAGAAAATTAGACTTTTTCTTTCAAATTTTCTTGCTGTGGTTTTCACACCTGATGATGGTTGCTTGTGTTGCAGTCGAAACGTCGTGAGAATTTTATTGTTTTATCTTTTTATTATGTTATTGTTTCCCTTCTACGTGACTTTACCGAAAGAACCAAGAATATGAATCCCTGCAGTCACGAAAGCTTTAAGTCAAAATAGGCAACGTTTCAGAAAACTGCTCTTCTTAATAGCACATGAAGACCAGCAGAGGTGAAAATCCATAGAGACCACATTCATGCCGGCAACAGGGCCTATTATATATTTGTTTAAGGCAATAGTATTGACGAATGTGTTGAGTGTTATTATTGTTGTGATGTTCATAATACACGTTTTTGGGTTAGATCGCGTTATTTATAAATGTGTCGTAACTCTCCACCACCCGACACGGCCAATCAGTAAAAAAGTGTCACGTTGACAAAAGACAAATAGTTCACTACTTTAGCCCACCGGGGTGTTGAGGAGTGAATCCACAACATTTACAATTTACGACACATTTATAAATAACGCGATCTAACCCAAAAATGTTTATTATGAATCATATTGGTCGCGAAAGCCTCCGTGTTAAATTGTTGTCATGTGTTCGCGTACATTTGGAAGTATGTAGCAGTTGCCATCGTGTGTCCCGTGTATTTATTACGATCCCAGTAACATCAGTTGCATTTTCTGTTTTCCCCACACCGATAGCAATTGGTTTGTGAGCCTAGCACGGGTTTGTACTTAGTGTGGTGCCTGTGTCGATTTGCGTCAATGCCATGAGTCCTAGACAGCTGGATGAGTGTTCTGGCCACACCAGCACCTGGTGTGGTATGACTTCGTTGGTGGGACCAATAATTATAGGTGACTGCTAACATGCGTAGTGTCCTCCTTCCTCGAGGCGTGTGTGTTTGTGGCATGTTGCGTGCGGCGCACGCACTCGGAGACGAGGTAGTTGCGGGGGGCACCATCTCTCTTTATTATCTCTCGTTCACACCACCAACTCTGGCCTCGTCTCTCGCGTACAGCCCGGCCCAGACACGACCCTGTTCCCATTGCACATACGGCGTCGACCGAGACAGCCAACTACTGTTCAGCCGCACAATCGTCGGGCGAAGACGGTAGCAACGAGACGAGTCCACTCCCAGAACCGGCAGCCGAAAGTTCCTCGCTCTCCGCTGCTTATATTCCCCTCGGCGCGGCTTGGCTCTGCCCTAGCCGCGCCTCCCTTCTCGAACCCACCAGAGGGTTCCAGGAGCCTCCCTGTAGGGTCTAACTTGACCCTTGCCCCAGTTCCTCCGCCCTGCCGGCCACACACACCGTGTCTATGCTCAATGGCGTGTGTGCTGTGTCCACCTGCAGTTGCTGCTGCTGTACAGCAGCCGGCGTTGTGTGTCACTACACACGTAATGTACATACACCAACGGCGATTATCTGCACCGCTCCTGGGCCTCCTCCCCTTGGTGTGAAATGTAAACATCGCCACCAGGGAGACAAAGGCGCGCGTGTGGGGTGCTGGCCACCCACCCCCTCCGTGTGCCGTTCCCACCTGCATAGGTGCTCGCTAACGGCACTTGCCCCAACAATCTATTGAACATATTCTTGGGTCTTTCGATAAAGTCACGTAGATAGGTTCATAGAAATTAAAAACTACGACGTTTCAATCGCAACACAAGCGGTCGTCTTCAGGAAAAGGGGGGTTAGCTTCCAAGGCAAACTGTTTCTAAGGGTTTGAAATGGGCGTAGCCCAAATGTCAGCAGCCAATGATAATGTAAGTGGTGGGGGGGATCTTTGTATCTTTGTATTTTGTACGCATTTTCGGACTAATGATGTAGGACAAGCGTCATAATGAAACAATGACACCCAGGTGATGATGCGCATGATGACGCAACAATCGCACTGGAGCCACGTGGTTCGCAGAGCCACTGCCATCGATGACTCACGGAGCAACGGTCCTTGATCTGTTGGCGCGCGCTACCTGTGTGAGCTGTGAATATACCCACGAATTTGTTTGACGTTTATACGAACTTAATTTATCTTAAGCGATCATCATGATCCATGGGCAGATAGCCCGTAGCTGTCCACTGCACATTGCTAAAGTCGTGCACATCTGCCTGGCACAAATCTTTTATGTCGTCAAGCCATTCTCTCTTAGATCTTCCTCTCATTTAAGCGATGGAGCAAGATAAACTAGAGGATTATTCAGTGGCCATCGAAAATCATTCTCCGGATTGCAGGGGAGCGACACGTGGCGTGTGGTTCGCGTCAACTCGCACCCACACTCTCCGTTACCGTCACTCTCGACACTCGGCCGGGAAACTAGTGTGGTCGGCTGGCCCGTGGGGGTTGGGGGGGGGAATTCTCTGGAGTCCTTCACCATAAGATAAATAGCACTCCGTTTCTTTCGAACTGCTTTTACTCCGTGGGAAGTCAAAAGTGTGTGTTTTTTTAATGGGCTGACTGTATTCTGCCAAGCATGGCACATTTATACAACCAGCTCAGGACTAGAAGTGGAGACAACGGTCGTTCAATTGGTTCTGTTTTTTAATGTAATTACATCACATAACTACACTTCACAATACAGTATTGTTACGCCAGAATACAAAACAAATTAAAAGTACTTCGTGGTGTAGTTGTCTCATAGGTTGTCCTTTAACTAGAGTGTGTGTGTGTTTTGCTTGGTAAAGCACGAAAACATGTCACTACAACAATATACATTGTATGGGCTGGCTTCAACTGCTATACTGTACATGGATATGCCCATGCTCGTGGATGAACAAACGTTTTATACATTCCCTGTTTGAAGTACAGAGGACTCTCACCGTCGTACATAGGACTTAAATCTGGTGGCTGATGGGAGACGGGAAGTGTGGTGCACGTCCATAGGAATATTAAGTGCAGTCGTGGTCTGGCTGAGCGTTTCGTAAATAACCTTGGGTGAATAAGTCTGCACTGGACTGTACCTGGAAAATTCCCACACGTCTCTGGTTGGGTAATTGTGAAGCCTACAATAGCAATGCATTAACAAAACCCAGAGGTTATTTACAAGGCCCACAAGAATACAGGACGTTAAGGAGACTGTTAAGGTAATTGTGTGGGTACATGACGAATACAATGTTCATGATAAATGATTGTCTAGTGCTCGAATACTATTTTAATACACGAACATCAATTTACAAAGAAAGTCCTTACATTGCCTTGTTCATTACAGTTTATGCATGTTTACTCATTGATATGCAGAGCAGTTGATAAAAAAACAATTACAGAGGAAATATAAAAAAGAAACCCAATGAAGAGTAGTTCATATTTTGAAGATAACCATGCATGGCTAGCATGTGGTTAATATGTTTCCATGCACCATTAAGGCCTTTTCACAACTGGCACATTTTCTATTCACTAGGGCAAGTAATGTAATGAGTTGGAAACAACATGACAGTAGATGACCCGACCAACGTTGCTTCTTTAACAAATGTCTAGCCAGTGTTAAACGCACATGTGTGCTCCCAAACGTTATGGGACATTGTCCATCTATTTGGCAAAGTTGGAATTTTTTTTTCTAGATGACTTGGATTTAATGATCAAGCACATATCTAACATCAGGGCAATGACAATACTAGATCGATCCAATTCTCCATCCCATACTAGGTCACCTCATCCTGGCATACACATTGACAAGCCTCAAGTATTTACTCAGATCCCATTGGCTAGAGGCTTGTTCCTTACTCGCACCTTGTCTCAACGATTGCCCGGTGTGAAAATGGCCTTGCAAAACGGCATGGAAAAACGACACGTTTGTACTACTTGTGGGTGGCAGACGGTGTCTGTATGAAGAGCTGATGGGACAGCGGTGCAGGGGACTCCATGGGCAGTCCACTCGCCAGACTGTGCACACACGTGCAGTGGTAAGAAGCGAGTCGTGACGGCTGTTCCTCGCTACTTCCCTTGGAGGTGCAGGCTGTTGTCTAGGCGAGCCACCTTGCTCGCCAGGTTGTCATGTAATGCTGTAAGGTCAAGGAAAACACCGTCGTCGAAAAGAACACCTTTACGTGTTTAAGCATGTACAAGCAGTTTTAGGTGGCTCATTTAGAAAGCTGTTCCACCGTGCAAAGCAATCGTGTAACATTTACAGGCGTCCCTCGCATAACGCGCGACGAGATGCGTTCCTGAAAACAGCGCGTAAGTCTAGCCGTGCTGCATGAAGCCTATTTTCCCACAGACATACATTGGTGTAAGGTGGGGCGGGGGGGGGCGTTAAAGAAGACAAATTAAGCATAATTTAAGTATCTTTTGCCCTGGATTTACAGATTACATATAAATGTAATAATGAATAATATAAATATCATTAACATTACAAAATTACTTAATAAAGAGTTTAATAACAAAACACTTATTAACATGAAAACGATTACTATTTACAAAGATTACTGAACCAGGAGTGACATCAGGGCTTCTTGAACGATTCCGCGGGCTGCTTGTAGCAGCACGCACGATGCAAACAAAGGCAGCAGATCGAAAGTGGCTTTGCCCAGCCCGTGACACTGGGCACTGCCATGACGCGGTGATGCCATCAGATTGATATTTTAGTTGGTTGACCTGCGTAATATTTTAATTTTAACTATAATTTTTATCATAAAAAAAAACTTTTATTTAGAAAACTCTAATCATACCATTTTTGGGCATTTTGTTTGGTCTTGAGTGTAAGTGTGAAGTATGTTCCTTAAAGGTTAATCGCCTTACCGCAAATTTGCGCTATGGGGCAATGCGTTATGTGAGGGAAGCCTGTGTAACTGACCACTGTATTTATTATTATAATACATTTTTTCTCAGGAAACCCTCAATGAGTTCCGATACGTATTTTCAGGAGGGACTTAGACTAAGATGTTTGGTGAATACCAATCACAAGAGTGTGGCTTGTGAAAATAAACTGTGGTACCCAGGAACACCACTTCGGCACAGATAAATTCAAACCCGACTCAAATTTCGATTTAAAGCTTTTGTGACTGCAAGGATTCATCTTCTTTGGTTCTTTCGGTAAAGCCACGTAGAATGAGAATACAATAATAAATTAATAAAATAAAATAACACAATAAAATTCTCACAGAGAGAGAATTTTAGTGAGAATTTTATCGTGTTATTTTATTAATTTATTATTTTATTCTCATTCTACGTGACTTTACCGAAAGAACCAAAGAAGATTAATCCCGACTCAGTATATTCAATTCATATCTGGCCTGAGGCCATTCCTAGACTGCCATCTCCCGGCCACCTTACAGTCCCCAGCGTCGCACCTGTAACACCTGGTATGCAGCAAGTGACCACTTGTCAAAGCACTAACCAGGCTCAACCCAGCATCGCTTCAGAGGTCCAAAGAGATCGGGTGCACTCAGGGTGATTGGGTGAGCTCAAAGTCAGTATTCACGAGTCAGCAGCGAAGGACTCCTGAGTCCTTCACTGAGTCCTTCATTATTTCCAATCATCCACTGTATGTAGCTGCTGTCAAGGCTCAAATTTGAAAATGGCCCATTAGCAATTACTACTGCTGCTAAACAGAGCAAAACAATGTCCCGAAGCTGGAATGCTGCTGTCACATCTGGGGTGCAGTTCCTCCCTTTCTTCACCGGATAGGATTCAATGTAGATCAATCAAAAAGTAATTCCTGCAGTCACGAAAGCGCCAAATCAAGTTTCAATCAGGGTGATTGATGACCCAGCACTAATTTATTCACTCCGGTCACTCACTGGCAGTGAGTCGCCTCCCGATCGCTCGTCTATCGCTACTACAATGGCTAATGTTCCCGTGAAATTCACTCGTGGATTCCTCCACCCATGTCGAGGGCTCGGTCTACCAGACTGTTTCGTCTCAACCACACTTTAACCAACACACTGTCGGTCAAAACACTTAGCTTTCTGCTTTTTCCTCCACATTGCTAAATGGAGAAATTGTCAGGTCATATTTTCAGCATTGGGATGTTTTGGCCAATACCAGTTCAACTGTATGTGTGTATGGCTGTAGGATTTCACGTTAGCGATGCTTGCAATGAAAGCGTTGAAGGATATAGTTTTGCTGCAGGTTCTCGATGAGGGAGAGCACGTGCTTCCTGAACTCAAGTGCCGCTTCGCAATGGCACGGGTCGCTCACAGACAGACTCTTCTTCACTTCCTCTGCACACGCACAGCAGAGACACAGGGCAGACAGCTCCGCGTGTGATTCCACACGCTGTTGTGCGTGGCGCTACACACGATCTAACACAGCAGTGTCGAAAACGCAACGCAAGGTCATTTCGTTTTGCACTTCGCTTTTCGGTGTGCTTTATAATGCCTCACATTGAAAGCCTTAATGCATTAGCTCTTTTCTGTTGGTTCAGCTGTCTGTAGTGGGACGGTCGCAATAACACTTGAGCAGACGATAGAATATACATTCTATTTTAGCATAGAGTTGCGTTGTTGTTCATGAATTACCCTATTGAAAACTATACACATTGATCGAAGACGCTGCCCAAACCTGTTGGGCAAACCTTTTGGGCAACCCTTTTAATCTATATATAAATGTTATTTATATTGAATCATGTGGTTAAACGTTATTATAACCCCACACTGCAGACAAACGGATGGACGGCCAGAGGTAATGAATTTAGGCTTTCAATTTCAGTTGGAATGGCGTTAAAAAGCACTTCTCTGAAGCCACAAGAAATGTTATGAGAACATGGGCCACCTGCAAATAATAATAATAAGCCAAACAACAGACTTAACAAAACTGTAAAATCAATAAGAACATAAATGAAGTTAGAAATCAAAGGACACAACACAAACATTCATGAAGATGCCAATAAACAATTAGAGCATGAAATCGATTAAAAACTACGCGGTTGATTGAGAACTTACAAACGGTCGCCTTTAGAAAGTAAGGAATCAAAATACAGCATATGAGATGAAGCCATAAAATTAAGAGATTCTGCACTGATCTCTACAGCAAGCATTGTTCATTACCGTTTGAAAACGAAGGATGGCTCCCAGACAAGACGGAATAACCAAGGACACCATTAAACAAGCAGAGCCGGATGGTTTTAACAAAACGAGCGAACCTATTTCATAAACGTTTTCAAAGAAATAAAATCCCCCAAAACGTGGACTGCTGATGCTGAAAAACCCCCCTTGTGTTCATAAACGGAGAACTAAACTGCTTCGAAGAATTAACGCCCCATTAAGAATAATCATCTACCACAACTATCTAATCATCCATCATCAATCATCGGCTGAGGAGGCGAACGCGGCTCCCACCCGCGCAGATGCGCAGCTTGAGCTTCTCCGCAATGCGGCTGATGGCGGAGAAGTCGGTGGAGTAGTAGAAGTGGTCCTTGTCCGGATCGCTGGCGATCTCTCGCAGCTCCGACTCTACCGCCTTGCCGATCCCCACGGCGTACACGGTCACATCTACAAACACGCGCACGGTAACGGACGCCTCTCGCTGAAAGTGTAGGCTTCCCGCCTACACGTTGTTCAATGAGGTGAAGGCTCAAGGGAGACCAGGATAGAAGTCTCATTTGCGAGAGTGTTCTGGGTCACTGAAATTACTAAACCCAAAGCACAAACTGTACAGCAATGACGCGAATAGAAATCTGAGCAAAAACATCCGTCACGAAAAATATTATATATTTTGCATGAACATATGTCCATGTTAAATAATGCATTCCTTGTAGATTGAGGTAGCACCGGCACATGATAGTTAGACCGAGCATAGTACAATTAAGTGACAGAAAGATTAAAGAGGGATAGTGCGACTATTGTACAGACGAGGAAATATGAGTCAAATGCAATTGCAAGTTAAGTTATTATTAATATTATTATTTTTAAATTACGACTTTGCATAAAAGTGTTATTCAAATGGGTGAATGTCCATTGAGAAAGCATTTCACTGGAAAGATGGTCGAAAAATAAATCATCTCATTGCCGCTATTCAGCTATGAAGCTCTCGTCCGCAGATGTCCAGTATGGGCAGGTCACAGATGTTGACTTGTGGAAGTCACGTTTGTTGCAGTTGCTCCCGCTGTGCGATACCACGCTGAGTGAATATGTTGTATAACTCGACAGCATTGCCACATGGTTTGGCCAACAGCGGTTAACATTGCACACCTTACCCCTTGGGGTGTAAATCACATCTGTAATTAGCAACCGTCGCGGTCATGGGCCACTCCTTGCGCGTGCTGTGAACGTTCGCGACAGGCACGTGCACACCCCGCCAGATTTACACCCCCATGCTGCCACTTTCCAGGCACGTGCCAAGTCCGTGCCTGCTCTGAGCTGGCGCGAAGTTGCACCGGGTAAATCACGTCGCGCGACTACCTGGCGCAACCGCATGCTGTGGGCAACACAAAAAAAACAAAGATCCCCCTGATATAGCCTGTACAGACTTTTGGGGAAAGTGCTGTAAGCGAGCACCCACGAAGGCCGATACGACACACGATGGGAGTGGGTGGCCAGCACAACACCCGACAGCCTTTGTCTCCCTAGTGGGGATGTTTACACACTGCACCAGGCACTAATTAGAAAAAAAAAAAACATTTGAGGCCGAGTCGACCTAGGGGAGGCCCAGGCCCGGTTCAAATAATCGTCACTGGTGTTGGGGGGGGGGGCTCATGTGGAGTGACGTCACGCGCGGGATACACACACACATTCTCGGCTTATTATACATGAAAGATGTCATTATGGCCAAATTTGTTGATGCCCCCTCCACCCCACCAATGCTTTCCCCCCTTGTGATTGGCTGACAGGTAGTCTATGGGAGTGCGCTTGGCGTTACTGGCTGCTGCTGCTGCTGCGTTGTTGCACAGCAACGACCTGCAGGCACAGCTGCGTCGTCGCGGGGAAAGATGCTCTGCACGGATTGTGATTTGTGCCACGTTGAGTTTTGGTTCGTAGCATCGTCCCTGTGCACTCTCACGCGAGGTTTACATCCCCCACGGAGTCACACGAACCGCAGCGGCTGTCCATCTATGTTCAGTCATGTGTAATGGGGATTACACGCTGGACAATTACAGACCCTCCAAAGGAAACTAAAAGTAACAAAACACTTTTTTTCTTCAGGGTGTTAAACATTTGACGGAGAGAAAAGATGGGTAACATGAATAAAATATGGATAGCAGCAGGTACACAACAATGGCAAGAATAAGAATACTGAAGAGAAAGGACTTTTTTTTTGGACAGGTAATGAGGAAACAAGAGACTGAAAAATGTTTTGAATGGGGAAATTATAGCAACAACAAGATATTGGAGAAGACAGTGCATCCATTACATAAACAACGTGAACAATTGGATGCAATGGGGAGGAGTATCCGGTGGAAAGTTCTTGAGTGAACATCATGTACAGAGCAAAAAATTGAAAGATATACAATCGCTGAGGTCCCCGAGACAGGGCTTCACGGCACAGAGAGCGAGAGATGGGGAATGGGGCACAAGCCAACGTGGCAATACTCTGCACTATGCAGTAAAATCAAGCTCAACCGTCGAGGGGCAGCAGTGCGGTTACTACGGTCCCGACGCTCGTACCCATCTCTTTGAGCTTCGAGGCCCACTCGGTGATGTTGTCCTGGGCGCGCCCGTCGGTGAACACCACAGCGACGCGCGTGACGTTCTGCGAGGGCGCGCGGGCGCCCTCGCCCTCCGAGAAGCTCTTCAGGGCCAGGTGGCGCAGCGCCTGTCCCGTGGACGTGCCCTTGCCCACGTAGCGGAGGGCAGCGACGGCGCCGAGCACCCCGGCGGCGTTCGAGTGGCGCCCCAGCGGGAACTCCGGGTGCACGCGGTGCGAGAACTGCACGAGGCCCACCCTGGAGCGCTCCGGCGCCACGTCCAGCGAGCCCACGATCTGCCCGACGAAGCCCTTGACCAGCTCGAAGTTCTCGGGCGTGATGCTCTTGGAGCTGTCGATGACGAAGACGAGGTCCGTGTGGCTCACGCGACACTCTGCGAGCGACGTGGCGCAGGGGGTGTTGTTGAAATTCGGCGACGTTAATCGACGCGGTGACGCGTTAAGGTATCATTGCAAACTCTATTTTCGTTATTTTCTATCGACCTTGTTTTCTGAGCTGTACTCTCAAAAGGCAGGATTATCCTCCATTGATTTTATTAACTGTGCCTGTGCACCATTGCCAACGCAGCAGCATCATCACCAAATCGATTGTTGAACGCAGACGCATTATTATTGTTGTTTTGTGCGCGCGCAACTGCGGTACCGAGAGCGCGGCACGTCCTCCTGTCGTCGTTGAGCGCAAAGCCCACGTTGCACTCGCACTCAAAGGCCCCGCCACCCTTGGGGACGCAGTGGTGCTCGCAGCGATGGTCGCCCCGCACACAGGGATCTGTGGGGGGACGACGCGCAGGGGTCACTCACGACCCTGGGGAATGCGCTACGAGCCTTATCTGTGCAAAAACAGGGGTGGGACGGCTTTTCCTTACCGAGGTGTGAGTAGGAACTTTAAAATACCTTTGGTGGGGCCACATTGCCACACAGCTCAGGCACTTCTCAGTGCAGAGCCTCTTGCTGTGACAGAAGGCGCTCGACTCGCAAACATTAGAAATACAGTGTTGCCAAGTGGAAATCATTTGCCCCTCTTGCACCCGGTTAGTCGCGGAAAACATGCTTGCAATGACGCATAATTGTAATTTGTGGGCCTTTTCGATGTGGGAGTTCCTCACGAGGCCACGGGCTACGTCAAATGCAGTCGCAGGCCAGGGCCGTCAGTTCCGCGTCACCGGTGCGAAATAACCGCTGCACCTTATCCAATGAACCTCAGAGACCCGTTCCTCCATAGGCACATTTGTGCATGCATGCCGTGGTCCTGTGGCCCAGCCATCGGCCCCTCGTTACCGGCGATCGAGCACGTCCTCTCGTCGTCGTTCAGCACGAAGCCCTCGTCGCATTTGCAGAAGTACGAGTCTGGGGTGCTCACGCAGCGGTGCTCACAGCCATGCTCCCCGAGGGTGCATGGATCTGCCGGGCGGTGGGGGGGGGGGGACCGAACAACAAAATGCCTCTTGCCGGGCCCGTGTCAGCGGCAAGAGAGACAGGATGCGTACGAGAGCACGTCCGCCAAGGAGACGGAGTAATGAGATCGGCTCGTGTGCAGGTGTGCTTTGTGAGTTGTTGCGTCACTGAACCGTGGGAGAGGGTGACAATTTGGGAGGTCCTTCTTACTGGCTGGTGATGATGATGATGATGATCAGAATCAGAATCTTTGTTTACACTGGAGGAATCCGATGAGCTATGCTTTTTCTTTTTCACAGATGGCCAGTAGGGTCACGGGGTCAGCAAGTTACAACAAATAATACAACAACAACGATAGGAGTGAAAAATAGAGACAAGGTAAGCAAGTCACAAAAAAGAGAACAAATAGGTCATGAGACAAATATTACAAGTATTTGTCTGGGAACAACTTAGAATTTATGGAATACTACGAAAATTATATACGAATATTACATTCCGGGAAATGGAGAAAACGAGACTGAAAATTACGCAAAAAATTGTAAGCCAATACAGAAGAGACAGTGGCATCATGACCCTAAGTAATGAAATTAATTAAATTACTAATGATTCACATATATCAATATATATAACCTGCTGAATATATATTTGAAGATGCCAATCAAAATGAGGCCAATTGCGTGGCAAAATAGTTTTTTGGGAAGTATGCTAAATGAAGCTTCATCAGCGCAGAGCGAAGGAAAATAAATGTGAGCACCCGCAATCCGGCAGCTCTTCTTGTCCACATCGAGCACAAACCCATCCATGCACCGACATCGGACCACTCCACCCTCGCCGAAACACTCGTGCTCACAGCCATGCCCTTCCAGTGCACATGGGTCTGCACGCACAGAGACAGGAACACACAGGGACAGGAACACACAGGGAGACAGGAACACACAGGGACAGGAACACACAGGAACACACAGAGACAGGAACACACAGGAACACACAGGTTCACACAGAGACAGGAACACACAGAGACAGGAACACACAGGGACAGGAACACACAGGGACAGGAACACACAGGGACAGGAACACACAGGGACAGGAACACACAGAGACAGGAACACACAGGAACACACAGAGACAGGAACACACAGGGACAGGAACACACAGGGACAGGAACACACAGGGACAGGAACACACAGGAACACACAGGGACAGGAACTCACGGGGACAGGAACGCACAGAGAGAGGAACGCACAGGCACAGTAAAAGCACAGACCGCTGATGTCTAAATGTACAATGACTAACCATTTTGTTTAATTCTCAGTGTAGCTGTTAATTGTAAAAAAAACCTGAAAAACTATTTTAGCCAAGCGGAAGACTGCCTCATATCAATAACTCAAAAATAAATTACATTTTTACATAAAGTTGTGTTGCTCATTGGAACTCTCCCGATAGCAAGCCAGCCAAATGAATCAAAGAGTTGCCCAGATTTTGGGCAACAAAAAAACAGCGCTCAAATTATTGGCCTCACTGTGATGAAATGCCATGTGCCGTGTGGTGTCATCTCCCCCGGCTTAAAATGTATCATTACGATCGTTACGGTCACCAATAAAATACTTTCAAAGGCAAATGCACGTGGGAAAGCATTATGGAATCGATGCGAATGCGTAATATTTCGTCTTTATGTAGCATGCATCTTCAAACATACGTGACTAAAAAAAAAATAATTTCGACAGCTTTGTCAATCAATAGAGGCCTGCCCACTCCGTGTCAGAAATGAGAAGTTGTTTGACCATTCTTTACCACGCCAGCCAGTACGGGTTGGTGAAGAGGAAGCCCAGGACCGTTTCAGATATCACTCGTTAGCCGTGGCCCTGAATCGAAAAACTCACCGGCTTAATTGCACCACCGCGGCAAAAAGGCTCCTTCCCACGATACATTTTTTTTTGTTAGGGATGCACAATGCCGCACGCTGTGGTTTTTGTACCCACGAGGCGGCAGCTCTTGCCGTCCTCTTTGAGCTCGTAGCCGTTGTCACAGCGGCAGGTGTAGGTGCCGCCACCCCCGGACACGCAGCGGTGCTCGCAGCCGTGCGCCACCAGAGCACAGATGTCGGGCCCTGCACGTGGATGGGAGACACAGGAGACACACACACACACACGTCGTCCTACGAGCTATCGTCGCACGCCCATCACGGCGACGAGCGTCGCCGATACGGTGGGTCACCGGAGTGCACCGTCGGCAAAGATTCGTTTGAGGGCGAGATCAGCGACCATCTTGAATGCATTCTATGACGTTAAACAGTAATGCCTGTGCATTCACAGGCATGTAAGAGGATTATGAAAACCAATAAACAAATACAGTACTGTAGCTATTATTGCACAGATAAATACGTGGGCTATCTGATGTGAGTTTGAAGTGTTGTTAATAAGAAAAACAACGTGAAATCACTTTTAGAGCATGCTTTGATGAGGTCACTGAAGTGACATTTTTTTAAGTGTGGAAAGCACACCAGTGTGATGTCAATAGAGCACTACTTTTGCAGTGACTTTAAAGTGACTGTGTCATTATTACCAAGAGAGGTTAAATCTCACGTGGGACAGTCCGGGGAAGCTTAGGTACACGTGTGCAAAATAACTGCTGGTTACTTTTTGGAATACCTCATCCTCTAAGTATATTTTTACATTTATTAAATAAAGACGTGCAGACAAAAACTACTGAAGGTGTATAATAATAATAAACTGTCCTTGAATTGCTTATATATTTAGTAACTCCCACAATGCATTGATAACATTTTAATATCAGAATAATAATATAACATAATAATACGGTATAATATAACACATTTAATTATAAAATGGTAATCTTGCATCATATTAGTATCTTCATTGAATGCAACAATCGATAAAAAGTGAGTTATTTAATTTGAAACAAGTTAAAAGCCCATTGGAAAAGTTGCATCATTTACAAAGTAATTGAAGAAATTATACTTTTTGTTTTTTTTCCGGTAAAGTCACGTAGGTAAAAAATATAAATAAAATTAATGAAAACAACTAAATTTAGTTATAAATAAATTTAGTTGTTTTCATTTTAATTTTTAATTTTTTTACCTACGTGACTTTACCGAAAAAACCGACGAGCATGCATCCTTCCAGTCACGAAAGCTTCAAATCTAAAATGCAGAAATTATATTTGTGATAGTGGGATGATTACACAGGAAGTAATATATTTTCCGAAAATAACATGGACATTATGCTCATTGGCAAATGCTCGTCTGAGCACTGAGACATAGTACAATATACAATCATCGAGAGACGACAATCGATAAACACACATGCAGGGTAAATATGATACAAACATAGAGAACCAGCGATCCGAAATGTGAACGGATGTGAATTTTCAAGAGATTTTTCCAGGGTTTTAGTTTGCAAGTATGTTAAACGCTGCAGACACAGTCATGCCCATATCTTTTGGAGTTGGCATCTCACACATTGCACTCCGTATGACGCATCCTTTCATGTATTGCCATGATATATATTTGTCACTGCAGTCTGTGTGATGCTTGTCTGGACAGTCTTATGAGGACCTGCTGTGTGAAATTTCACTCAAATCCTTCATACATTCCTAAAAGTGGAGTCCATAAGTCAATGCGTCTGCAAGTGGCCAGTGAGCGGTGTTCAGCGCAATGCATGCGCTTTAACATTGACGCGACCGAGCTGCCTGATGTTGATACCACGCTCGCCACTGGGCCAGTTTGCACCAAGGTGACAGCTGAAATTCCTCCTGCAGTGTGGAAAGTTGAAGAATGCCATCTGCACGCTTAACGTACAGGCCCCACCATGGGTGTATGTCACAGTTGAAAGTTTAAATCACCTGTAACTCAACAGGGATTTGTTTGGCTGCCTTATTTTCCTGACCTTGGTTGCCCTTGATCATTGTTACCCTCCGTAATCCCAATTGGCTGGAAATCGTTGATAGGAGCCACTAGAATTTAATGTACACAAATAATTAATGCACACCCCTTTTTCAATACCCTGCTGTCGGTCATGGGAGTTGATTCACCTTACTTCACCAGATTGGTCAATACGGATTGGTGAAGGGATGGGTGGCCAGGAAGAGTTCAGATATTACTTTTCACTGATGTCAGCCACGGTCGGGAATTGAACCGATGTACAATAACCACCGTGCCACCCATCCAACCATATTCCCTGTAAAGTAAGTCCTCGTTTAACATGGCAGATGCGTTCCTGAAAAGCGCTGTGTTCAGTGAAAAATGCATTAAGCGAAAATAATTTTACCATTAAAAATTTAACGTTGAAGGTTGGCGAGATGTGATGTACTACTAACGCACACCACACAGTAAGATGGTGGCACAAACAACCGTGGGTACGCCGCTGCGGTACTATATCATTCTACGTACTGTATCGTACCGCTGAGGAAAGTTGTTCGTTATCGACCGCTCCGAAACCATTTCATAACGGTGCACGTTCTGCATTGAGCAAAAAGTGCTCCCGAATGGAAGAACCGCGTTATAGCGAAAACGTGTTGTGTGAGTGCGCGTTACAAGCGATGACTTACTGTAGAGACACTGGAAAATAAGTGTGAGTAGAAACATAGAGATACAAATGAATATGTCAAATAGTACAGGATGCTGAAAAGCTCGGATTCCACGTATGTGACATTTTAATTGATAAGCTAGTTCCAATTAAATTCACATTCCCTTGTACTCGTGTTTCTCTGATCCTGGTCATGTGAACAGATCACACCAACTGCCACGATGACCATAACTTTGGTGGAGAATGTGTCTCTTAAATCACATTTCATAAGTCACTTGTTGTGTTGGCCTATGTGTATTATTTAAACAGAATTTTAAAAAGGTGCCGATAAGGTAAAACTGAATACGTGATGACGTTGACCCAACGTTATTTCCTATGTAAATGCGCAACGAATCAGCACGTGCAGACGGGGGTGTCATCGACACTCACGGCAGCACCCAGTACTGGAGTTTGAACATGCACACTCCGACCAGTCGAGCAAGCAAGCAAAGTCTGCTGTGGCTATCTGCCGCACGTGAAGCTCTCAAAAGCAAGGCATATCTCGTCGCGTGTCGGGGGAGGGGGGAAAGAGCTCTGAGAACTACGCACCGCAGAACTTGTCCTGGAACTTCGTGCTGAGTTTCTCGATGACGTCGAAGCTCTCCACGTAGTAGGTGTGCTGGTCAGCCGGCTCAGAGGCGATGAGGCGCAGTGACAGCGGGTCGGCCCGGTCCACCCCGATCGCGTAGATCTCGATGCCGGCGCGGCGCGCACGCTCCGCCACGTCCCGCACCTGCTCAGGACACCCAGGAAACATGGAACGTTGGGCCAACGTTGGGCCAAAGTTGGGTCAATGTCCTGCACCTGCTCAGTCCACCAAGGAAGCGTGGAAAGTTGGGCTAATGTTGGGCCAAAGTTGGGCAAAGTTGGGACAACGTTCCGCACCTGCTCAGGCCACCCAGGAAGCATGGAACTTTGGGCCAACGTCGGGCCAACGTCAGGCCAATGCTTCTAACCACGTGCCAACGTTAAACCCAAGGCTAACCTAACGTTGGCTCAACGTTAGCGTGTTTACTGGGGACAGAGCACCAAGGTGACTTGTGCGCACACAAGGTACAATACCCTACAAGGTAAAGGGTGCAGCCCTACAATTGCTTACATCATTGCTGGCAGAAGGGTCTGTACTAAAGGGAGCTCGAGGAAGTTCTAGAGAGCACCTCAAGCGGGCCATTTGGCCTACTCTTCCACACTGGCCAGACATCTTGGAATAGGTGGAGTACCCCTACACTTTACCCCACCACATGTAACCAATTACTTGCTGCTGAGTGGAAGAGGTGCGTTGAGATGAATTTGGATATTATTGAAAAGTGCTAAACGGCACACAGAGGTTCTATCCCATCTGACACACGCCCAGGAAACATGGAATATTGGCGACGAAGTTGGGCCAACGTTGGGTCAATGTTAGTGCGCCAAGGTGGCGAGATGTTAACTACCTTGCCTGGTATACAGTAGGTCGTGGGTTCGATCCCGACCCCAACACCTGCTGTATATTTGCAGTTTGCATGTCTCTCTCTCTCCCCGTGGTCACGTGGACTTTCTCCAGCTCCTCCGGTTTTTCCCTCCACATTGAGAATCAACATGCGTTGAGAGCATTTGTCTGATATACATTTCCACATGATAAACCAGTTCGTTGAGCTATCATTTGTGGCCAGGTAGCTTCTAAAAAAAGACCTATGCAGCTCAATGGGCCTTAGTTACTGAGTGCTCCAGTAGATCATCCTTCTATCTTGTGTCTGTCTGTGTAAGGCACCACGGACCTGATCCTGGGGCCGCCCGTCAGTCACCACGATGGCGATGCGCGGGACCCGGGACCGGGCCGGCCGGGCGCCCTCCGCCTCCGTGAAGGCCACCGTCATCGCGTACTCGATGGCCAGGCCCGTCATGGTGCCAGTCGCCAGAGGCTCCATGGCCTCCACGGCAGTAACCATCTCCGCCTGTGCAGATGCATGTCGGCCCATAGCACAGACGTGGCGGCATTTCTGTCTCCATCCACCGCCTCACCCCCTCCCCTCCTCCCCCATATCAGTTTATCCCATAGGCCGAAGCCGTTCATTTCATCTAAATAACCAGGTAAGAGGCTTGTTTCATAATTGATGTGACTGTTAGGCTCATAATCAACCACTCGACCATCCAGACTCATGGTTTCCATAAGGACACTTGGCCTGAATCGGTTTAGATGTCCAGGAGTGTCATCAGCAGGGTGTGGCTTATTAAACACATGAGGGCCTCCTCTTGTTATGGCTAAGCCATGCGTGATCGCAATGGAGATCCACGAAAGATTAAAGACTAAATTAAGAAGAAGACCACGGTGGCCCCTACCTTGTGGCGGTGCGTGGCGAGCGAGAACTCGTGGTGCACCGTGCTGCCGTACTTGATGAGCCCGACCCGCGTTGCGTCCGGCCCGATGTCCAGGTTGCCGATGATGGCCGTGATGAAGAGCTTCATTTTCTCAAACTCGCGTGGCCGAACGCTCCGCGAGCTGTCGATGATGAATATGAGGTCCACGGACTTGCTGGCACAGACCGGGCCTAGGGTATCCGCGTTTGGATTTTCCGTACACGCCGTGCGTCAAATTGTTAAATAAACGGAGGGCCTTGCACTATACGGCAACATCTGCACACACACTACATCTGACTCGACTTACCAACTGTCATTAACAACCTGACTGTGATTATTTTCGATGAGATGTATGAAAGTAACCTACATTGCTCTATTTACTTGTATGGCAACACTCATAACCATTTCCACTTCCCATCGGGTTCATCTGCATCAGAAGGTCATTCATCAAACATAAACAATCACGCAGCTGTACACGTTTATGTTTTAAATCATCCAATTCAAATGAATAGCATTTGATGCATTGACCTATGGACGTACACCACATTTTTTATTCAACAAAAGAACGTTGAACCGAGTTAAACTTCACGAAATCCCACCTGCAAGGTGAGGCGTGGTAAACCTGGCCTATACTGTACTGTGCACTCGAATGGCATTGGCGATATGCAGCCACAGTGTGGGGCTAACACATTTTGAGCTGCAGCAACGTTTGGCAAATGATCACAATGTCATACTCCGACTGGCATTGATTCGTACTGCCACAATATTCTGCATGATCATCACAAAAGTCCAGATTGAAACTCAATTCTACTTCCCGCAACTCTCTTCGCATTGCACACAGTGCCAGATATGTTATAAATGGGCCCTAAAATAAACACAAATATTAAAACATACATTTTAAACACCCAGTCGTATATAAAAATTCAACGCAGTCTAGTACTACAGTAATAGAGCAAGTGGAGAATCATTGAATCGGAATTGATAGCATGAAAGTATTTAATTCGGGGGCCCTTGAAAGTGCGGGGCCCGTAGCTACATGTGTAGCTCCTTTTGCTACTGGGATAATCCGACACTGACATTTGCACTTTACAGCTCAAGGTGGAACTCTCCGCGGCAGGAGCAGTGTGACTCGCAACCTCCTCCTTCCTCCCTGCACCAAGGGCCAGGACCGTGATCACTGCCGCGCGTTTTCTCTCCGTGGCTGCTGGACATTGGCATCAGCGTTCAAACCCACACCGACTTATAAGAGACACTTAGAGGCCCCCACACTGTTTTGTGTTGCCCGGCTTTCGAGCGACAGAGCTTGGTTCGTCTCTCCGCACCTCAAGAGTCACGGCCAGTTATGTCTGTGAATCAAGGCCGCAATTATAATAAATATGCTCAAAATGTCCCCCCCCCGCCCCCCAATATATCGCTATAAATAGAGATTTATGTTTATATTATTGTGGTTATGGTTGTACTTTATTAATCCCTAATCTCTGCCATTACATACAGTGAAACAATAAAAGTAAAAAAATAAAAAGCAGAGCAATGTAATAAAATAACACTATTAGACATTATTGTAAAAACAAAACAAAAAGTCCATCCTATGTGTTAGTGAATTTTTTAATATTTTAGGCAGGAAATTCGTTTTCAAATTTACATTTTTCTGTAGAGTGCAAATGTCAGTGTCAGATTATCCCAGACCCTCTAGAAGATTTGGTCCCCCCCCTCCCCCCCAATGTTGACTCTATGGCTACGGCCTTGCTGTGAATAATTGCGCTAGTTACTATTTGCACTATTATGAGTATTCTGACTAGCCCCGTGGGATATATATACCGAAATTCCTACCTGAAATCTGTTTTCAGATATCCTGCAAAAAAAATTACCTGATAAACCTGCGACAGGCACCGGTGTTGACCGACAAAATCGAAAGTATTGGTGCGATTTTATCGACGCATCAAATAACACTAAACGTGTGAGATTCGTAGGGCTGATACCGTTGAGGTGAATGTTAACTGTATTCACAAATATGACGTCACAAAGCTCTGCCCCCCCCCAAAAAAACATTCTTCAAATCGCTTTAAACTATTGTCATTGTAGTGCGTATTAAATGTGGCGCTACACTCTGATGTTGTAGGAGAAAACATTTATTAAAAAGTCTATTTAATTAAGTAGAACGTGTCGTCTATATTTATTTAAAGTTGCGAATTTGTATGTGACGTCACATTTCTAACCCCCCCCCCCTTCGTCACACATCGTCACAAATGTCTGACCCCCCCCTAGGTGCGTGACGTCATTTATGGACGGCCCCTTACGACTTAATGTACAGGACGGAAATATACGTTCACTTTTGACTTGGGTCGGACTATACAAAGCATGGGCGTTGTAGCAGTGTGTCGTTGTAAGAGTGGCTAATGTCGTTCGCTCGTTTTAGAATCAAGGTGCCTAAAGAGTGTTTGGCTGCTTTACATTTCCACGTGATAAGCCCCTTCGTTGAACTATCATTTGCGGCCAGGTCGCTTCTGAAAAGGAGCTATAACAGCTCAGTGGGCCTTACCTGGTAAAATAAAATAGTTGTATAACTTCATGGCTTTTAGTTTTGATTGATTGATACACTTGTTAAACTCCAAAAATACCCCCAAAAGTCTTCTCTGAACCAATGTAACCTTTGGGCCCGTTGTTGACTTCACTAAGCTTCATCAGCATGGCGTGGTTGTAAAACAATAATAATTGTCACTCGTAAGGCGCAGCGCAAATTGTTAAGCTCGCTCCCCAACCGGGCGAGGCAGCAGCAGCAGCCACGCTGTGGACAAGAAAATACTTTTGGGAAAGCATCGCAGCAGCTTTAGCGGTTAAAGATGATAACTCTGGACTGTTTTGAAATATAAATACATTCTTTGAAATAGTCGTTATTTCAATGATGAAATTAATGCGTTCATCGTCATTTTCGGAACTCGCCACAAACATCATAGCGGGAGTTTGTTTAACAGGCGAGCTATAGTTGTAACAATCGACCACATCATATGTATCACTCGTTACAATGACGCACTCCTCGCAAGCCAATGCGACACGTGCATCGCACAACCCAAATCAAAAAACCCAACGCAACCTTTCCGTCGCACACAATAACCAAGCGGCAAACGTGCCAACGAAGGCCACTTGAATGAGAACGAATCTCTCCAAAACAAAGCCCTCGTTCCGAGACACCTCACCGAGGCTGTGAGCGAATGTGATCCTGTGCGGCGGATCGCTGTCACGAGTTGAGATGATGGTGATGACGATGATGCTGTGGTGATGATGATGATCGTGAGTGATGAGTGTACGCACGCACGCCCCGCGTGGCCGCACGCCGCGTCCACGGAGACGGTGACCGCATCGCGCGCGTTCAGATGCGCTTCCGTGGCCGTCTGGAACGCTCTTCCTTCCGATACTAGGAAGCCACTGGAGCTATGCACTTTTAAATAATCTAGATTGTCAAACTCATTTCTTTACAACTGCTTTTATGTGTTTAGTGTGTTGCCCTTACCCCCGCACCCCCCCCCCCCCCCCCCCCCCCCCGATTAGCGTGGTTATCGATGCACGGTGTGAAAGAAGTTCAACGTACACACACACGCATACAAACTGTGAACGCACCTGAGCCGGTCCCCTCGGGCAGCAGCGGCGGGCCCCCCGCAGCATCGTCAACCGTGAGCGAGCCCTGGCCCCTGGCGACGCCTCGGAGGAGGATGAGCAGGAGGGCCAGGCACGCCGTCAGACACGTCGCCAGGGCACGCATCACAGCTGGGGAGATGATGATGATGAAGATGATGATGAAGATGATGAAGATGATGATGATGATGATGAAGATGATGATGATGATGAAGATGATGAAGATGATGATGAAGATGATGATGAAGATGATGATGATGAAGATGATGAAGATGATGATGAAGATGATGAAGATGATGATGAAGATGATGATGAAGAAGATGATGATGATGAAGATGATGATGATGATGATTACACCAACGACAACATGGAGCAAAAATACAAAACGAGGTTTCACGGACCACGCCTGTGCATGCCTACGCCATTGGCCGATTTAGTCAATCGTCCTTAAGCCCTGATAAGTTAACTAATGACGTAGTGATGCTGCTGCTGGCAGTGGTGCACAGACAATAATAGCCATGATAATTTCAACAACAAAAAAACTCAACACGTTCGTCCCGGTAAAGCTGAAAGGAATAAAAAATATATACGCAAATAAAAGGCGACGTTTCGGGCAATAACCCTTCTTCAGAGCACACGGAAGCTCTCCGATGTGTTTTCGAGTTGTCGACACGTGTTGGCCCCAGCATGTTGTACACGACCCGAACACACATGGCAGAACCATACAGTATGAATAGAAAACCCGACGCGATTTGATCCGTTTAACTTGTGCGGTCTTCAATGGTAAACTACGGGAAATTCCACTTCAGCTGGTTTGGGCAATTGGCTACAGCCGTTTTGTTTCAAATGGCAGCTGTAATTTCCAACAAGCAAGTCGCCGCATTCTCTCTGCAGATGACCGTTTTCCCGAAACGTGACCTTACTTGAGTAATAACCTTCGGGATGAGTGGTGGCGAAGTGATGAGCACACCTTTAGAAACATGCGTTTATATTAATTGCATTATGTTTCTGCTATCATTTCTCACGTAATAAGCCACTTCGTTGAGCTATCATTTGTGATGGCCAGGTCGCTTCTGAAAAATAAGCTAATAGCTCAGTGGGCTTTACCTGGTAAAATTTAAGTGATTTATTTACTATTTCTTATACTTTGCACTCCGAGTGTGTTTTTGAAGTGTTTGTTGTTGTAACTTTCTGACCTGCCCCAAATAGAAGTCTGTGAAAAAGATCTTCATAGCTCATCGGATTCCTCCAGGAAAAGTAAATTTTCTGAATCTTATTCTGACACTGCGCTTCAAACCCGGTGACCCCGAGTTCGATTCCAGGGCATGGATAAACGTGGCGAATGACATCTAAACCGATCTTTGACCTCCCTTTGCCTTCTTCACCAACTCCCATCGACCAGGGTGGTGAAGTATGGTTGAACAACCCCTACGACAGACACTGTGTAGGGAGGTCTTCAACCCAGCAGTTGGTTGACTAAGGACTGTAATTTGTAATTGTATTTTTAATATATAAGTGTTGTAAGATGTTTAATCACAGCTTAAGCAAAGCTTCACACCCCAGGGCAAAGGAAAACAGACAATAACTTCCTGCCTGCCGTGTTGTATCGATAACACGTGCTGTGTTCTCCACGTCGCACTCGCCTTGAGCACACAACCGTGTACATGAAATCCTCTATTTACGAACATTCGACTTACGAACTTTGAGAGATACGAAAAAACCTGTCCACATGTCAAGCTGCCTGTTCAGACCGAGAGTCGTAAGTTCAACCAACCGCACAATCGATGGCAGTGGTAGCATCTACATCTCCAGAACATGAAGAACCAGTGGCATCTATGGGAGATTATACAACTTTTGAAACCATTCCCCGTGTTTAGTGTACATGCCGTACAACACGTTTGAAATCGACAGGAGTAAAGTTGGACTTACGAACACATCGACTTACGAACAGACCCCTGGAACCTAACTCGTTCGTAAGTAGAGGAGTCCCTGTACACGTACAGTATTCCATCTATATATAGCGCCTATAATTGCATTACGTTTTCATCCAACGAGCTCAGGCTACTTTTCCAATCTCAGAGGCATGTATCCAGCATGTCTCTTGGAAGCAGTCGCCTCAATGCAGTTTAACTAATCAGCTCAGAGAGCTAGACGAGACAAAAAAAACTGGATTTCTGGGAAGACTTGGGTTACAAAACTGGCGCAAAATGTATAAGGAACTAAAAAAAGAAATACCACGAAAAAGATCAATAGAAGGTAGACAAAAAATGTGATTTTAAAAAATAACATGTTCACTAGGAAAAAACGACCATTGAGATAAATCTCGTTTGCAAGGGTGACCTGGGTCAGCAAGTGACACCGGTGAAGTGTAAATTATAGAGGACTGACGGAGACGAATCAGATCAAACGCACTGGTTTTTAACACCATCACCAAAGCAAACAAAACATTTAGGTATGTTGAACTTCTTTCGCGCCGTACGTAGCCAACCGTGCTCATGCGATACAGCACAGCAGTTGAAAGAATATACGTACGTTTGTGAGAGATAATAAAACCACAAACATTGCACACGTAAACTTCAAGATGTATCCATTTGAAACAAATAAATATCACAAATGCTAGCATTGCATACATCGTGATACTGATCATTATCTGCGATGCAGCGTGCATAACGAGACAAGAGATGGATGAGCGCGCGACGTTCACCTGCTGTGAGTGGCGATGCGTGGAGGAGACAGCACACGACTCACCTTACCAGTTGAGACGAGGATGATGATGGTATTGCCAGGCGCACCGCTGGTACGGGGGAACTCCTGAACTTTAGCGATATAACAACATCAAACGCGGGATTTTTTTTTATTTAAACACACACAGAAAAGCGTGACCCGAAGCTCAGAAGCTTAATCAAATATCCTGAAAGAATGTACAAAAAAATGGGCCGGGTGGAGAGACGGACGGGTAAGAAGTAGTGGTAGCTTGTCCAGAAGAAGCTCCAAAGACTCCCTGTCGTGTCCGTCGTGTGCCGCCCACCCGAGTTGATGCTGATCAAGCCGGATGGTTCGTGGTGGTGGTGGTGGTGCAAGATGTGAAGAGCGTGCCCGCATGCACCTCCCTCTAATAAGGCCGGGTAATCATCTCACGGCAGCTGTTCCTCCTCCTCCTCCGCTGCTCCTATAAGACAGCCAGCCACTGTGCGGTCTGTACCTGGTGGCTGTGTGGCTCACTCGCCCCGCCTGTCTCTCCCTCCCTCCTCCCTCCCTCTCTCTCCCCAGTGTCGGTGCCGCGTCTCCCCCCTCCACCTCTCTCTTGCGATGACCCCGTCGGACCTCTTCTTCAATGGGCTCCTTGTTGAGATCTGTCTCTCGGAAAAGAAATAGTTGCCACCGAACAGAAGCCCTGTTTGTTTGCTCTGGGCCGAGCGGGCTGCAAATAAAGTGCATACGTGACACCCCGTGCCCCCGCGGGCAGACTATAAAACGGCATGTTTTAGGAAAGGGAGGCCTCTCTTTGAGAGAACATATATTGCTTTGTTTTGATAGTGTTATGTATATAGACGCAGGTGGGTCTCATCTCTTACAAAGGGCCATTGTGGTAAAGCCATTGTGTGAATGACATTGTTACGGATGAAATTTCGAGTGTCACGTATAATGGAATGTGTTCATATAACTTACATTATCTTAACGTGTATGCCAGTTTACCTTTAAGCAATTAAATCCAACAGTATAATCGTCAACGAGTGTTACAATCTCAATTACGTAAATAATTATGTATTATACACAATACGCCTATGATCAAATCTCCCACGGCTTTGCTACCACTTTAAACCATATCGTATTGACGAGCATGGTGAAGTATGGGCAACTCCCCCCCCCCGACCTGCATGGGGTGGGGTTACCCTTATCCAGCAGTAGATCGGTCAAAAATTGGTTGTACAAGTACGTATACACATTGCTACTAATGCCATGTATTTTTTTCCAGGAAAGCTTCACTGAGATTAAGTACATTATTATTATTATTTTCAGCAGGTTCCTCAAATGGGATTTTTTTTATCAATTGCATGGCTTACGTTTTCTGAAAATAAACCTTATAAAATAATACATTGAAAATAATTGTGTGTTATTAAGGTGAAATGAATTTTGGAATTAGGCTGTTCATAAAATGTGGAACAATATAAAAAGTCTAACAGATTCTATGCTGAAAATAGTTTGGTCATTTCCCATATTTGTTTATGGCCCTGAATCAGTCATGGAAATTCTACATTCATATGGCAGGTGCCACCAGTCTCCCCATGAGGCAAGCACAATTTACTCTCCACAAATTGGTAACGATTTTTTTGTACAAAACCAAAGCATAATTATTAGCTGACTTGATCCATAGCCGGAATTTGAACTCACGACTTTTCGATTGTGAGATGGGCACTTTTGCACAGCACCAGCAGAGTGGACTATGGCCGTACAGCGTTAACCAGAGGGTTTGGACTCACTCCTGCAATTCCACGAATCGTCACACGACTCAGGGCCGCAATTGCGTTCGAGAAATGAATATTTTTTCTGTCTTTTATTAAACATTCTGGTTGCATTCTTTCGTATTTGTTATCTTTTCTATGTAAATTGCTGTCAATTTCATTAGCCTAAGAGTGGCGCTGTCGTATCGTTTGCTTATAATTAATATAAACCAAAAATATACATCGAGTCTTCCATATACAATTTGATGCATGAGCCTACATAATACATACACATTGATTAATCAATGTATCATTACACCCTAATATAAACCCTAATTGTAAAGTCACTCTTATCCTATTAAATAAATAAGCCATATTCAACAGGTAGGCTTTCGCGACCAATATTTTTCATAATGAAGGGTGTTTGGGTTAGATTGCATAAAATATAAATGTGTCCTTAACCCACCACCACCCGACACAGCCAATTAGTAAGGGGCCGTCCATAAATGACGTCACGCGATTTTGGACATTTTTGCCCCCCCCCCCTTCGTCACACGGCGTCACAAAAAGTCAGACCCCCCCTCAAATATGACGTCACAAAGCTCTGCCATCCCCCCCCCCCAAAAAAAATGCTTCAAATCGCTTTAAACTATTGTCATTGTAGTGCGCATTTAATGTGGCGCTGGACTCTGATGTTGTATGAGAAAACATTTATTAAAAAGTATATTTAATTAAGTAGAACGTGTTGTCTATATTTATTTAAAGTTGCGCATTTTGATGTGACGTCACATTTCTCATCCCCCCCCCCCCATCGTCACACATCGTCATAAATGTCTGACCACCCCCCCTAGGTGCGTGACGTCATTTATGGACGGCCCCTAAGGTTTGCCACGTGAACAAGATTTACAATGGATTACAATTACATCGATGTGCTGAAGTAATAGTGAATTGGCACATTTTGTTCACGTGACAAATCTTACCAATTGGCGGTTTCGGATGGTGATGGTGGTGGGTTAACGACACATTTATATTTCCGAAATCTAACTCAAAAACTTTTATCATGAAAAAAAACAATATTTTATAGCCATATTATATATGTGTTGAACTTCTTTCGCACTGTACGTAGCCAACCGTGCTAATCTTTGTCAATCAACTGCTACGTGAAGGTCTGCCCATGCCGTGACAGCAATTCTTCACCAACTTCATCAGTACGTGTTGGTAAAAAGGGGGTGGCCCAGGACAGTTCAAAGGCATTCACGTGGCCACTGATGTTATCTGTCGCCCAAATTCTGACTCTTGTCTCGGGGTTCATAGCTTCGTCAATTAACAACTACTCACCACCAGAATATAGTAACAGAATATAAATATATAAAAATAGATAATCAGACAATATACCTCCTTTCCATATCTGTCCCTCCACGTAATAAATAAAAGTGTTTTGTATTACTCTTTAAGATTTATATCTTTTTTATATACTCTTTGGTTATTTCGGTAAAGTCACGTACGTATAAAATATAATAAAATTAATCAGGACGTTTCGGGTGCAACACAAACGTCCATCATCAGGTGTTGCGCCCGAAACGTCGTGATTTATTTTATTATATTTTATACCTACGTGACTTTAGCGAAAGAACCAAAGAGTATGGATTCCTGCAGTCACGAAAGATTCAAATAAATATTTTTTTTCTTTTTTTATATGGAGGCATATATTGTGGAAGGATTCCTATTGTTAAGACTCTGAATTGCAAACTGATCGATTATTTTGAATATTGACGTCTTCTTGGCATGCCTACACTCTACAAACAAAGGCTATGGACTCTCCAAATGAAAGAAAAATATTGACCTCTGCATTCTGCCCACAACACGGGGAAATGGAGGAGGTACTGAGGAATGCTGAGGACAATGCTCCGGTTCTCTTTGGGTTACAGACACTTCGGGTAAAGGAATGTGTTCTGGAAAGTCAGTCTGTCACGCTAGCGCCCAAGAGCTTAGCTCAGTTAGGAGTGGCACGCATACTACACCCGCTGTGGCCAACACATAAACACTGCGCGACGATCGCTTGTGTTGTGATCGAAACGTCGTAGTTTCTTGTTATTTTTTTGTTATTTTTTGTTATTTTCTTTGAACCTATCTAGGTGACGATACTGAAAGGCCCAAAGAATACTGCACGTACATCAGCTACAACCGTGGAGTTTGTGCAGTTTATTCCCCCTGTACGTGAGAGCCAGCAAATGTCAGGGTTTCTGTTTATATAAACACACCGATGCTAAAGAGAGATTGGTCTCTGTTGGTCTGTTATGACTGTGATTAGAAATACCCCCCAGAAAATAATGTTCTGAAGATAAGAGTAAACTTCTGATTTATATCTGTATTAAATAGCTACATATTGCTACGCGTTACACAAAATACAAATGCATGCAATGAGTTGACAAATGTAGAAGTTGGGTGAGTTGTTGCTCTGGAGACTGGGAGATCGTTAATCGATGTTCAATTGTTGAGTTGATAATGGCATTGGTCGTGAGTTCTCACTGAACAGAGTGGGCCCGCATGGGAGCTGCGATCTTCCACGCCAATCGACGCCAGCTACGATCCGCAGCTCCCTGTGATCCTGCTGCATGTACCCGCACGTAGAAAACAAATTGTGCGATACGGCCAACGGAGTTGAACCGGGATCTCTGGTCGGAAGACCCGGACCCAGTTACCAGCAAAAGTTTTGCGATCCGTCCTTAAGTGTGAGCCAGTTTTTCAAGTAACTTAAAACGGTGCTTTTATTCCAAAGAGCTTACGATGTGTGATTGGCATGGCACATTAGCGATGGACTAGACTCGTAAGAGTGCGCGATAATAAACATTCAGATTTGGCAAGTGCCATAAAAAGTGTCATTGGTATCACAAGTAAAATATGCATGCGCGGAGAGTCTCGATGGGAGGTCGCAGCAGAGTAGGTTGATCAAGCTCATTGTGATCTCGTGGGAATTCGTTTTCCAAACTTTGACAGAAATTGTCATCACTATACTGTATTAGCATTGTAATATTCCGCTGATTACGCAGGAACTGCGGCGATGCATCAGGTTTGGCTTCGGAGTGAACACAGGCAACCTATTCAAGTTTTAATAACAAAAATACTCAACAAATTCATCAATAATACTCTTGCCTTAAAATGAAAAATAAATAATTGGAGGCTTTTTGGTAATGTCCCTTCTTCATAGCATATCATGAAGAGCCATTTCCCAAAATGTCACTTGTCATGAGTTGTTTTGTTATATGTGCTTGTGCACCAACGCAGCATCACCAAAATAAATCATTAGTGATGCTTAGACTACTGCCATTTAGTACATGTGAAGGTTAATTGTTAGAATATATTTTGTTTGTACGAGTGTGCCACACAAATTCTGGGCATTTAATAAATGTACGAGAGGCAAACAGTTTTAATAACATGATTTTTTAAGCACACATGAACCAATGTATTGCTTTTTCCAATATAGTTAAAAAAGATATGCATTAGCATATCAATGGACTCTCACCTGCTTAAATAAGATATGGATCTTTCCTGGCATGGCTGACCGGAATGAGCACCTGGTGCAGGTGTGTGAGGCCCATCACTGACGACACGAAAGGCAGCGATGCTGTGGTGCTGGTCCATTTACCTCGTGCGTTCGACAAACCTTTATAGGTGCTTGCTAGCAGGCGTTTATCACGACTGTCCAAGCGAGCTAAACACGCTCATGACGTCACTCCACTGCGACCAGCCACCTCATTAATATTCATGACCAGGTTACGTCCTCCACATCGACCTGCCC